CGTGTCTTTACTCGCTTTCACTGTGGAAGACGTACACACGATCGAGCGGCTGATAGCTATACTGGGTCTAGAACGGAGGTCACTGTCCAAGGCCGCAAAAGAGCGCCACAGAATCGATGGAGGCAAGGCACGGGGCAAAGAGATCGATATTCTGTTTCAAGAAAAAGCCAGATTTTTCGAGCGGTAAGTCCATTTGTGAGACGTCCTAATTTTACCCTAACTATTTTGTTCAACTCCTGTGGATGAGTTATTAACAATCATTTACCATGAAACAGCCTGATGCCTGAACATGTACCAAACAAGCAACAAACTTTGGACCATTTGAAAAAGGTGAAAATTTGGCACGCGGATAGGATCCTCGCAGGATGGGACGTCGAGACAACCGACCTTACCTCAGGCTTGACCCGTCAAGAAAGCCTGTTCCGCGATGACAGTCTACAAGCGCTGCCCATGCCTCAAACAGGCACAGATACGCTTAGGATATACCTGCGACATGACTACAGTTTATCAGCCCCCTCACTAGAGCTAGCTGAGGAACTAGCCGCCTTCTGCGGTATTCCGGAATGCGTGGCGCCGATACTCTTTATTTTGGGTCCATCGAGCTCCCTCATCATCGAGAATACTCTCGACCGCCAAGGAATTCCAAAGACAAGAGACAAGAAACTCTGGCAAGATGAAGCCGCGCCATCTCCGGCTACACAAGTTGGAAACAAAGAAGAGGAAGACGCGATGACCAAACAGAGCTCTGCAACTGCCGAAGAACCTCAAGCCTCGGGAATCCGTCGGACGATTCAGGAAACATGGATTGGGCCCGATGAAGAACAGCAGGAATACGAGGAGCCAGCCTTGAAAAGGATCATTGACGATGAGGCCCAAATTGACATTAACCACTTGACATCCCAGAGTCAGAGTGAAGGTCTTCTGGATTTCAACTCTACCGACAATCAAACTTTCAACAAACAACAGACGAGACCAGAATCTCCACACAGGGCATCATCAAATAATGAACAGATCATATCTAAAAAAGAAAGCTCGTCGAGTCGGCCTAACTATGTTCCTCTTGATGATGCTCCACGAGTAAGAGAATATATCAGGGTTCAAGGAGAGTCTTCGAGACGGAAACGCATAGTGATGGCTAGCGCTGATTCTCAGGGCATTGAAACTTTGGAACGTCCAAGAATTGTTGGCCACCCTAACTATATCCACGTCAAAGACTGTCGGGAACTCCCTCGTGAAAATTTCTCAGATCAAGCAAGAGACGGGAAGGTACTTCCTGGCCGGGCGCAAATTTCCCGGTCAGGAGAATGCACCGTCTTTCTTGCCCTGGAGCCCGCATACAAGGTCGATACTTACACCGAATTTCTTGGAGAGCTTTACGTGAGTCTTTTCTATGGTAGCTACGGAAGCAGCCCTCACTAATGGGACCAGGTATCTCAGCTCTTCGAGAAGTATCTTGGGAGAAGATATGATCCAGATAGTCAATGGACTAGTCCATACCGCCGCGAGGCAGGATATAAATCTTTGCGGGCAGAGACGCAGTCTATGGCCACATTCACATTTTCCGACGGAGCAGCGATGACAGAATTCCTCATACAGTCCGGTTCTGGATGGAGGAGGAATGGAGACTACCCGGGTTACCACATTTTGGTGAAGACTACAAACGGCGGGCAAGAGTCGCTATTCACAATGAGCGCAGAGGAGATTGAAATGGTGAGCTTGTACCCGATCTTGATGATCAATCCCCAATTAAACACCCCGAATATCTAGATCCGAAGGTATCGGTTGTCGCCTGGGGGCAAACACCAGTCCCAAGTCATCATCCTTGTGAGGGTTTTCGACATGCAGTCAACCGCTAGCGCGTCATTCTTCATAGATCCATGGCGCCTGTACACCGCAGGTGGGCTACAGATACAGCCGCAAAACGAGTTCTACATTGCCAACACTCCCGTTGCTTCACCTGATCTCTTATTCAAACATTTCGAAATGGAACTCTTCACTCCTTCGATAAGAAACTCCGTTCACTTCCTCACATCCTACATCCGGGATTCAGGCGAGCTGTGGGCCCGAAGAATGCTCCAACACGACGAACGGAAGTACAGATACAAACCTCTTGAAAGTCAATCCCTCATGCGCTTGTTGAGGCTCCACCCGGGACGCGGCCGGGAAGAACTCAGAGGAGAATTGATATGTGTTTCCCTCGAGCACTGCAAGCGAAAATACCCCTTTACGGCCTTATCCTATGTCTGGGGGAACGGCCTGAAACCGTATGTTCTCGGCATCGGAGATTACGCTCTACGGATTACGGCTTCATTATACTTCGCACTGAAACGGGTGCGAGAAGAAAAACAGTCGATCCTCATCTGGGCAGATGCTATCTGTATCGATCAGGCCAATGATGTAGAGAAAGGTCACCAAGTGCGCTTGATGTCAAAAATATACAAGTCCGCCCTCCGCGTGTGCGCGTGGTTGGGGAATGAAGGAGATCAGAGCAATTCCGCGATAGATTGGCTCTGCAAAATCAGAAAGGCTTCCGAATCCTCGAAGCAAGCTGCCACGGTAAGGCTACCCTCGGCGGACAACCCGGTATGGGACATTATCAAGAAATTTTTTCAACGCGATTGGTTTCATCGAGTCTGGATTGTCCAAGAGCTTGTTCTTGCGCCGCATATAATCTTGCTATGCGGTAATCGAACCTTTGAGTGGGATGATCTTTATGTCCCAGCCACTTTATGCTCAAGACAAGCAGAAAAGTCAACTGCCGCTCTGATGACATCGGTTTCTAAGACCATGGCGCCCGTGCTGAGTCTAGGGGGACTGAGACGTGCATATCGCAGCCAGCTTACCAACTCCACTGCCCAGCGAGAGCTGCTCACACTATTCAAAGACTTTGAGCACACTCGATCCTCACGCCGGCGAGACAAACTCTTTGCCTTTCTCGGGTTGGCGTGCGACGTCGATGATCCCAGCTTCGACCCGGACTATGCGGCACCGCTTGAGACGGTCGTGTGCAAATATGCGGAGGCCTTTGTCCGACGTGGGAAAGGAATGGAGCTTTTATACCATGCAGGGGCCAGCGGCTTGGAAGACGATGCTCGTTTCCGTTCGTGGGTGCCGAACTGGGTGACAACAGCCTATCCGAAGACGATCACCACTTGGAAAAGCAAATCCGGAGTCTTCAGCGCGTGTTCTCATGAAAAGGATTCGATCAGGATTTCACCACGAAATGGTTCTATATTAATTGCCACCGCTTACGATATCGATCTAATCGCCAAGGTAGGCCAGATCTCGTTTACGGCGGGAGACCGAACACGATGGTTGAAAGAGGTTTTCAGTTACATCGAGCCTATCAGTACATATCCTACCGAAGATAATCTCAAAGACCTGGTCTGGAAAGTCCTCGTCGGGGATGCCCTGGGTCCTCCATCTGGGAGTTGGAACGTGGTCGATTTCCGTGCCTCTTGCGAGGCTTTCGCCGAATACCTGCAGATGGACGCCGACCCTGGTGACTGGAACGTCGAGGCAGCCAAGATGCGCGCCGTCGCGAAACTGAAGCAGTTTTTGTTCCGACCCCAGGAATTGAGGAAGTTGATGTGGCCTTTTGTTCTCACCGCAGAGGAATTTGCGCAACGGTTCGTCGATGCCAAGGTGTGTATTACTGAGCACGGCTATGTTGGAATTGTCCCTGGAGCAGCGCGCGTCGGTAGTCGGGTCATCCTGCTCGCCGGCAGCGCAGTTCCCTTTGTTATGGACAAGATCAAGGGAAACAAAAGGGACCCCCCTTGCTACCGGCATCTCGGTGAGTGCTACATTCACGGAATCATGCACGGCGCCGCGAATCAGCAATCTGGTTTGTTTCAAAAGCCCCTCCGGGATATCATCCTTTGCTAAGCACAGCGCTGGAACACGGTTGCCTCGTATATGTGGGCGGCCAAATCTCGTCGTCTGTGCCTCTCCAAACGTCCATTACCGTTTCAAGATCTGAGCGAATTGCCATTGAGACTTCCTCATCTTCCAGCACAAGAGATTTATTCACTGCGACGTACTGAGGAAACGCTCCCTGCAGAACTCGCCCTCCCTTGCAGGGCCGCATACGGGCCGAGTGCTGTATGCAGTCTACTATCGGAGGCCTCGGGGATTGGGCAGCAAAGAGACCAGATCCAATCATGCCTCTTCGCAGGAATCACTGGTGTGAACGACCACGTGCTAGGCAGAACGAACCCCTCAGTTTCGGGGGCTGAACACAGAGCCTCATCCGTCCGACATACCATGTGGGGACTCCAATTGGCACGCCATCAATTCCCAATATGCAGGCCCTTGCTGCCTTTGGCGTGTCCGGCAATGTCGTGCAGTTCATCGATCTCGCAACAAAGCTCTGCATCACTTCTGCCGAGATCTACCGCGGCGTGAACGGCGCCATATTGACGACATTATGGTCGCGGAAATCACGGCGCAGCGGAATGTAGAAGACCAGGTGGTGCTAGAAGAGAGAGAGAGAGAGAGTCGAGTGCTATACTTTGTCGTTACGGATGTTGTGATGGAGACTACTAATCAGGCGCAGAAGTGGCAGCAGGTGGTAGCAGCTAGGTGGGTTCTCGGGGACTGGCTTCCCCTTTGATAAGATGTATATTTCTCAACAAACACCAGGAAGGGGTAATTTCAGGTTTAGGGGGCTGGATGGAGTCCAGGCTACATATGAGGTACGAAGGAGCGAGACAAGGAGCGTCGCCGCCCTGAGCGGGTCGTAGGCTGAGCCCGAAGCTGATGTGCCCGATTCTTGAGTCATGAATAAACTTGTTAAAGCGGCAGGTATCAAAACTATACCTCGTACTTGGAACAGACCCAGACTCCAGATTCCAAAATCATTCTTCTGAGCATTTCATTGCCATGCCACACCACCACCTCCGTGTATATATCTATTTAGTGCCTAGCGACCCTCCCTCTCTCCCTCCTTACCCACGCTACCCACTCGCCTACTTAGGAGTCGGGATACGGCCAACTAGCTAATGCACAAACCTGACATCCAACCTCCTCGAGCCCGTATCGCTCGTCGTGGACAGATACTGCCCGCGCTCAAAGGGACTGAGGGCGCTCCACACCTTTTCTTTCTGCTGATTCCGCTTGACGTAGTACAGCTTGGCGAGGAAGAAGAGGGCGATGCTCCCGCACGTGATGCCGATGAGGATCTTGTTGCCGCGGTAGTCTATGCACCAGTGCAGAGAGAGGGTGAGGCAGGGTCAGTTTTCGGGTCTTCTTCGAAGGACGTGCCAAACGCTGCTGCGAAGGGAAAGGCAAAAGGGGAAGAAAAGGACATGCGGAGGTGGTAAAGGAGGACTATCTATTGGGGGGATTGCGTACAATATGGTTTATCCTCGTCGCGGTAGACGTTGACCGCCACGACCGATCCGAATTGGTAGCACATGTTGTACACGGCGGCCGAGACGGCGCGGGTGCCCACATCGTTGGCGTTGCGGGAGATGAGGGACACGAGGATCGCGTGCGCTGTTTTTTTGGGCGTGCATTAGCTTTCTCTCCATCACTGCAAGTTTTGGACGTGGCTTTGGAGGTAAAAAAGAAAAGTGACTCGAAACTTACTATACGGTTCGCCGTTGACACCCGTGAGCAGCGCGTATCGGACCCACGGGCTCGCACTCTTCGATATCGCGAGGAGGCCGATGAAGAACGGCAACACCCACCACACGCAGAGAGACGAGAAGAGGAGTCGTTCGCGATACTTTTCGCTCATCCAGGTGACGACGAGGATCTTTTTTTCGTGGCGTACGAGTCAGTTAGGGTCGCGACAAGAGTCTCGACAGGGTCGAATTGAATTGAATCGAATGATGGACGGATGGATGGATGGACGTATGGAATAATAAAGTGCAGAGGGTAAATGAATGAGGGAAAGGAGACTCACGTTGATAAAGAACAAGGCATAGCCCGGCACGGCGAGCATGTTCGCCTCGAAGACCGTGTATCCCAGATTCCTCAGCGTGAGGGACAAGTAATTGGCCGCGGGTTGAAAGGGGATGAAAGCGATGAATCCGAGCTATGCCCCAGAAAAGTCAGCAAAGCCATCAAAGACTCTTGGAGGCGTCTCTCTCTTTCACACAAGTAAGTCCTTGAGAAGAAGGGGGGCAAAAACTCACAATATACAGCGGCCACAGGTCCACGTCGACGACGGCCTTCCAGATGCGCTTGACCGAGACGTGCTGTCGGTTGTGCATGTTGCCCTTGGACGGGTCGTCGCGGAGGAGGCGGTTGACGAGAATCTTCTCTTCGCGTTCGCTGAACCACCCGGTGTGGCCGTGGAGCCAGGTCGCGCGGCCGCGCAGGATGCGCTGTGTCTCGGTGATGCTGGCGGGCATGACGAGGAAGGTCGACAGGCCCACGACGATGCTGAGGAGGCCTTCGATCAGGAAGCTTTGAGATCGCGTCAGTACAGCACAGCAGGGGTAAACAAAAACACTGTATGTTAAAAGAGAGAATCTGTCTCACAGCCACTGCCACCCGCTCCAATCGTGTATGCCCCTCATCTTGAGCAGGCCAGCAGCCATCAGCGCCCCGATGATCTGCGTCACAGGTATGGCGGTCCAAAAGACCGAGAGGCGAATGGACAGTTCGCTGCTCTTGTAAAAGTACGTGAGATAGAGGACCATGTCGGGGATGAACCCGCCTTGGGCCATGCCCAGGAACGCGCGCGTCAGGTAGAAGCCCGTGCGGTCGGTGATGAGGCTCTGGCAGCAGCAGATGGTGCCCCAGACGCAGATGCAGATGGGCGTGAGGACGTCCGGGCCGAGTTTCTTGCTCAGCAGCCCACCGGGGAGCTCGGCGGCCAGGAAGGAGAAGAGGTAGATGGTCTGGCCGTTGTTGAAGTCGTTGGTGTTCATGTTCAGCTCGTCGAGCTTTCGAGGGGGTCAGCATCTCAGATGCACAGAAAGATCGTAGGCGATGGAATGGATGACAGGGGCTTACCATGTTGTCCGAGATGGCACGGTTGATGTTTCGCCGCACGAGGTCCAACGACGAGAACATGATCCACACCCACAGCATGATTCGGATGTCGATCTGGAGAGGAGAGGGAGACGTTAGAGGTTTACTCGATACTCTCCAGCTCATCGACGAGAACATACCTTGCGGATGAGTTTCTTCTCCTCGGTCGAACTCCACTGGATCGCAGGGTCGAACCGGTGACGGCCCTCATACTGGGCCTGTTCGTAGACACCTTTCCAATAGTCGGCCTCGATGGGGACACTAAAGGCATGCTGCTCAGTCGAACCGGTGTAGGCGTCTTTGACTCTGCGATCGAGCTCGTCGAGCTCCAGGGGTGTCGAAGTGCCGGCCTCGACGGAGGAGGCGTCCTTTTCTCTCGGTGTCATCGAGGCTGCGACGGTCTTCTCTCGCACTGTGATATTCCCCTTGGCGCCGTCGACCATACTTGTCGTCTGTGTCGGACAGATGAACAAAGGCCAGTGAGGTATAGAGACACCTCAGGGGTATCTGTCAGAAAAACCCGCTATCAAGAATGACCGGTCGGCCCTGTCAGACGGAATGGAGCTTCGAGGGCGGTATATATATTCTCCCTTATAGGACCGAAGATTGAGCACGCCATACACTGGTGGCATGTACTCCAAAGAAAGGGTGATCATCCTCTCTCAGCAGGGTAGCGTGAGCCACTCCCCCCCCCCCTCAGAGCCTTGCCGCACTTGTATCGGTCCTTCCGGGCTAATGAGGCGCGTTGTGCGCACTACACTAGGCAGTGGTAGTCTAACATGTGTATTGCATCTGCATCTGCATCTACACCTTTGGCTAGGGGTTTGTTTGCCACACACACACAACTCCAAAAACGCCTTCGGAATTCTTTGATACAGCGATATCGAGATCGAGAACGAGAACGAGGCTTGCAAGATTCTTTCGTGCTTGGCTGATAGTGACTGACTGACCGAGTGAGAGATAGAGATAACGCCATTGCCGAGAAACGGAGTCCAACCCCATTGAGGACCAAAGCGGATCCACGCCGCGATACATACGCCGCAAACCTCCCTGTCGCTTGGAAATCATAGCCTCGTTACGAACTCGACGTGTCGCCTGAGAATCATCTACCTGGTAGCTGGTAGAGGCAAGCCACTGTGGGAGCTTACAATGATGTGATTGCGAAATCCTGGATGATGGACAACGAAGCCCGACGGACTTGGACTCCGTGTCGCAGGGCGGCAGAGCGTTAGCTATGGCGGGACGGAGTTGGACTCCATGTGTCAACCCACCCAGGGATCTAGAGTCGGCAGGTCTTGGACTAGGTTCTTTGGAGAGTGCTCTCACATTTGAGTGCCTCGGGCTTGTAGGTCAAGCTTTAACGGTCATGTCTCGTGCAGGAAGCGCAAATAATATGGTCCAGCAAAAGCAGGCTGGGTGTCGGAGCAAAGCGTGTTGAAGATCCCAAGATTATCATGAGCCACAAGGAGATTAGCGAATCAACGTCGAAGCCAAGGTTCAGGCGTCCAACTTTGTGGCTACGCGTACAACGGCTGAATGGGTTAGAGATTCGGCAAGTTCCACTGCGAGATCTTGATTCACGAACCAGCACCGGATGAATGTATGGCCATATTCTATAAATCTATAATCCAAGCTTTTCTATTTCCGATGAAGACTTTTCCCCCGAGCAAAGAACGCCGACACCAACGCGACGGCCGCGACGGCAGTGTTCGCGACGTAGGCATATCTCAAGGCACGGTAGTAGACATGCCTGGCCGCCGACTGCACCTCGGGCGGCAGATGGTCCAACACGGCCACCGAATGACGGATCTGATCGACCAGCTCGTCTTTATTGGGGATTCCCTCGAGCGCCGAAGGGAGTTGCTGCGCCAGGATATTCTGCAGCAATGTCGACGACGCCGCGACTCCCCAGACCGTCCCCATGGAGCGGAACAGGTACACGGTCGAGGTGGACACGGCTTGGTCTATATGCCCGTTAGCAGATCGTGCCCTCATCAAGATATCGGGCCCCAGGTCCACTTACAACTATGATCAAACGCAGCGAGAAAGGTAAACAGGATCGCGGGATAGCAGATGCCCTGGCCAAAGTTGGCGGGGAAGAGATAGACCATGTACTTCCACGAGGCATCCTGGTACTTGAGGGAGGCGACGAGGCCGTTTCCCACCATCATGATGAAGCAGCCCGCCCTGACGAGCTCGCTGAGTCGGCCCCAGCGGGACATGACGATGCCTGAAAGAACACCGCCTGCTGGAGTCGCCAGGGACGGGATCACCAGGCGCATGCCGGCCTCGGAGGGGTTGTCGCGTAGAACGACCTGGAAGAACAGGGGCGAGATGAAGAGGAACTGTTCGTCTGTCAATGCCCGCATAAAGGAATTCGTGGAGTCCGAACTTACAGAGTAAGCAGCCATACCGACACACACATTACTGATCTGGTTCGAGATGGCGAGAGTTCCATGTAGCATGGACATGGGCATCACGGGGACGGCCTTGGTCCTGAGCTCCACCACGACGAATACGAGGATGAGAATCACACTCAAGATCATGGCGAGAATGACACGAATGTCGCTCCAAGGGTAGTTGTTTCCACCCATGGTCATGGCACCCAGCTGCGCGGAGAGGCCCAGGACCAAGAGGACGGCGCCCGAGAGGTCAATCTGCTCCCATTTCGACGAGAGCTTCGCCGCGCTCGAGCCCTCCGACTCCTCGTCCGTCGCCGACTTCTTGGTCTCGTGCTTCTTGATGACAAAGTGTCCGACGACGAACGCAAATGTCGAGACAGGCACCTGCAGGAGAAAACACCATCTCCACCCGATGTGGTCTGCGATCAACCCGCCCAGGGACGCCCCGCAGATGGACCCAAATCCGTGCAAGACGTTCTGACAGGCCTGGTACATGCCCCGTTCCTGGAAGGGGATCATGTCCGAGTTGATGATTGTGGCCATGGTCATGAGTCCTCCACCTCCCAGCCCCGTCAAGGCTCTCATCAGATTCAGGGTGATGATGTCGGGCGCAAACCCGCACCCGAGACAGCCCAACAGAAACGTGATTGTGGCCGTGAAGAAGCAGGTTCGCCGTCCCAAGATGTCCGAGAAGCGTCCGTACAGCGGCTGGAAGGCGGTGCTGGTGATCAGATACGACGTCGTCAGCCATGAGATGGTATTCGCCGCGTTGAACTCGGACCCGATGACTGCGTATGTCGACGCCGTGATGGTCCCGTCAAAGCCAGAGAGAAACACGTTTGAGAAGATGGCTGGACAGACGTCAGCATCGGATCACAAAGTTATCAAGCCCTCCTTTGTTTCCACCTTCTTACCAATTTCTATCCATATAAAGCCCGGCCCAGGCGTCCATTTCTCTGGACGCCCTTTGGCACCCGCAGACTCGGCGAGGAGCGGCGTCGTCACATCCGACTCGGTGAGGATGTCGTTGATCGTGTAATGATCCTCCTCTCCCATCTCTTCCGTCGCAGTATCTCTTCTATCCATGTAACTTCACCACAGAATATCCGCGCCGCAAAAAAAGCCACAAGAGTACATTTATCGCAAATATATGTAGGTAGGTTGTGTTCAGCCAAATGGAGGGGATTGTGGGCCGAACAGGTAAGCATGTTCCAGGTAGATTTCGATTCGACGCTGGGATAAATTGTGGGAAGCGCAAGTCGCACAAGAGGCATCGTGTGTGGTGTCTTTTTTTTCTTTCGCCACGGTGGATCAGAGGAATGCATTTGTCATTCTCGTGAGTGATTGTGAGGTGGCCATTGTGGGAGATCCGCCTATACTGAACAGAGGGTTGATCAAAATCTCGCTCTCCCTCCCCATATGTGTGTGTGTGCGTGTGTGTGTGGATGGGTCCTCTTGGACGGAGGCGGAGTCCAAGTCCGTTGAATGTTTCTTGTCTCTGTGTGATTTGCCAGGATTGCTGAACAAGAAGCTGTATTGTGTGCTGTCAAGACGGACATGGACTCCGTGAAAAGGATCGACAGCACATCAAGTCAAACTCCACCTTTCGGGCTTCGTCTCCATGGTCAAGACCCGTTTCTCTTTGGACGCTTCTCCCCATCACGACATCTCCTTTCTCATGGCTGAACTGGTGGTGAATTGTGAGGAGCAATGTCGTGACTCGTGTCTGGTTGGTTGGTGGGCAAGTAAGTAATACTGTTGGGCAATGGAGCTGCTTTGTTCGAGAGGTTCGATATAATGATACACGCCTCTCCCCTGTCCTGTAACGATGCCTCATCGAAGAATCACACCCTCCTTCCCCCCTCTTTCCCTTCAACTCTTTTCGAGAATACGTTCATTCTCCCATACTGAACCGGGATGAGCCCGACATTCGGCTTCCCAGGCGTCCGAGCCACATTGGTGGCTCTGACAACATGCCTGTCCCTCCTCCCGACCGCGACGGCCAACTGGCGGTACAAGTCGCGACCGGACCTGGCGCCGCCGACGCTGAACATCACGATCCCGGCCACCAAGGAGGTGGAGAAGGGATACCTCTTCATGGCGCCCTTTGCGGGCTACCCGGAAGGCACGCACCACGGCCCAGCCCAGGCGGCGCCGTACATCTTCACCGACACGGGCGACCTGGTCTGGTCGGGCTTCACCTACTTCTCCATCTGGGCGACCAACTTCCAGGCCGGCCGGTGGAAGGGCCAGGACATCCTCTTCTGCTTCGAGGGGAGCCACAACGGCGCGTACGGTCACGGGCACGGCCACACGACCTTTCTCGACCAGAACTACGAGACCATCCGGGAGCTGCGGGCGGGGAACCACCGTCTCACGGACAAGCACGAGTTTCACATCATCAACGAGGAGACGGCGCTGATCCAAATCTACCACCCAGTGCCGTACAACTTGACGGCGTACGGGGGAAGTGAGGAGCAGCAGTGGATTGTCGATGCCAGATTCCAAGGTTGGTTTTGGGAGAAGTTGAGCTTTCGTACCAGGGCTAACGTTTTCGTACAGAACTTGACATTGAAACCGGAGAAGTGCTGTTCGAGTGGAGCAGTCTCGAGCATGTCGACCCATCAGGTACGTTATAGAACGACCCCTTCCCCCGGCGTACAATATCATCCCTCGTCGTGTTCAGGTTCTAATTTGCCATATAGAGGCCTACCTCCCCCTCAACCCCGGCCAAGCAGGTGCTGGCTACAACAGTTCCGACGCGTGGGACTACTTCCACATCAACTCGGTCGACAAGGACGACCAGGGCAACTACCTGATCTCGGCGCGCGACGCCAACGCCGTGTACAAGATCAACGGGACCACCGGGGACATCATCTGGCAGCTGTCGGGCAAGTCGTCGAGCTTCAAGATGGGGCCCGAGGTCGAGTTTGCGTTCCAGCACCACGCGCGGTTCCAGGGCCGCAACGAGAACGGCACGCGCGAGATCATCAGCCTGTACGACAACTCGGCGCACGGGACGGAGAACGACCACGGCCACGAGGTGCACTTTTACAACATCTCGCGCGGCAAGATCATCCAGGTCGACACCGAGACGTGGGAGGCCCGGATCGTGCAGGCCTTCCACCCGCCCGACGACCTCCTGTCCAAGTCGCAGGGCTCGACGCAGCTGCTCCCCAACGGCAACGTCCTGGTCAACTGGGGCTCCGAGGGCGCCATGACCGAGTTCAAGGCCGACGGCACCCCGATCTTCCACACTTACATGGACTCGGGCTACCTGGGTCTCGGGGTCGAGAACTACCGCGGGTTCCGGTACAACTGGACGGGGATCCCCAACGAGGCGCCCGCCATCGTCGCGCTCGAAGACCAGGGTGCCACGGAGATTTACGTGTCGTGGAACGGCGACACGCGGACCAAGCTGTGGCGCTTCTACGAAGTCTTCCGCGGCCGTCGCGCGTACATTGGCGAGGCTCCGCGCGAGAGTTTCGAGACGTCACTGAAGCTTGATCGCGTGGGCGTCAAGACCGTCCAGGCGGAGGCGGTCGACGCGCAGGGCGAGGTTCTGGTCGACACCTCGGCGGTGAAGCCGAGCGTCAAGATCCACGAGTTCCGCGGCGACGGGGGCCACAGCAAGGGGAGGGGCAAGGGTGGTCTTGTTCCCTGGTTGACCGTGCAGGGAGAAAAATTCTTCAAGGGCAAGGATATGTGAGCCGAATGTTTTCTCGCTCAGCCGTGACAAAAAAAAAAAGGGGGGAGAATAGGAAAAAGAACAAGAAAAGGCAAGTGAAGTGGGAGGGAGTGTTTCCTTTTTTGTTCCTTTTCAAGCGTCGTGGGTTGAATACCTCTCATACAACGGGAGGACATTCGGCCACAGCAGGCTGCCGGGTCGGTCATTGGCGGTATATATCTTGGTTAGGGGGACGAGATGATCAAATCACTGCCCGTTTTCTGTTTCCCGTCCAATGACTCTATTCGCGCTCTCCCTTGCCATACCACACCATCACCATCACCATCACCGTACCAGAAGCCATCCCGGACCACCCATCCTACACATCACACATCACACATCCGAGTGAAATCACGCCGCACTCGACCCCGTGACTTTCCCAATGATGATCTCGGGCGTCACGTTCGTATAGTTGGAGACGTCCTTGGCCGACGCCTCGCTCCCCTTTGTCAGGGCGTTCTTGAAGTCGTCGATGTTGTCCCACTCGATGGTCGCCGCGGCGATGTACGGCGGCGCCTTGCCGGTCAACGAGAGCTCGGCCGGGAACGACTCGACGGTCCACTTGCCCATGCCAAAGGGCCGCCAGTCGCGCTCGATCAGTTCGCCCATGTGCGTCTTGAGATAGCTACGCATGACCAACCACCACCACCAGGCTGTTCTCAGCGCGTGGAACCCAGGGAAAGGAGAAATCCTCCGAAGGAGGGGGGAACAGAAGGAAAGATGGTGAATGGTGAATGAGCAGACTCACTAGTCCATGTCAAAGCGGGCGGGTTGTCCATCCTTGGTCGTCGACGGGTATGCCACCACGGTTACGATCTTGGTGCTGGCCATTTTTTTCTCGCGTTTCTTCCTTCTCCGATGTTCACGTCTGTGAGCGACTAGGGTGGCGTGCGTATGTATCTCGCGCTGTGTCCGTACGTGCGTGTGCGTGTAGTGTTTGTAGTGTCTGTACAATATACGCGTACATTTCTCTTTATCAACGAGATTCAAGTAGCCACGACCCCGAGTAAACTTTACCCTCGGCTTTTTCGGTATTGTGCCTCGGACCGCAAAACTCACTGCTCTTTTACAGCCCCAGCCGGGTCAACGGGGATCGTGACTCGCGAATAATGAATAATGCATAATGCGGAGGGGAAAAGGGGGAAAGAAAAAGAAAAAGGAGACTAAACAGTTCTAAGAGACGGACGTCATTCGATGCCCCCCCCTTACCCCGGCTTCATCTCCATCTATCATTCGCGTAAAGTCACTTCTTTACATATGTGTATGTATGCTATTTTCTTGATTCTTTGAATTTCGCAATTTCAATTCCGACTTCTTTCGCTTTGGTGAGAGAAACTGTCTCCGACGTTCTACTGATTGCCTGAACGACTAAACGGCTTCGGACTTCATACAATGACCAGCCTCTGCCTCTCCCTGAAACCAACCTATCCCCCCGCCAGCGCCCGAACGGGAGACTCACTCAGATAGATGGAAAGATACCACCTCTCCTCTAGATGTTTCGCAGCGAATAAATCACACACGCCACGGCATGCTTCAAAAGGCCACCTGAGGTTTCCTCGCCGAGGTCTTCGGCCGATGCCGATAACTTGGCGGGTCAGGACTCTGGAGTTCGCCGTTCCTCATCGATCGACGCCATCGAGGGAGCTGGTGTCGGCCCTCGCTCGTGGGACAAAACTCGTGCTCGGGCCGAAAGAGGAGGGTATTCTGAATACAAGTACCCGAGTGCTGAGTGCTGAGTGCTGAAGTAGGCAGTATGTAGTCGTATCTGTACTCAAGGAATAGAAACCGGTCAAAGTTGTCGTCCAGGGATAGACAAAGGATATATCGTGACCGTGTTGCCGGAATGGCCTTCCTTGGACGTCACGAAGAAAAGTGTACAGATGAAATCCTCATGTAGCTCTAGGCCGCGTCTTCAGCCTCTCCGCCTACGTTGTGTCTACGTCGTGTGTCCGCTGTTGATACAACTGCCATGATAAATCCGCGTCGGTCTCTACTGCTAAACGTGCACCTAGTAAATTAATTGTTATTCAGACACTTGCGGCAATTTTACATGGTTCCGCGGGAAGAAATCATAAATAACAGAGTAACGAGGCTTTGAGATGCGTGAACAACAATCGATCCATCAACAGACAGCCTCGCAGCCTCGTCAAGAAAAAAACACCAGAGGGTTGACGAGCAATGCCCATACCCCGCAGTTGAGGTCTGAGGCTCTTCCATGACAGGTATGTTTGCCGACACAGCACTACTCCCATTTTGGAAAGGTAGGTAATAAGTCCAAGCGCAGGCACGTGCACGCACGTGGTACCGGTTGTGATAACAGCCTCCAACACAGAAATCTTAATTACCCCTTGTCTGACCAGCAAATGACAAGGTCCTCGCTGCTAATAGTCTTCCTCCGAGAACGTCATTTGAAATCGAGTTTGTCCTTTCCACCTCCACCGACTTTCATTCTTGTCCTTCTGATACTCCCTCATCTCTTCTCGTTTACGCAGACCAGCTCAGGTCAGACCAGGCCGGGAGAACACTTGCATTCTAGTCGTCCCGTCTTGCCTCCCACCAGTTCCTCGCATCTTACGCCTGACATAGTTGATGCCGCCCCGAACGTCTGTCAGATCGAGTTCATGGCTCGCCCACGCGCCGATACGGGGAACTTCCCCAAAGAGCCTCACTCGATATCTTTAAAAGGTATGCCGCTTTCTGGGTCGAAATCTTTGTTTTGTTATTACACAATCATCATTACTTGATCTGCGTGTTTGCTAACCCTGGCCAAAATCTTCTAGTGCTGAGGTGAGTCCGTGTTTCTGTGACTGGTTACACGTTGTTGGGAAAATGGGCAATTAGGTCAATTAATGCGCATCCCCCATAGACTCTCCCGGCCTTCGCTGGCACAACAACACCCTCTCCCCCGCGAAAATGACACCAAGATACCTCATACAGCCTCGTTAGCATACCCATCCAAAGCCGTCGACCAGAACTTCATTTTGTCCGCCAGCATGGGTTTGCCGCCATCCTTCGGTTCGGCTCATGTCGGCGAGACCTTCTCCTGTGCTCTCTGCGCCAACAACGAACTCCCCTCAGCACAGTCAACCAAAAGCGTATCAGGAACAAGAATCTTGGCCGAAATGCAGACACCATCTCAAGCCGTGCCCCTAGAGCTCTATGCGGCTGATGATCTAACAGAAGACAGCTCGAGTCACTCCGGGCCCGGAAGCGCCTTGCAAAGGATCATTCGGTTCGACCTGAAGGAGGAAGGCAACCACGTGCTCGCCGTCAATGTCACCTACACCGAGACCCTTTCAGGTGATGGCCAAGCCACCGGCGGAAGGGTTCGATCGTTTCGGAAATTGTACCAATTCCTCGCCCAACCATGTGTGAGCGTGCGAACCAAGACCACTGAACTGGAAGCTGTCAAAGTTTCCGACAAAGCGCATGGTCCGTATGAAAAGGCCACTTTGCTGCGCTATGTTTTAGAGGCACAACTGGAAAACGTATCAGATGCGCCGATATTGCTGCAGCAGACTAAACTCCAGCCGAAGCTGCCATTCAAGTCGACTTCGCTGAATTGGGATGCTGAACAGGATAACGATGTTGCCGCGGAATACCCGTCGCTCAAACCCCGAGATATCATACAAGTAGCCTTTCTGGTCGAGCAGGAACAAGGCGTCGCAGAAGGATTGGAGGACCTCAAGGATAGTATCAAACGTGATGGCAGGGCGGTTCTGGGCCAACTTGCTATTCAATGGCGGACCGAAATGGGAGAACGAGGTTCCCTGAGCACCGGGAACCTCTTGACTCGGCGCAAAGTAGCATAAAAGCTACCTGATTTTGTGACTTGTAGGATAGCCATATTTATCTTGGAAAAGGTGTCAGGATCAATGCGTCTTGTGTCGAGTCTCATGGGGCGTGCATGCCAAGACCGTTCATTTTACTGGTCAATATGCTGATTCTCGATCTCTTGGGGATCGTAGGCAAGCTCGGAACCTTCTCATCTTGCTTGAATAAACCTTCTTCCAGCTTCGCAGGGGTTCGAGTGACAATGGTATGATAATCACGTCCCTTTGATGCAGCGCCTAGCTCTGGCCGATCAACGCTTGCCGGTACTGCCACTATCCTCCATTGATGCTGAGATGCATCTGAAAGTAAGTCGGTGTTCATGCCCACATGAGGTGACCATGCCATAAAGCTTTTTCTGTTGAGACTGAGACTGGGAATGCTCGACCGCAAGCCGGCGCGCCGACGTTTTGCCATGATGATGGCGTCGAACAGGGCTATCGAAGGAGTTGATGGTTTCTCTTCGCGGTCCATGATGAACTCATTCCAAGCTTGAGTCTGTTGCAGCATGCCCATGTAGGCGGCATGGTCAGGGGTCAAACTTCTCATGAAAGCGTCACTGTCAAAGGAGTAGATAGCCCCAAGCTTCTTTTTCTGTGGAGGTGCAGGTTGCAAAACTTTCCGGTAGGTGTATAACAAGCTGGCCATGCATCTCGCAAAGGCGGCACGAATCTGATCTGGGTAGAAAGCTGCAGAGCAGACCACCGATATGTTATGGGCGCATCGATCGTGGACGACGAAACCACACCCCGAACATCTATAGTATCCATCTGGAGCCTTTTCGTCGCAGAGAAGACATGTAGACGGACCGTCCGCCGCTCTCCATAGCAGACAGTGACCCTCAAACCAACGCGTACCTTCACCAGTCCGCATATGCAGTGTATTCACTCCAGGCATAATTGTAGAGGCTGCCAGGGTCGACTGCGCGTAAGTGGAGGGTGCATACATAGACCCATTTCGATTGTCCGATAGTGTAGTGCTCGAAGAAGGGCTCGCACTGTGTTTCACGAACGGAAGGCTTGCTTTTCGAATCATATGACTAGACCCAGAGAAACTTCTTTTCGACACTGAATCGAAGTGACCGGATCTCTTTTCCTTAAGAGAAGTCTGAAGAGCATACCCCGAATCGGTTCGTGACGGTCCAGAACCAGGCGTCACAGGGAAGTTGGGGTTAACGGGAGATTGACTGTCGGAATCAGTGAAAGTGGAGTGTCTGGCGGTCGACGATGTTCTGGGACGATCAGAGCTCTTTCCTCTGGTTGGTGTAGCAGCGAGGAAAACGTTCAGCAGTGGAGACCGTCGAATGGTGTCAGTTGCGGCTTGCGGGCCGAATGTCGTAGAGCTGAGGCTCGCGAGTTTATCTAGATTTGTGGATTTGGCGACTGCGGTAAAGGTAGACTCGAGCTCTGCAGAAAAGCCATCATACGGATATGTGTCCACCGCATACGCAGGAGGTCCCGGAGTCACTCCGAAGCTTTGGTGGAGCGGCGCAGCTTGGTAAAGCAGAGACATCAACTTTCTCCGCTGTTGTTTCGGTAGGAAAGGCGGCGGTGCCGTACTATGCAATTCGTTCTTATCCAAATCGACCAAAACATAATCGTCGTCAGGTAGGTCGTACTTTTCATATTTGCGATCGATGCCGCAGATGTATGGACAAGGCGCATCCAATGCTTGAACCAAACGCGATGGCAACACCGGTATGTAGATTCCTGTCCATTCGAAGGGCCAGATGAGTTCTAGGATGGCTTTGCTGACTAATTGTAGCATGGAGACGTGGGTTGAAAGGAGAATGACCCTGGACTCGGATAAGACGTACTCCAGAAGAAGGATAATGTTCGGAATGGTAAGAGCTCGGAATAGCGGATACAGATCGGTCGTCCTACTCCCGGGGAGCTCATTTGCCGCCTCCTTTTTTGCATACAGTTGGAGCTCTCGTATCGAAATTTGGACTTGAGTTTTGGACGATACCGGGGAGGGTGCTTCGATGCACAGAGCAGCAACGTATCTTTCCAATGGTTGCCACATGCCGACTTTCGGCGAGCTAGCCGGCACTCGCAAGACCCCTCCATCAGTCATAGGAACGACGACCGCTCGAAGCCATTGCCGCCAGAAGTTTGCCATGGACTTGTCCCTACCCAAGATACCATAAGCTCTTGGAATCCAGAAGCGAGTCTCGCCACCCGCAAGCCCTTGAATATCCGATTCTGAACTGTGTCGCAGGGGCCTGAGCATGTCAGACATAACAGCAATCTTCTCTTCCACCGCGCTGATTTCATCCTCCAGAGCCTCTCTTTCTGCTGAATCTGGTGAGAGATGGGGCAATTGTGTTAGTAACCTAGACAATTTTGCACTTTCTGCCGTCAACCTCTCTGCAAGTGAAGTGGCCAATTCTCTCTCCGCCTCCGACATGTGAGCTTTTCGCCATTGCTCACACTTCTTTTCCAGATCTACGGCAACATCGCGATTCACGGGGATCCATATTATGACTGTGACCGCCGTAAGTCTCGAGTTATCTGCTGCTGTCATGGAGAATTCGTGCCAAGTTGACCTCGGTCTGGTCTCAGCGGCCACAATCTTGATGTCACCAGGGAAAGCAAACATGGGCACATAATCTGGAAACGGTGCTCTGCTCTGGGACTTTTCGAAAGCGCTTGGTCGAGGATATCTTTCCAGCAATACGGGTTCGAATTTTCGCATCAGGGGATACTGGTCAGGAGAGCTGTGGAATGTCTCTGGGCTGGGGATGACTGAGTTGTAACTGCTCATCCTTCGAGAGGTGCGCGTCGATGTCCGTCGGGCCATAGACGGTTGACGTTTTGTGCTGGACATGTCTTTGAAAGAAAGGTGTCTGCGGATACTTCCAAAATTGCGATTGGGAACCGGGGTAGGCTCATCCTCAGCAATGATTTTCTGCGTCTTCGGTCGTGACTTGGATCGAGCTGGCTTGGACGATTCATTGGGCTGAAACGTCAAGTCCAAATAGAAAGCATCTCGGTCAGTGGCGAACTTGGTCATGGCCTTGTCGAAGTCGGCTTCTGTTATCAACGAGGACATTCGAGGATCCGAGGCAGTCGGAGCAGCCGCCCGAATGGTGAGACTACTCCGGTTACTGCGTGGCTTCGTTGCGTCTTCAAGACTCTGAATGGTCTCCTTGGCCTCGTCGGAGAGCTGCGACAATCTCTGGTAGGAGTCATGTCTGGAATGGCCAACCGAGGCTCGAGGAGACTGAAGGATGGACGATTGCTCATCATCCACAGATGCCTCTTCTTTGATGGAAAAGTCGACACCATTGGTGTCGATCTGATCATAAGACCATCGGGGTTGAGAGATGGCGTCTGCCAGTTGTTGGCCGTCGAGCCCGGCAATCCAGAAGTAATCCGCAAGCGGTCGAGATGACTCGGGGGTTTCTGGCGTGGATCGCATGTTTTAATTCGAGCTTGCCATCAGATCAACCAAGTATGGGGCCTTGAGACTAGCATCAAAGCCTTGCTGGGTCAGAAAAGGATTTAGCTATTGGCAGATAGAGTTGACTTTGCTGGTCCCAAGCTCTGATTCCAAAGGGGTGATTCAAAACTGCACGGGCATTCTTCACTACGCCAATGTTGTCCTTGCCGTGAATCTCTGGAGGCCGGAAGAGAAGGGTAAAATGCGACCTCTCTTTGACCTTCACACTGACGTTGGGAAAAGGAGCTTTAGATTTGGCGGCCAGCCGACCACAAGCCGTGGGAGAGGAAAGGAGATACAAGGGGACAGATTGAGATGTCGAATGGAAGTTGATTATTTTTGACTCTGGAGAACCGAAGGATGCATTAAAACATGGAGATAACGACGTGTGCAGGGATCGTTTGGCTCTGGGGCAAGCGCCTCCCTGCGCCTAGGCCGAGTCGAGTGTGGAAAGGACAGCGGCCGCCACAGAGATCGACGATCGGATGGATGGTTTTGAGAGCAGGGACTAGGTACTCGTATGGGCACCAGCTAATGCGCCCAGGAAACGGCGATAGGGTTGGTTGGTGGTAGTAGTGGTGATGGTGATGGTGATAGTGTTCGTTCCTTTGTTCGCTCGTTGATACCTGGTGGTCTAGAGGTGGGAAGCGGTGATGGGGATGATGGTGATCTGCAGCTGTCACCTTTCTGTCTCTCCCATTCGAGGATTGGGGAAAAGGGGAAGCGCCGGAAGCATGCAAGAGGAAACAGAAAAAACTTTGATAGATATCTGCAGGAGAGATGTTCTGGGTCTCGTCGCGTCTCTCTCTGGATTAGGTGCGTGGCGTCGAAGGAACCTGCACGCACTTGTCAAGCTGGCAGCGTCTCTGGGGTGGTGCTGCGGGGTGGGTCTTGGCCTACTAGGCTCATGTATTCGGGCTAGTCTTAACTAAAACCCTCTCCTTGTCCAGTTAAAGAAAGGCTTCGGATTAAGCCTGCGCTGCCCATCCGTTTAGCTGGTTTCACCTCTTGTTAGGTCTGTTCTGCCCCTGGAGCTCACTTCTACGCCGAGCAAGCGAGTTTTGGTGGCGTGTTGCCGTTTACTGTACTTGGGCATTTCCATCTTGGCGAGTGGTTTTCCTGCAGGGGCTTGACATTCGGTTCCAGACTTCATTTTGCATTCCATGCAGTCGCTGCAGTGCCACCGCAACGGCTTGACATGATGTGGGCTGCCTCTGTCGCGTGGAGACTCGTCTGTTATCCACAGCTGTAAACAAAGTTCCGTTCATGTCTACGAGTACGAATACCTGGCAGTTTATCTCCCTGCGAGAACGAGTTACGCACATGCACCAGGCGACTTCAGCAGATGACGATGCTGTAGCCCGTGGACCTGTCATTGGTGAGAGACTGGATGGGATCTCGCCCGCCCTACGAGTACCTACACACGACAGCTGTTCGATCGCCTTCACACTGCACGCCGCTTCCTCCTTCCGAGCTCCCCAGCATCGTCCCCCAATTTTTCCTGCTCCCACACGAATCTATGACGGCACGGTCTCTTCGTCCTCCGACTGTTCTTCTTCCCCCGACCACATATAAGTAAGAGGTGGAGAATCATAGGACTAGGATGAGTGATGTCTAAATGTTGTTCCGCCAGGTGGAAATTATTGGTGGACGAGGTTCAAACCGACGTCTTTGATCTATTCTCTCGATCCACAGAATTGCTCTCTGGTGACGCCGATGGAAGCAAGGTCCAGCTTTGCATAAGCAGGGCTTTTCTTGGTTGCCTTCCTCACCACCTCCATCTTCAAGACAACCGTCTTGCCCTCGCCGCCATTTTCTGCAGGTCCCTGCGGTCTCTGCGCTCGAACTTTCCTCACACCGTCTTTCTTCGTCGTGTCCTTTATCCATTGCACATCGGATCTTCCACGTCTGTCCCCACGAGGATCGCCAGCAGAGTCCTTCTTCAGCTGAGCCAGGAAACTGTCGATTCTTTCGTTCAGATCAGGGAATTCCTCTCGGAGGGTCCAGTATGCGCTTTTCGCCTTGAGTCGTTTCTCCCACAAGCGAACGGCAATATGCTCAACAAGGAATGTTCTTGTCTCTTCATTTGGAGGATTGACGAGCCACAGGGCACGAACATCCTCGGAATGCACCTGCTCCGCACAGATGCGCTCCATCCGCTTGGTCGCTCGTTCCTGGAGAGTGTCACAGCCGATCGACACCGCACATTCGCGGACAAAGAATTGGAATGAATACGGCTTGAATCTCTGACTTGGAGTTTGAGCGAAGCCAAACCCCTGGCAACTCCCAAGCATCCAGTTGAGGATGTCGCGCCATATGCCATAGCTCCCACCCGTGACAACGATCGAATCGACGATGACACTGTGGATCTCGCCAGTGTTTGTCTTATTACTAGGAATGAGCTCGGCTTTCCACTTCGTTGAGAAGGCTGTTGCTATACTCTTGGGAAACTTGTCTCCCACTATTTGCAGGTTGTCGCCGTCGATGGCGTCCTTTTCCTTGTAGAGGACCGTGATGGTTTCGGCTCGTGGGAGGCTATATTCAATCTCATTGTCAACCTGCTGTTGTGGATCTGGACATCGAAAGCTTGGCTCTTGATGAGCAGACGGGGCTTGAGCCGAGAACTCACTTTTTGAGCTGCACTGCAGTCAAAGACGCTGCTTGTGAAGCCATTGTTGTCACAGATCCGGTAGAAAGATGCCCCCAAAGCTCTCTGTGGCGTCGACCTGGAACTTTATACGTGCCACAAGTCAATCTCAGCCCTGTTGCGATTGTGTTGACGAGGTAAGTCTGCTGTCCACAAAATCCAAAATAACTGATATCGATGAACGACTTCTGGAAGACCATCAAAATACAAAATAGGTGAGACGTCAAACGAGCAAAGCTTGGACCAGAGAAATATAAGAGATCAGTTTTAACAGTAGGATTTCCGGTCTGCGAGGATTCGGCAGTCGACGATAGTGACAGACAAGTGACGGATTGTGCTCATTCACCACCGCCGCCGCAGTCACGTCAACGCGCTTTGTTTTTCGTGTGGTTAACGAGGCTATTTGACGCACGTGCCCTCGGACCGTTCCAGCCTTGTGTAACACGCTTCAATCCGGAAGCTGCAGCGAGAGGAGGAGAATTGGTGAGAATGAACAAAGAATGTGGAAGGGAGACAGAGAGCTGGAGCTCTTGACACTCGCATGGAACACGACTTTGTCTATCTCGCCGGGCACGGACAGACAGACGTGCTGAAAAAATGAGGGTGTATATATTTCGTATATACAGGTAAGTCTCAGGCGTGGGCGTAGGGGAATGGGGCAACGCGAGTGTTTAAAAAGGCCTTACTGCCCGTGTCACCTGGGACTAACCGATATCCAACCGACCTCCATGGCATGCATGCATGCATACATGTATGTATGGCAATGGTGATGGTGATGGTGATATCTGTGAACGCATTGTGAAACATTGGGTATCATGCCTACCCACTTTACCTAACTTGGGTACTGTATTTTACAATCGCAGAATCATGCATGCTGCATACATGTAGCGTATCACGACATGACCAGGCACGCCATGCCACAGCACAGCATGATATGGTGCGGCGTGGCATGGGATGGCGCAAAGGGACAGGGTATGCTGCAGCAGCAAGCAGCAAACGCATGCATACATACGTAGGTAGCTTGACAGCCTGGCTACCTCAACAGATTCAAACATGGCAGCTGACAGCTGGAAGTAAATCCAGTGAGTGATGGTTTTGACTTCCAAAACGATGAGTCGCTGTCCGATTCCCCCCCTTCAGTCACTGCGGACTCTGCGATACCATATCATCACATCCTTTTGCCTTTCACATGTCCCACGTCGTGCCATTCCTAAGTTTTCAGCAGCTTCGGTGGCCCAGTACCGTTATTGTTCTTTGTCGTGCTCTTCGTGCCTATCGCCGCCGGGTTACTCGCGGTACTGGTCTTTGGGGTTGGCTTTGGCCTTGCAGCCGCATTTACAGGTGTAGATGCTTTCACACCCGTCGTCCCCGCAGATTTCTTCGTCGCTGGTGAAGTCTTAGAGGGAGTTCCGGCTGCTGCATTCGGCGCCGCTGTGGGCTTTTTGGGAGTCGGTGCAGTCGTACCGACTTTCGTGGTGTTCGTGCTCGTGCTTGATTTGGGCTTGGAAGACCCGGGATTAGCTTTGGCATTGGTGTTGACCCTGGACTTCTGCGTAGATGGCGGCTTGGTCGTTGAAGGAGCAGCCCCAGCAGGCTTTCTGGGAGTTCCGGTGGGGACAGTAGAAGGCGTCTGCTTAAGAGGTGTCGTTTTCGCAGGGGTGTTCATGACCGACTTCTTCTTCGGGGCTACGGGCGTGGGTTTCGAAGGTGTTGAGGACGCTGGCTTTTTAATCGCGCTTGTCATCGAGGTAGCCGTTCCTGATTTCTTCGCCGCCGCCGCAGGGGTTGATACACCGGTGCTCGCTTTCTTGGTAGGGAGGGTGGTCGAGATAGTCTTCTGCCCATTCGTCGCCTTTGGTACACTTTGTATGGGAGGCTGTTTCTTTGGAGCACTCGGGTCGAGTTTCGCTGGGGCTTTGGTCAACCCAGACTTAGAACGCGGGTCGAGCACTGTCTTTCCTCCCGCAGAGCTTGTGGATGCAACAGCCGTGGACGCATTACTCGACAAGGTCATCACAGTCCCATACCGGCTGTTCTCCTCGGCCTTCACAGCATCCCAGAAATTTCCTTTGGCGAGGGCAAGATTTCCAGATCCACTCTTCGCGAGAGGCGGCTTCGTTGCCGATGAGTTTGCCTTCTTTTCCTCTGCGGCCTTGAGGTCCTGCCAGAATGTACCTTTTGATTGTTTAGAGCTCGTCGATGTCGGGACGGATATGACGGAGCCTCGCCTGCTCTGTTCTTCGGCCTCCAGGGCATTCCAAAAGGAGCCCTTTTTCGGGACATTTGAGACGACGGAGCCGTGCCTGCTATTTTCTTCTGCCTCAACCTGCTTCCAAAAATCCCCTTTGACCGCGGTGTTGGTAGCAGGTTTCAGGGCAGTCGTACGAGAAGTGGAGGGTATTCTCCCTTGTTGTCTTTTGGCTTCTTCTTGGGCAAGTTGTTGCATGAAGTTCTGTTGTCTGTCCGTAATGCTGTCCTGAACCAGCTTTTGGGGGTCTGATAAGAACGCCTGGATAAAGTCGGCTCGGTTAAGAAGCGTTTGCGCTTGGGGTGAGGTGAGGAGCTTTTGCACAGCCACTGCACCGGCTGCGAACGTCTCCTCCTGTTTCCCCGGCTCGAAGAAGGAGTCCAAAGTTAAGCCGCTCAAGGCGGACGAAGTAGACTGCACTCCTTTGCCGGCTTGTATACCAGCCTTCTTGATGTCTTCAGTGCCTGCTTGAAGGGCTTCCTTGTTAATGCTCTTCCAGAACCGCTTCGGCAAGTCGCCATAGAAGATATATAGGATCATCGCCAGGATCCCCATCGGTGCAAAGATCTGGAGAAACTCGTACCAATGACTTGCACGGATTGGGACGTCCATATGTCCGCATCCCCGAAGAATCTTTCCAGATTTATATTTCGTTGCGCCATAGTCAGCTGGGAGCTTGCCAGTCTGGTAGTACTCTTCAATCATGACATCTTTTTCCCGCCAGCGGGCTCTGAGCCATAGTTCAAATGCTCTGTCGTTGTGGAGTGGGATCTCCTTGACCGCAAATCGGCGCCAGTGCATGCTGACGGATTTTGGAGGCCGACCTTCCAAATAACCCGCTTTCAGGGTGAAGATATCTTGTGCGTACTGCCCACGGGGTACACCTTCATAGACTATAGTGCAGTCATAGAGGTAATCCACAGTATCTTTCAGCTCCTCTAGACAAAACTGTAGACCAGTGCTTCGAGGTAGCAGGACGTGCCTTGTGTCCGGAATGTTGTTCTTCTTCGCCCATTCAGTGCTTCGCTTGCGAGTACTTGGAGCTAGATTAGTCCCTTCTGGAAAAAGAAGCAGCCACATTGGATCTGTGGGCTTATTCAGTCGTTGCAATGCGCTGGCCATGTTGGGCTTGTCCTGTTCCCAATTGCGCTTCAAGAAGATGAACTGATACAACTGCATCCCCCATCCTATTACAGGAATCTTGCGCAGCGATTCCTTGAGGATGATGTAGAGGCGGCCATGCATCCCATTGCAATACGCTATCCACCACAGGTAAAGCCAATCGGTGTAGATTTGATGGTTCGCAATGAGAACAAGTCGTTCGGGAAAATCCAAGATCAGGTCTCCCTCGGTCGACTTCAAAAGTTGCCCTCGCACCGATTTGTCTCCGGAGACGATGACCTTTGTCGGCGCGAATGTCTGGGTGAGAGTCATCGTGAGCAGCCCGAAGGACTGCTTGGTAAACGCGATCCATGCATTATACCAATCCTCGTTGATCGCTCGCAACGGAGCTCCCAGAAATTGAGAGATGTTGATGGCCAAAGCTCCAGACAAGAAATAGGTTGATAGGGCCAGAGCCCTGGACGCGACAGAGAATTCGCCTTTTGAAAGTGGCACTCGATCAGGCCGCTCCGGTCTTGAGTCCAGCGAAAAGCCGGCCGCAGGCTCAAGAGCAGGTGCTCTGGATGGAGCCATTGTTATTGACTACCCGTGGTTATAACAAGCTTTCTGTTTGTCCTTTCTCTTCCTCCTCCCGGCCCATTGTTGTTGATATGTGGACAGCCACAGCTTGCGGACTGCCATGTGTAATGCATGCAGAATAATATTCGAAAAGGCTGGGATCGCTCCACGAACGCCACACTGACGTACAAAGGGTCCATGTTTCTTTTCAGGCCCGAGAGGATCACCGTCTGGGAGCTGTCACCCAGCCCGTGTTGACCAAGCGCCGTTGGCCAATTCTGCTTGTAAATGTGGCGTTCTCCTGACCCCCGTGCCCTCGCAATCCCTGAGCGGCTGCATTTGGAGGGAGATGAACGACTAATCCGAAGATACGAACAAATGGCAGAACTGCCCGCTTCCTAGCCTTCTGGGCTCATCGCACTTTTGGGGCTGCATCAACGATCGAAGGGGGCTTTCTGAGAGCACACCCTGGTCAGAGCGGTCCAGATTCGTATCTTCCGACAAGGATCGAGTGCTGCCAGTGGAGAGAAGGAGGTGTCGAAAGCAAGGAAAAGCAGGAAAAGGACCCTTGTGGCACCAGTGGCGGTGCTGCGACGCTCCAATCAGGCTGGTCGTGCGCAGCCTAAGATGACGTTTGGAGGGAGGCACCAGGAGAGTCAATTGGGTGGACTTGTCCATATCATTCCTCGCATGTCCCTGATGCCGATCAAAAGGAGGAAGCTTTGAGAGAGAAAGACATCCAAGGGATAAAATCTAACCCTTTTCTCTTGACATCACGTCTCGTTCGCCTTCACGTTCAGAAATTCATGCTATTTGGTCTTGTCTGTACCCTTGACTGAGGTGCAGACGCAGGTTTACAGGTTCCAATGCCTAACGTATCATTTGATATCTTTTTTGACAAGGACTTTATCAACATCACAGCCACTCGAGGACAGACTGCTCCAAAGGCCAAACCCGAGTGGAAGGTCCGCACCGCACCCAAACTACCACCAAAGCCTGTGGTTGAGGATCCTACTGGAACTCCCAGGCCACCACCGAGACAGAAGTTGACGACCCTTCGTCAGCCAACGCACCACCAGAAGCCGCAAGAAGCACTTCCCAGCACCGACAAGCCCGAGCCCGCTGAAAGCGTCAACGGTGCCACATCTGCTGGCGAAGAGAAGCCCAAACGAAAGCCTCCGAAGCTTGGTCCCAGAAAGTCGGCCACTCCCGCTACTCCTGCTGCCACCCCAGCTGCATAAAGAATGGCAACTCAATGGGTTCTCGGAAAGGTCAGTGAGGCACTAGCGCCCACTGTCTCGAGCACGGTGGCAAGTGCTGGTGCATTTGCTGGTGGAGCAGTCAATGCTGTAGGCAGCAGTATCAACGGGGTGGGGGAGTCAATCAATTCCACAATTCGAAGATATGGAGACGGGGTCAAGGATTATGGCAATGGCATCATGGATTGGACGCAGGCAGGAGGAGTTCGGGCAGCAACGGCAAGCAATCCTCTGGGTCTGAGTGCAGGGAAGACAGGGGGTAGGTTACAGGTTACCAGTCCTCAGATCTACCGGCCGCCTGCGTCGACACCAAAGACATCCCCATCGAAGAGGTTGATGACCACGAGCAAAACGGCAGCACCTCAAAAACAGATCGAGGGAGGGACTCCAAAGAAAGCATTGCCAGCTCCAGGTCCGAAATCGACAGGAGTATCGCACAAAGCCACTCCTGCTAAGAAGATTGGTACCGCTCCCATCAAGCCTGTACAACAGTCGGCGGCGAAGACAAATACCCACCCCAATCCTGGAGCCATGAGGCAGCAAAAACAGGGCAACGGTGCGAACAAAGCTGGGGGTGCAAACAAATTTCCTACCACACCAAACCCAGGCGCCATGCGGCGCAAGCCAGCAGATAATGGGGACACGAAGCAGACCGCCGCGGTTAAGAAGGTTTCGAATAAGCCCAACACGTCTTCTGCCTCGAAGCCGACGACGACATCGACGACAGCAAACCGACCAAAGGTGCAAGGCAATCCCACGGCTGCCGCCAACCCGCTCGGGCTCAACTTTTGATACGCTTTTCAGTTGCTGGTCGTTTGTTGATTCAGAGGGCGGTATGACCTTTTCTGCATGGTTTGGTCTTGACATGGTTTGGTACGAAAGTATTGGGTATGATCTAGGTAGTTTCCTTTGTACTGAGTACTCGAATAGAAATCATAGCTTGGGCTCCTCCGACTACAGTTCCGGGGTCCATGTTTGGCAATGGAACTTGATTGATTGAAGCGTACTCGGAACTGCTCGACACACGGCGGGGTCGAGTAGCTTAGGCCTAAGACTTTTCGGTTCCGTAGTTATTCCTGCGGGGTCATCACACATTCCCTCGGGGCCTTGGTGCCCTACCCGTTGACGCCCTAGACTGGCTTCCATCCAACCGATTCTTACTGCCGGCGCTGTTGTCATTCACGCCTTTGCTTTGCGCCTTTCATGTCTATCGATACTTCAGTCACTTCCCGCCTAGGCAAATGATGGCGGTATTAGCCCTGCAAACAGCAGGTAGGTGGAAAAGTTAGTAGCTGGGAGCTGACAAAACAGACCTCACTTCAAATTGTCTATATAATCATGCAATTGATCCAAGGTACCTCTTCCGACTAAGCTGCGCAACACGTCCACTAGACACCGCACAAGTGTTCCTCTCACAGCACCCTCACCATAATGGCAGACATTGAACCATTCACCATCAGCGTCGCCGATTCCGCCCTCTCTGACCTCAAGACTCGCCTTTCGCTCGCTCGCTTCCCCGACGAGCTCGAGGATGCGGCCTGGGACTATGGCACGCCGCTGGCAGACGTCCAGCGGCTAACAAGATATTGGAAGGACACATACAACTGGCGGGAGGCGGAGAAGAAGCTGAACGAGCTGCCAAACTATCGCACGACGATCCAGGTGGAGGGCGGCTTCGAGCCATTGAAAGTGCACTTCCTCCACCAGAAATCGAGCGTGGAAAATGCCATCCCATTGCTCTTCGTGCACGGCTGGCCCGGCAGCTTTCTCGAGGCGGTCAAGATCTGGGACAAATTGCCTTCGCCGGACCCGGGATCGGACGATCCAGCTTTCCACTTCGTGGCCATCAGCCTGCCAAACTATGGCTTCTCCGAGGCGCCCAAGAAGAAAGGCTTTGCCATCGCGCAGTACGCCGAGACGTGCAACAAGTTGATGTTGAAGCTCGGGTACGACGAGTACGTGACCCAGGGAGGCGATTGGGGATACTACATCACACGGGCCATGTCGCTGCGGTACCCTCAGCACTGCAAAGCGACGCACGTCAACTTCGACCAGGGCGATGCCCCGTCATTCCTGACCCACCCCACTTTGGCCCTTCAGCACGCGGTAACGCCGTACACGGCGGCGGAAAAGGAAGGACTGAAGCGCACTGACTGGTTCTTCAAGGAGTCGTCGGGCTACCGCGCGCAGCAAGCCACGAGGCCGCAGACGCTGGGGTACGCGCTGGCCGATTCCCCCGTGGCGCTGCTGGCGTGGATCTACGAGAAACTGCGCGACTGGACCGACTCGTACCCCTGGACTGACGACGAGATCTGCACCTGGATGAGCATCTACTGGTTCTCGACCGCGGGCCCCGCCGCCACCTTGCGCATCTACTACGAGTCGACGCACGAGTGGGACAACCCGGCCACGCGGGTCACCCGCGACCGCACGCGCGAGTACATTGGCGGCGGGGTGAAGCTGGGGCTGAGCCACCAGCCCAAGGAGCTGAGGGTGTTGCCGAGTACCTGGACGCGGACGCAGGGCGACGTCGTCTTCGAGCGCACCAACCCGAGCGGCGGACACTTTTACGCCTACGAGCGACCGGAGCACCTGTTGCGGGACGTCAGGGACATGTTTGGCAAGAAAGGCGGCGCGAGGGATGTGGTGAAGGGGAAGAGTGGTTATTGACGAACTTTTTTACAGGAGAAATCACTCAAAGGGAGGTTCGAGCGATATCTACTGCATTCCCTTGTTCTTTTCTTTTTTTGGAGTTAGGATCTACTGCTACTTTGAACAACCAAGACAGACAGATTCTAACCATGGCCTGAACCCTGGTTAAATGGTTGAATTGAGCTTGATATCCATGGTAGCGGGTATCCCACTCCTACTACTACTACAATTGAAGAGGCTGAGGATTTCGACGTCAACCCCCCTTCGTGATCGCTCCAGCACTCTAGGGTATTTCCCGCTCGTCAATATAACTCGCGCCCCATGGAGGTATCTCGTACCTATCTATGTAGGGCTATTTATATCCGCTGTCGCCCTCTCTGGACGTATGAGCTAAGAATCGCTCTTGAACAAATACCGCCACATTCCAACGTTCCTAGGAATCCACGCGACGTCTTTCTTCTTCCACTTCTTGGTGCAAAGTACAAAGTACAAAGTACAAGCACATGTACAAGCACATGTACAAGTACCTACCCCAGACGGTGAGTTTCTCAAAGGTCAACTGACCTACAAATATTCATCGTGCGCGATAATGACAACTCGGTTGCGTTATATCACGTGATCACCATCACGGCATGGGGAAGAACTTGAACACCTTACATAGTTTACTCTCTCTACCAGTATCTACCGACTTTGTTGAGCAACATGTCCACAATTATCAGTATCTACCAGCTTTTTGGATCATCATCATCATCTTCATAATTCTACGATGGGTAAAACAAACTTCTATAATCTATAACCTGCCGGATCCTCCCCTCCGCTTCTCCACGGCCTCCCGCAACACGCGAATAACGTGGCCGGGGTCCTTTGCTCCGAACACGGCTGAGCCAGCCACGATGACGTTGGCGCCGGCGTCGGCGGCCTGGTCGATCGTCGACTCGGAGAGGCCGCCGTCCACTTCGACGTTGAGGTCCGGGTATCGTTGCCGCACGGCTGTGACTTTGGGGAGTTCCGAGGCCATGAACTTTTGGCCGCCGAAGCCGGGGTGCACGGTCATGATGAGGACCATCTATTAGGGACACAAGATGGCAGTAATGCGTCAGTCCAAGTCAGTTCTTTTGCGGTGTGATGGGGGAAAGAAAGGGCTTCAACGGGCTGGGGGAATAGTGAAGTTCCCTACATCTGGTCTGTCCTGCTTGTCCTCGGCTTCCAATATCTCCCAGAGCACGTCAACACTGGTTTCCGGTTTGATCGCGATGCCCGCCTGCATGCCGAGTTCGTGGATGTAGCGTATCAGTTCCTTGGGCGACGTGGGTCGCGTCGTGGTCTTGTCTTCGGGTGTCGTGGCTGCGACCGAGCTGACGGCCGCTTCGTAGTGGAAGCAGTAGAGGTCGCAGCCTGCGTCGCGAAATGTGGAGACCCAGCGGTGAGGCTGTTGCGTGTTCTCATCAGTTCTCGTTAGATTCGAGCACGAAGAGGACACAAGGGGAGAATTTTAAGCCAGAGAGTGCGTGTGTCTGTGTCTGTGTCTGCGTCTGCCCTGCGTTTCGGGAGAAGAAGACATGGACCAGCCTCACATCGCTCCATATTTCGTCACCTTCTCTTCATTGTCGCCTGTCCAGTCACGTCCTCCGCAGACCTAAGCTTTCAATGTTGTGCAGTCCTTCTCTTTTCACCCACCCACCCACCGCTAGGCTCTCTCTTTTTTCGCAACTGCAGACAATTGACTTGGCTTGACTCACCTCTGCAATCATCATGTGGCAATCAAATGTGCCTCTGCCGCCCGGTTTCTGCGGTCTTTCCACGTGTGGTCGGATCTTGGACACGACCGGCGCGCCGAACGTGATATTGGGGACAAAGTGGCCGTCCATCTAGAAGTTTGCGAGTGAAGAACGTCAGCTTGTATGCTATGCCTTCATACAGACGAAACGGGCCAGTATTTTCCCCTCCTGTAGACATCCTCTTTCTGTCTTATTCTTGAACTCCAATAATTCCCTGTCCTCTCAAAAGGGAGCAGATGAAGTATTCTTGGGGCTTCGTGCGCAGCGCAGACGTACAATGTCGACATGGAGCCAGTCACAGCCCTGGCCCATTGTTTTGGCGCACTCGCGACCCAGTTCGGCAAAGTCGGCGCTCAGTATCGACGGCGCTATTATGGCCGGAGGAGTTGTTCCTGACATTTTGGACTATAAGTGGAAAGGTACTAGGTGAGGGCGAGAAAGGGAAGGTGTTTTGGTCAGAGTCTGATAGGGGCGGGGGAGGAAAATCGGTGAGGGAGACGATCGTAGTAGAAAGCGATGATCCCGTGTAGTCAGTCAGTTAGTTAGGTATATAGAAGAACGAAAAGAGTGTGTTCACGTCTGTACACGGACAAGAGGGTAAACTGCGCTCCAATGTTTCGAATTACGTAGGACTTGTCGGTGCGACCGGGAAATATATGGACCTGCCCCTCACTAAGGATCTAGCTTGCTCACTAAGTCGCCAATGACAAAACGTGTTTCCCAATCAAGTTAGACCATTTTCGAGGAGAAGTATTCCAGGCTGAAATGGTCAGCCCTCGTCGTCAAACCCCAATTCGACCTGACGAGGCGGCTGGCTGTTCCAAAGGAAAGAAAACAATCGATACGGAAAAGGACACTGAAACCCAGAAAATGCGCATGTCCTCGTCCTTGTCCCTGCAAAACCATGACAAAAGGTCACCTGAAACCTCAGACCAAAGAGCGGTTCTTGTTGTCCTTGCTCGAACTCACTCCCTCGATCACCGGCTCGAGGCTGTAATCTTGGACATCCTCCACTTTGCACTTCTCAAAGGCAGAACGGTTCAGGGCCCACACACGCAGCAGCTCCACGAGTTCTTTGCACCCCGGTGGCCGCCGATCCAGATTCGGGGCCGGAGGTCTGCCACAGGGGTTGTAGAGGACGACGTCCGACGCCACCCCGTCCCTTCCGATCGGCCCGCCAGCGGTCGCCATGACGGCGTCTTTGAGTCGGTCACATCCGTCTCCCGGGCGTGCCAGGTGCCACTGGCAGAGCGCGTGTACTTCGGCACAGTTGGCCTGGAACATGTGCCAGGAGTATTTGCCCGGCTCGACCCCTTCCTCGCTGCTGAGGGACAGGATTTTGTCGATGAAGATCCGCCGCTCGGAAGAGAGCCTGTCCAGGAAGCTTGAGTATGCGCGCATGCCCTTGACGGACGTGCATATGAATAGGCGGCAGTTATCTTCGTCAAACAGGGCCGTGACGGCCGTTGGCGGGGTCGCAAATTTTCGATCTTTGTGCGTCTTCGCCCAATCTTTCCAAAGGTCATTTAGTTCTTCCCGGGCTTGAATGGCGACATGGCCAATCAATTTATCGGACCATCTGAGGTTACACAAGGAAACGTCAAGAACAGCTGATGCTGCGAGGATACCCAGCCTTTCGTACGCATCCTCGTCAAATGCCAGACGAAAGCTGTTTCTGGACATGTCGAACAACTGGTGGAAGATAACGACCGAGGTGTTTGATCTTGAAAATGTGGACAGGTTTCCTCGAGATCTTCGGTAAAGAGTTTGAATTAGTAGAATTCATCGGCCAAGGGGCCAAAGACGAGTCCAAAACCAAGACGGGAGGTCTTGGGCAGAAGCAGGCGAAGGGGAGCAGAGGAAACCAGGCGTTGTTTTTCGAGCCGCAAGACCCAGGCCAACACGAATGGTCGTCACAGCGTCTCTGATGTAGAGTCCGCGCACTGGGCTCCAATGTTGTTGCCATCAGCGTTCGTCCCGTCCCCTACGCGGATAGGTGCATGATTGAGGTCCCTCAGCCTTATCTCGTCAGGCGGCAAGAAAAGTTTGATTCGTCACGGCCTTTCCCTCGGATATGCAACTTCCAACACTTGAGCTGCAGTCCAGGCTGTATCGGGTGAGTTGTCCTGCAGGCTACAGCTGGAACCCTCCCCTCGTGACGCGCCCTGTAGAGTGTAGCTGGGCGCGACTTCTTGTGAGCGTGTCCTTCGGGCGTGAATACGAATACGAGAGGTTATGAGTTGGTTGACCTGTTGGATCTCTTCACAACCTCACAATTTCGAACGCCCGGAATCATCAAGAGTCATGAGCCAACTGATTTCAAAGGTGATATGATTGGATGTATTTTCTGAACAGGGCGACTGAGGACATACGCCTTCCATCAGAGTGGATTCTATATCAGCCTTAGCCGAAAACAAATCCCAGCGTGCTCACATTCCGTTCGGAGCGACGACGATAGTGTTGTGATCTCGTCCTCCAGGAAGTCGAAATATTCCACAGTGAGGCTCCGCAACGACGACTGGTGGTCAATGTACGGACGAAGCTTCTCCGACAGTCTCTCAAAATCCCATACCGAGTCGTACCAAGCCCCATAGTCATACCTCAGGTAAAGCGACTCCAGGTGACACGGCAAGCAGGCAGAAAGCTCGGGTGACGATTCCACCTTCCAACCAAGTAGCAGTTCAGGAGACAATTCCAACTCCGTAAGCATGGGAAAGGCTTTGAGATTGAGTGTAGACAGAACACCCCACGGTGCATCGTCCCCGCCGCCCTGACAAGGGTCACCGCCTTCGACAGACCTGAAGTCTGCCACGACTCGCAGTCTTCTCAGCTTCAGTGTGAAACCCGATATAGCTGTCTGGAGTTCTCGGCAGTCCACATGGCGCGATACATGAGAATCGTAAGAATCGATAAATCGTACAAATTCAAGATTCAAGTCCGTTATCTGCGGCAGAGCGGCCAGGATTGTCCTAAAGGTTTCCGTACTCACGAACAGGTTGTTCAGACTGAGTGTCGATATGCTACTGTTAGCTGGCAAGGATAGCGCTTCTGCCAAGGGGTCTTCCTCTAACGTTGTTGAGAAAGTGAGGAGTGATGGCAGCGACAGCGCACCTTTCAGTATCGAAGTGTTGACTGCGTATAGTTTTGGGGCAGGCTGTGGCCACTGCGGTACTCGGAGGTTGCACGTGAAACGTCGCAGTGAAGGTACCCATCGGAGAGATTGATTCAGTCTCTCAGCTCCTTCGCTGGATTGTGGAAAGCAATCGACGATCTCGAGATCTTCCAGACGCTCAAGAAGGCTGAGTAGATCTGATAGTATGCCGAGGAGAGATGAATCCTCAAGATCATCCGCGGAAATCCTCCCACGATGGTGTGATAGACAGCGTAAGCGTCGTACGTAGAAGGCAAGCCAAGGGCGCGCTGTCAACGTCCGTTTGAGTGCCAGGATTGATCGAGTGTCGCGATTTCCTTTTGAGAGCAACGTGATAGACTCATAGAGCATGACGTTTCCTACATGGTAAAACTGTTGAGAGACAAGGCAGAGATTGGCAAAGTCTGACTGAGGGGCATAGTCGCGTATGGCTTTCACCACCATTGGGAGCTCCCCGATGGTGGCAAGAGTTGGAGGGTCAGCCTTAGTGTTGGCTACTGCAGTCTCTCGCTCCATGGGGTCGGATCTGGTATTTGGACATATAGTTGAAATCTTCAGAGGTCTGGGTGGTGATTCTGGTGATGGAAGCAGAAGCCTGGCTTAGTTGGAATATTCTAGTCCTAAAATGAACTAGCCAAACTAGACACGCTAGTGACTTCCACCAAGTGATTGGCTAGACTCAACCTCGAACTGCCTGACAACCGACTCCGTACAAGTACACGCACTGCCAGTTTCCGCTGTCACGAAAGAACAAAGTCGGCAATAACCCTGAGATTCATGAGGGGCTAATCCTGCGCGAAAACAAAATGGTGATGGAGAGACATGAATGGCACAAGGCTGCGAGACTGAGCCTTCCTCCCAGGAGTATTTCAATGGCTTCGGTGGTCGTGTCTTCACACCTTTGATCGTCTAGACAGTATGCAAGCACACAGAACAGGATAATTCATGCAATAGTTCTACCCTCGTTTAGTTCAGATTGTTCTTTTCTTTACTTCGATCATCATGGCCTATATGGCTAGGCATTCGCAGCGGCATTCGATCCATTTAGCCGCAGACACTAGATAATCTCTTGCCAGAAAGCTTTGAGCTGACCGCATCTGTCGTAAGGATTGGCACGCTTTACCCGTGACGACCCGGCTTGGACTGGCCGTGGCTCGCAAACGAGTTCCGATCTAGCGACTGGGAGGAGGGCAGTCATAGGAATCTTTACAGCAAAGAACGCACAATCAGGCTGAACGGCCAAGCTTGCAGGGTGTGCAGCCAAGATGGCTGTGTGGCTTCTATCAGCCGCTGCCTCCGCAACATGTGATAACTGCATAGAGGTCTCGTGATCCCTTCACCTGCGGTAAGACCGCAGCTTTATGCATGCTTCATCCCTGCCACGATACAATGAGTGGTCCCGAAGACCGTAGCCCTTGAGGAACAGCGCTGCTTCGCTGGTCCAATCACCCATACCTGTCCACATTTTCGTTCTGCAGGGCCTATGTAATGACTTTTTCATATCACTGCTGCCTGACCTCTCTCCCCCGTCCGTCTTTCACTCCCTTCGCCATCGTTGAGCCCACCCCCAAAAAATGCCGCGAGAGAATCAGGCCCTGATCGACGTCGAGGGGGGTGAATTCGTCTGCATTTCATGTGACGAGCGTGAATTTGACTCTGAACAAGCATTGCTCCAGCACTGTCAAGCCGCGCATTGTCACAAAGACGAATGGTGTGACAGGTGCCAATGGTTGTTTATCTCTACACAGGCTCACGAACAACATACCCGGGACTCGCAGAACCATTGGGTCTGTTCAAAATGCGGCACCGACGAACCCGAAGAAAGCGGTCTTCGCGCTCACATGGAAACAAAACATTCCTGCTGCTACGACTGTCAAGTAAACTTTGCCGATGTATCGAAACATCGCGTCCAGTGCCACAATCGATGCTCTATATGTAATGAGGAGTTTGCAAATGAAAACGAAGTTCGTATGGTACGCTGCCTAAGCGGGAACGTGAATATCAAACCCCAGAACATAATTTTGACTGACGCTCCCGAAAAGCACGCGAAAATCCACACGCCTCGTCAAAACAAGTGCTACGGCTGCGAACGTCAATTCAAAAGCCCCTCCGGTATCCTCATCCATCTTGAGTCGACGACCTGTGATTCCGAGGTCACCCAGGTCAATATCGATCAATGGGCTTTCAGCTGCCACCGGAGCAACCTATACACTAACAGCTGGGACGATGAGTTCAGATACCGGTGTCCGAGCTGTGACGACAGCTTCGCAAAAGTCAGTGGATTGCTTCAGCACGTCGAGACCGCAGCATGCGGTGCAGGTTACAATGGCATTCTGGAGAAATTGAGGGGGTACATCAAGCGGCAGGTTCAAAGTGTGTTGGAGTGATGTATGTGAATGGAGGAACGTGAACTGCTCAGATGACTCTATCGATATAGTATTAGTCAAACACCTCCTATGAGCCCCTCCATCCGAGACTGAATTTGCAGTGAAGCTGGATCTGGGGTGGTAGCCTGACACGCCCGGTTACAGGATTTCCAGCTTGTGGGCGGACTTCGTGCTTGGTTTCGTGGTCGAAACCTGGCGCAAGAAAAGGAACCCATCGTCTTTTAGCTGCCCATAGTTGTCGTTCACCCCAGGAACTGTTCTGGCTTTCAGGTATACCGAGTTGATTCTCAAGTGCTAAAAACCTGCCCGTCGCGTTACACTATGGCGGAGGATCAGGCGTGTTCCGTCGGAAAGCCGAGTTGCGGGAGGAGCTGAAGCCAGTTCCCCAGCAATCGGATCCGGATTTGAACACCTCGTCCGGACATCGCAGTGGGCATAAAAGAATCAGCCCCCATTTCCGGCTTCAGGGCTCCTTGATCGCTCTCAGTTCCTGTCGAGAGTGGTTCTGATACCGGGATCTACGACTCTGTCGACATACCCTGACCAATCCATATCAATGCCTCCGAACCATAATCAACCTCCCATCGAAGTGGCCTTTTCTGGAGACCCCGCAGATTATTCAGGTTTAGCGCCGGTTAGTTCCATCGCTCTTTCCTCCTTCTCCCTTGGTTCACTCCTTGTCTTTACGCGGTTCCCAATCCTGCGCAGAGTCGCCTTTCGCAAAGAGAAGGTCATTGATGAGGTCACAGTCATGAAGTATGTCGCGAAACAGACATCAATTCCTACACCAAGGTTGATCAAAGTCTCCGATTCTTCCTGGGGTCCCTGCATAGTCATGGAGCTTGTTAAAGGGAAGCTGTTATCAGAAGCTCTCAAAGCTCCTACAGATGCAGAAAAAGTCGAGGTTCTGGATCCGAACACCAATCCCCAAACTTGACCTAGGCCTATCGGGTCATGTCTGAGATATTGATTGAGCTGTCCAAATGCCCATCCCCTCGCATTGGAGGGGTATCTCGGGATGAATTGGGCCATTGGTGTGTCGGAACACGGCCTTTGACGCTGAACATGAACCAGTTGGTTGCTCTGGCCAACTACCCTCCTGTGGACCTACCTACGAACACATTTGCGACGGCCACCGATTATTTTATGGCCTTGGCCAGGACACACATGGCTCACCTTCGAACGCAACGCAACGAAGCAGTCGAAAATGAGGCAGACTGTCGAAAGAAATACGTCGCGCGCTGCTTATTCCTCAAGATTGCAAAGAGCTTTCCCAATGTTCACGACAGAGGTCCATTCAGATTGATCTGCGATGGGCTCTGTCCTTCGAACGTCATCGTCGACGAAAAACTGAACCTCCGTCGTGTCATCGGCTGGGAATTTACCTATGCTGCTCCTGCCGATTTCACATACTGTTCGCCATGGTGGCTCCTCTTGGCACATCCAGATGACTGGGAAGGCAGTCTTGATGACTTTATGACTCAGTATCTCCGGCGACACGCGGCCTTTTTGCAGGCCTTGAAAGAGGCGGAAGACCAAGGGATTCGGTGTGGTGCCCCCTCGGAATCTCAGCGTTTATCGGGAGAAATGGCGCGGTCTCTGCAAAACGGAACGTTTTGGTTCTGTCTAGCAGCCACTTCGAGCTTTGCCTTTGAGGACATTTACTGGCGTTTTATCGATTCGGGATTTTATGGGGAATTCACTTGCCTTGAGGAGTGTATCGAGTTGTTGGACCGCCGAGGAACGGGAGTCTCTGGAGGAATTTGTCCGTCTCAAAGTACAACAGGCACAGGAGAGAAGGTTAGACGAATCCTATACCCTTGATGAGATGCTCGCGTCTTGAGCGCCCCTCACAGGAGCGATGGCGGACATAAGCATCCTCGAGGGTTACTTTCAAGAATCATTCTGAGACTTTGCCTTGTTGACAACCTTTCCCAGACGTTCCACAACCGATTTCAGAAATTGGCCTGTACCCCAACGTAACACATTGTCCACGGCGACAATAAAGTCATCCACGCTGTCTAACAATACACCATTACAAATTTTCAAGAGCTTCATCTTGAACTTTTGTACGCCATCTTCAAGATGGGTATAGTTGGCCCAGAGCTCATGGTATGGGCCCTCAGTACAGATGGAGAAGAAGAGCGGAGGCTGAATCGTCGACGATGGAAGTGCAAAATCGGACGTTGAGCGCTTGACCAGTTCATTTAGGCAAAGCTGCATCTTGAGGCCACAGGCCCCAGAGACTGCGGCCTGATTTTGTGCTTCGAAGACTTGTTTGCCTGTCGAATAGGCTTTACCCTCGACGACGGCAAATGGAAAGACAAGGTCTGATCCGCGTTGCGTCGGCACTGCGATTAGCAGCGGCTCCATAGATCCGCCTCGCTCGCTCGGAATCATTGTGTCCTCGAGCTTATTGAGAAATCGCTTAGCCGCAGTTTTATTGAGATATTGTGGCGTAAGAATCGAGAGGGCTGAAATGAGGGATTCTTCTTTTATACCCACTGTGATGTCCGGACGAGGTGTTTTGATTGGAAAGGTTTCCTTTGATTTCTCTAGGTGGGAATGATTTACAGGAGGCATGACGACCGGTTCGAGTTGCCTGTTGTCGCGAGAAGGATTCAATGCATCGACCATTGAAGATTGTGGGGGGGAGTACATCTGGCCTCCAGACTGTTGCTGGCGTTTCGGTGGTGGTGGAGCCGAGGCGTCGTCAACTTCGTCTTGCTGCTCATTACCCACAGCAGCATTCACATTTACCAAGAAACTCAGGTTCAGGTCGGACTGCTGTGGAATTGGCTTCAGCTCCTCTCGCCAGTCGGCTTTTTCACGTAACATGATCTCATCGGGGCTCATAGCTTCGAGCGCGCGACGGAATATGTGGACAAAGTCATCTTCCTCAACCGCAGCCTTCACAGCTTCCTTGCACGACCCGTAGAATCCTTTGGCAATGCTAGAAAGTTTAACACTGCGATGCTTGGAAACCTTGGCTTTGACGATGCGGTCGATATCGGCCTCAATGTCGCCAGGTAGATCAGTGTGGATGTAAATATCGGCTTCCTCAAGATGCTTATAGCGATAGAAGGCCGTGGTGTTTGAGGAGCGTTGAGATCGGACTGTGTCTATATCCGATGACGCAGCCAAGGAACGCCTCGACGAGGTCCGTTTGAGAACCGGACTATTGTTGGCGGAGAGATTCATCTCCCCGTTGAACAATCGTAAGTTATTTTCAGAGAGCTGGTCTTTAGAAGGACCCAGACTTCGGAATTGTGTTATATGATTTGGTAAATCCTCAGGTGGTTCGAGGACTGGAGGCGGACTTTCTCGAGGTTGTTTTGTGACATGCTTGTCTTGAGGATCATACACTTTGACTTCAGCGTCAGCTTGAGATTCGCTCGATCGTTTCCGTTTAATCCCAGTCGACTGAGTGATGGATTGGGGAGGGTTTTCTTCAGGATAATAGTGATGCTCCGCTGCAGACGAATTCGTCTGTCCTCCTCTTGCAGTTCGGGACTGGTTCACCATTGGTGGCTTTTGTGATCGCGGGCTCGTACGGTAGGGCTTGCCGCGCGTTCGGGTTTCGCTGGCGGTGCCGGTTTGCTGTAACAGAGTTAGTGACACGATTATGGGGTAATGAAGCGGGTAGAGAGTGAAAGCAGACTGACAGTTATACCGTTTTTTTTGTATTATTTGCGAGCACTCAGTTGTTTCTTTGTTGTCGTCTTCGTCTCGTGCTGCAGTATTTTGGTCTTCTGTCCTCGCTCAGACAAGCCATTTTCCAAATGATGAAGGATATTTACTCAGTCTTGAACGATCAGGTTTGGCCTGGTGGCGGCCACGTTTGTCGCGACCCTTTTTGGCTCCCCCGGCGTCTCGCGCTGAGTCCCGCTCTGTAACACCCGTGGCCATATCGACTGGTGAGGGAAGAAGACAAACGGACCTGCCATCAATCAGCGTAAGAAATGGAAACCCGAAAAGTGGGTGCACAGCCGGACGTTCATCGTGAAAGCTGCGACGATCTGCATAGGTGGAAACACGCCAGTAGAAATGGCAGTTCCCCAGGGCTTGGCGGGAACCTGTCACATTCGCTCGATAACAGAGCGCTAAGCAATATTTGAGTTAAGGTTATATGTCCCTATTATTACTGTCAAAGGTTCCTCAGGAATGAAAGAGTAAGCCTAGCGTCTGATTCGGTTTCAGACTAGGGGGCCAATGTCACTAACACCAGTTATTTATTTATCTCAACAGACATCTATTCAGAACAGCCAGAAATGCTTTACCACCCTAGCAAAGTCAGCCAGATTTTCAATGGCTTAGCACCACAGCCACCATCATTAAAGGCAGATACGTTTCTGATTGGCGCTCGCCAACAAGTCATGGCGAACCCGGTCGTATTATCATTCCAGTCGTCGTCGCTTGCCGTTTGAAGGTCCCCCAATGCTGTCTCCGCTACTGCTGTCCTCTGACCAAGAACCAAAGTTGCTCTCTGTCACATCAGTAGTATCCTCGACGGTTATGGCGCCACGTATATCGGCCGAATACCCGGCTCTGGAATGGTCGCTGGACGGCGAGAAGTGGACTCGATGGCGCTTCCCCTTGTCCTTTCGTTCGTGCGAGGGAGCCCTATCCACGAGCAGATTGTCCTTGGGTCCAAGATATGAATTCTGAGGCGGAATCATGGTTTGAAATGCCACGATCAGGTCATGTATCGTCTGACTAAATCCGTAGTCCTTGCTGACTTGTTTGATGCCGTCTATCGTCTCGGAAAAGCTATACGGCCACTCGACGCTCGGGTATGCTAGGACTTTGCATTTCTCTCGAATCCACTCGGGGGCTGTCTCGACATCGCCGTCTGCGTCCATGGACTGGATCAATGAATATTGCATCGCGACATGTTCCAAGATCTTGAGAGCTTTTTCCAACTTTTGTGCTCCTTCACACTTTGTATCCTTGAAATTGTACTCTCTTAGCCGCACATTGAAAAAGGTCTGTAGCGTACCCTGAAAAATTCTCGCTCTCCTCAACAGCTCCGTCCCTTCGTGACCATTCGTAGGAGGCGTATCAAATATGAAAAGACAGTACCAGGTCCGCACACGTTTTTTGCCATCCACCGTTTCAGAATCGACTCCTCTCACCAGTGCTGCATCAGTCTCCTGGAGCATTTTCAGGGTACTCAGGGCCCAAGGCATTGGCGTAGGGCAGGTTGCTTCGATGTCATGCTTACTGAACTGCTGTGAAACGCGGAGAAAGCTCTCGGACGGCTCGGCCATGCCAATCTTCAGATGCTTGTACATTTTTGTCACGAGTCCTGACGGGCTGACATTCCGTGATGATTCAGATGTCGCCGGGATCAAAGCAGGGTAAGAGGTCCAGCTTATCCCTTTCGGAAGTCCCGGAGTTGTGATTGCTTCGGTGCGCGATCCGAACTGCGAGGACAGTCGAGATCTGGCAATAGCCGCCGCGAAACACTGCTTTGCCGATGCGAATCGGACACTTCGAAACAGATCCAAAACCGAGTCGGTAGCTTCCACATCTGAAGGGTCGAATTTCAGCCGCGGAGAGTCATCCCGAAATTCGGTCCTCTTCCTCAGAGCTTCCACCGCGTCCTGGGCTATCGCAACGTATGTCAGGGCGTGTACCTGGTCCCATACGTCAAGTCTGATCATCCCACGACGATCCCCACTTTTCAGGTAAGAATCCACCGCGAACGATGCGAGGAAGAGTTGTTCTGGGTTCTGGAAAGTGTGTGATTCTCGGTCCTGGCCCGTCCATAGCTTTTCAACAGCATTGAGACAGTCTGCGGTGACAGTCCATCTCCCTCTGCTGCGGATGCATCCCCACAGCTGCCTAGCAAGTTTCCTAGCTTTTGCCGTGGTCTTCATTTTGTTCAAAAACTCGTCCAGGTTTTCCAAGGTTACATGGAGAGCCCAGACTTTATGTGCCATGTACCTAGCATCACGAATCGCGAGACGTCTATCGTCGAAGAATTTCAGCAAAGGAGGAACCCCAAAAGGCTCCGTCTGTCCGACATCATTTCCTATAGCAGGCTCATCGTAGTCGACATCGCGAAAGTGATCAAACCTGTCGTAAGTGCTGCCAACATCAGTGTCTGCAATGAGACTTTCGGATGCATTTGCAGCCAAAGACAATAGGCCACTGATGATGTCTCGACGATATATATCGCGCGCCCAGTCGAACACATAGTCCAAGATCAGCAGAAGGCGAAGTGCTTCGTTTTCCTCCGTAATTTCTCCCCGCCACAGTTGTAGAATGCGCTGCAAGTAGTCAATCCCGGTGTCCAGATGGAGAGGGTTAACTCACGTAGTTTGGCCGAGACTCATGTTTGGTTTCTTCCACATAGGCGCCTGAGAGGCGCCATTGCTCACCTTTACATGCCAAGTACCAAACAAGGGGCTTCACGCTGGAGTGTCGATTTTCGGCTGTGGCGTGCACAAGATTACGTTGGAGCTGAAGCAGGTTGCGAAGTGCAAAGCCCGACTGGGCATCAATCTTCGAAAAGGCGTCTGGACTCTTTTCCGACTTTGCTTCTATGAGAAGGAACGGAAAGAGAAGGGGCCTGGTGCCGGGTTTGAAGGGGCATGTCCTGATCGAGTCCACGATCAAGTTACCATCTGGGCCTTCCGTTTCGTGTAGGATCCTGTCCAGTCTCTTGGTGAGTCTAATGCCTACTATACGGTCAGGCTTTTTGCCTTTGGTGATTTTGGCCCTGATTTCGGCCTCGTATTGGATCTCCTCCTCGGCTCGGTCATCAAAAAGCGGATTTAGGCCTTCGTCAAATCTGCATCAGGGTTAGACTGTACCTTTGGGGTGTCGGTCTGGACAGGCACTGACTGGTCTTCCCCACGCCTGCGCGACGGGCACTGGCATATTCTTCGATTTTTCTGTCTTGTCGCCAGATCTTCCATGCTCCCGTTGGCTGCAGTCAAAGCGACTTCCATTTCAGATTTCCAGAGGCGGGCGCGACATTCAGGGCAAAACACCAGTCAACGTCCCGCACAAACCTCTTGGGACGACATATCTAGGCTTACCATGCGACTTCAATGCTGAATCGAGCCAGGATCTCCGATTCTATGCTTAAACGCCAACTAGACTCGTTCTTGTCCTGTTCGAGGCATCGCAGGGCTTTGGCGCTGATGGCCTTTGCGCGTTCAACTGTCTTCAGTCTCCAAGGCTTTTGCGTCGATTCCACGGTGATATTTGGGCGGTATTTGTCAAGATCGTAGCTCCCTAGGGTCGAGATATCCCGGAAAAGGGCTTCGTGCCCTTCAGCTTGACGTTTATTGAGGTCGAAAAATATGTTGTATTGCCTCAAAAGTCTGGATGTGTCGATTTCCGCTGTGGTGTCCGCCATTATCTCTGCGGTGGTGGCAGAGATCAATGTAGAGACAAAGGACCTTGTTGTCTGACGTTCAACGAGACTTGAGAACTGGCAACAGCTGAAACATCCTAACACGAATCCAGCTAGTGAGTAAATATGGTCGCTTGAGGTCATGCTATCTCGTTAGATCACCATGACCCCTGAAAAGAGACAGCGGCTATTGAGGCGCCGAGACGGCCTTTTGCCGCAAGCTTTTGAGACAGATAGGGCCGCACCTCCCACATCCATGAAATCGCTTCGCCGAAGGTGGTAATGGGCAAGTGCAATGTGCAGGCTCTGAATACGTCCGTTTGTCTTCATTGAACGTGATCCGCGGGTACATGACATCAAGGTCGGCATTGCGCTTCGCTGGACTTCGACTTCAACTTCGACTAGAAATGCTAGATTCTACCGAGGAACGGAAGAGAGTATCGGAGAAAGAATACTGAGGTCCTGGCGTCGAGCCACCTTCATGAGCTGTAGGTCAATCAAACAGCAACAAGCCGGTTGCCATTGAACGTCTCACATTGAACTCTCTTGCGCTTCTTCGAAAGTCCCTCTGTACCTGCCTGCACAGTCCGCACTGGGCCATGTTCGACAGCCGTCAATGGCTCTCTGATTGGAGGGGCGGAGGAGGATCCGTCGAGCCATTCTAAGATCCTGCTCGACAAACAGCCGACACGGTCGAGAGTCACCACCACATACCGACACCTTTGAGGACTCGCAGGTTTCACACATGGCAAATCACCATGGAGACACTGAAGTTGAGAAGGACTTCGACGGTATTACGCGTGCCGCGCCTTGGAGGAGCGAAGTTTCGCATTCCAAAGGCGCGGAGCCCACCATATCGAGAGTGAAGCCCGTCGTGCCCATCCAAAGCGAGGCACCGTTGCGGCGCAACTAGCCGCAAAACAAGGCCGACCAACAGGCTGGTTGCGCCCAGTACGCCCCTGTATTCGAAATAGCCTATCACTGTGACACCGTTTACCCCCGCTATGTTTCTGGTCTTACCCCGACCCCTCGGTCGCCGCCTCGCCTTGTTCGGCAGAAAGGATTCGAATAGACAAGCTCGGTAGGTGATAAGGGGCTATCAGAGATCCATGAGGTCATCCACCGTGTAATGGACGTCTAGAGGCCCTTCTGCAACATGACCCAATTTGACACGGACCAGTTCCTCGAGACCGTGTCTCTCGTCCTCGCCCAACAGTTCAATTCGGTCTTCAATCGTCGTAAAAGGTCCGTGATACATCTCGTCGACGAATGTCCATTAAATCTCGTCAAACATGGAGCTATATTTGGCCGCAAGACACACCCAGAACAGGCCCGTCTCAAGTGACCGCTCCATACGCGAAGACAGACGTTGCGGGACTGCCGGCACATCGTCTCCTTCCTTTGGTCTCTCATCCTCGCATTCACGGAGAGCTTCGAGAAAGAGACGGAGGCGCGGCATGAAACGTTTCAAGAACTCGTCGAGGTCCGACTCCCAGTCCTCCGGGCTCTGGAGCAGAAGCCACCAAGGTGCAATGTACGTGAACTCGGCGGGAGCTGCATAAGTAAATTCCCAATCAACGACGCCCGTGACGCTGAGATTCTGCAGATCGATTAGAACATTGGAGGGGCGGAAGTCGTCGCAATACAGCCGGAAAGGGCCGTTTCGATGCTCCGTGGAGATATCCTGAGCTATCTTGCGAAATAGACATCTGGCCACGTATTTCTTTGCGCAATCATCTTGATCGGTGATGGAATCATTGCGCTGGAGCTGGAGCTGCGTCATGTGCTGGTTGGCAAGCGATATAAAGAAATCGGTCGCTGATTCAAGGACGCTTGTTGGGAATGCTTGAGGCGGGAGGTTTGCGCTTGTGGCCAGCTCATTCATGTTGTAAGTCAGAGGTCTCCTGGTAACGGAGAAGTCTTCTTCGCTTTGCCGAAGCGCTCCAATATACCGAAACTCCGGCTTCGATAGTTCGAGGACTAGTTTAGCCATTTCCCTGTACGCTCTCCTCAAGACGCGGTCACTGAGTCGTGGATTCAGAACTGGCCTTCCTCCCTCTTGCGGGTTCTTAAGCAATTCCGCAAGCGGTTCACCTTCGATAAAACTCATGACAATGTAAGGGCCCGCCCAACATGTCCCCGATCCCAGCACATAAGGAACCGGGACTGACGTGTATCGAGCAAGATATTTCATGGTGGCAACCTCATTCTCGACCTTCTCTCTGCGGTATATCGTTCGTCCCAGGGACGCAAAGCGGACAATGGCGTTGAATCCGTCCTCGTACTTGACCCGATAGCATATGTTGAAAGAGCCATTCTTCCAGAGGCACGCTGCAGTGGGTTTTCCAGGGCGGTGTGTCGCTGCGAGATGCATCGCTAGATATTCTGGCGATTCCCGTTGGAGAGTCTGCATCCAGAGCGTAAAGTTTTTTTCTTGCTGCTCCTCTGCAACATGGTCGAATTGCATTGTGGTGACTTGCCGTCCTTGCAGCTTGCAAAGCCTTGGTGAAGGGCCTGGTCTTGAATGCAAAACACGATGCGTTCTTGTCACAGCAGGCACAGGTATGAACTTGGGATACGGGGAACATAAAGCAAAATATATGAAGGAGACATTCCGGATGCCATAGATCTTGGTACCACCATCGAACATTCACACCGAATCCCTTGATTGACTTGCATTTCAAGGCGGCAGACGGTCTGGCCAAACCCACGAAATCTGTCAAACCTGCCAAACCTGCCAAGCGTATGTACCAAAGTCATTCTTGGATCTCCAACTGCATATTGAAAGCCCTTGGTTTCGTGTGTAGTTCAGCAAATTCTGGCAGAGCTTTCTGCTTCACCATGTGTCTACAATTCTGGTACGTCTTGCTCTGCGAAACCTGCCTAGGTATAAGGCAATATGGAAAATATACTCTGTTCAACTAGGCATACACCCAATCTCACCAACTGTTTCCCTCCCCTGGATCTATTTTGTTTTGGCTTTATCGCCCCTTTTCCGCTGCTGGTTCAAATGTTGAGGTTGAGGTTGAGATTGATGATGATGACCCCCCAGCCCATGTCCATGCTCATGGTGGTGACCGTCTCCTTCTTCGTCATCATCGTCGTGCACGAGCTCGGGCCAATCCTCAAAGCCATCTTGTCAAGTTTGTCAGCTGGAGCCTCCATACGTGACAAATCAACCCCCGACATTGTTTGGAGTCAGATCTTCTTCTCACCTTCAAAGACATTTGCCAATTTACCATTGATAATCTCCCTGTCCTCGGTAGACTTCATGATCTTCTCCCACTTGCGCATCTCCGGGTCTGTCAATAGACACCCGTCGAATTCCGCCGTTAGGCCGACAGGGTCAAGTTTCTCGCCAATAAACACAATCTCTTGTCGTCGATCGCCCCACGGCTCGACAAAGTCGGCTTCAATGCTGCGTCGTGTGTCGGGGTCCGTCGGCCACTGGGCTTAATTGGCATATCAGCGTTGTGAATTGAGCCAAGGGTGTAGAAGATGGGGGTTTATACCATCGTCTAGAGCACAGAACCAAGGACCACCGCCCTGCAAGGTCAGCATGGTTCCAGCCTGGCTCCATTCTCCGTGTAAGAAAGGCCGTGTGGCGAGCCAGATGAACCCCTTGGACCGCAAGAGCCCGGCAAAGACGGGGTTTGCTCTCTTGTTTTCGACGACGACCTGTGCGGTAGTCAGATGTCACCAATCAGCTAGTTCTCTGCGAGCATGGACAGGACACCGAACATACCTTCGGGTCGATGGATTTGGAAAAGTCGTCAGAGTCGTCTTGATCTTCCGTCTGACTAGAGTCTAGAAGGAGAATCGTCAGTATCTGCGATTCCTTCTTCAGTGGTTGTTGGGGTCATGGGGATCACCATCACTAGTATCCGAGGAGTCTTCTTCGGCATCGTCGACTTCCATTTCATCTTCTTCACTTCCGCTCTGCTCATCCCCGTCGTTACCTTCTTCATCCGCTTCCTCATCAACGATCTGACCCTCCATGATGACAAACTTGTCGTATATCAATCTATACAGGCGTCGTGGATTGAAGGGTCGTCGTGCACGGTAGACAAAGCTGGAGATACCATACCTAATAAACCTCATTAGTACCCTAGATCATAGAGGGTCTAGCTCCCCATCTGCCTCGTTGGAGCATCTTACTCTTCAGTCTCCGGCTTGGGAGCGACTTTGAGCTGCCCATTGATCTCTCGCACGTTGAGGTCGTGGAGACTCTGGAGCCAGCCCATGTTAGTGGCAGCTTTTTCGAATGAAAACGTCTCGGTGCGGATGACTTGTCGGGGGTCGACTTTGGAGAAATTGGACTCCAAGACTTTCGCGGCAGGGTTCAGTTGGTGGATAACAGCTCTGATTCGAGATCTTGTCGCTTTGTCCACGCTGTCGATTTTGTTGAGGATGATGGTATTGGCGAACTCTCTGGGTTTGTAATACAGGTGCGTTAGCCATGATCCGGTAGGGGACTATGCACCGCCCGTAGTGTCCAGGTCACACACTCACATCTGATCGACCATCAAATCCGTAATGGTCCGTTCATCTTCCGGGTCAACGCCCTCCTTTCCCCATCGGTCGGTGATGAATTCTGTAGTGGAAAAGTTGTGAAAGAAATTGAATGCGTCGACAATGGTGACCAGGGTGTCGAGTTTGGCAATGTTTTGCAGACCACCAAGTTCCGCCCTGTGGCACTCAATTTTGACTGTTCAGCAGGCATATCGTGGGAACGGGGGAGTTTTGTGCAGTAATTGGTCTCGTACATCTCTTTCAAGATCCTCTCGTCATCCTGCTGACCCTGGAGCGAGCCGTCATTCGCCGCCTCGATCATGGCGTGCGCAAACTCTTCCGTGAAGGTTTCTGCCACCTGCATTGGTTCGCTGATGCCTGTGCTCTCAATGAGGATGTATTCACACTCTCGGTTACGAGCCAACTTGGCCAGCTCTTCCAGCAAGTCGCCGCGAAGTGTGCAGCAGATGCAGCCGTTTTCCATCTGTATCAGGCGTTCCTGGGTCTGAGACACCACATGGCGCTTTATCAGCGCGGCATCGATGTTCAGAGCGGCCATGTCATTGACAATGACGGCAATTCGCAGAGAGTGCTGGTCAGAGGTCAGGATGTTCTTCAAGAGTGTTGTCTTGCCGCTCCCCAGAAACCCAGAGACCAAAGTCACCGGGATCGGTCTTCGCTCGTTCGAATCCGGGGTAGATCGAGCCATGTTCCGTGTCATTACAGCCATACTCTCAGCCAAAACAACGTACAAACGAAAGAAGCCCAGGAAGGACAAACGGGGAGTGCTGGGGGTAAAGCAACGAGAGAAAATAAAATCAATCAATTGACAAGAGATTTTTCAATTTCGACTATCTTCCATTTCTCACGATAGAAAGAGGTACAACTTAGCCAATCGTTCGGGCAATTAGCAGTGCGGCCCCGGGTGTGGATTGAGGACCTTAAGGCTCTGCATGCTATAATCGCCATCGACTCCCCTCGCCACGACCCAAAGAGTTTCCGATGCTGAAAGTATCTTTGACCGCAGACAGCCCGGTCATACGTGGTCAGTCAGGAAGGGAAAATATTTCACAGTGGATAAAGGCGGACGCCAAAGAAACATGTCGTTTTGTCTGTTAGTGAGAGCGACGGGCTGTGAGAAGGGCCATTCCAATATCTCAAATGCCGTAGTATCTCCATCGAATACGGTATTGCCACTGCATTACCACACACTGGTAGACGAGATAGCAGATTGAAGCGCGTTCCACATCCGGTACGTATGTCTAGTATATAGATAGACCTTGATACTCGGGTTTTGGCCTGCGGTTGTAGGGACTGAAAGAGTAGATGTCGACTTGCCAATGCGCCAAGGTCGGCGCTCCGGAGAAACTCAAATTCCGAAATCTGTCCGCGTCCAATCCCGTGCCTTGTATATGTCACCGTGTGTTTTTATCCATTTTCAGAGTGGTGGTCAAGGGCTACTATATCACACGGTTTCCTGCAACGACAACGACGGATCAATTGATCCTTCCTCGATATTTGTATTTGTCCTCTGCTCCGAAGCCTGCAAACGACTCTTCACGCTCCAATACACCGCGGAGGATGTCGCTGTCGTCCAATCGACTCGCTAGCTATAACTGGGATGAACAGCGAGTCCGGCTGTGCAACTAGCTCGAATCACTATCGTGTCTCTAACGCCAACCAGATCTCGCTTCTTTACGTACACGAGCGGTCGATAGCTTCGTGGCGATGAGACGGGAACGCTCGACACATCACTATCGATTTCGATCGCCGTCTGCCAGCGAGTGATCGAACTGTGTGCGGCGGCGGGGTCAGTTGCGAATTGCGAGAAGAAAGACTGTGCGGCTTCAATCGAGCTTGCATACTCAATACCGATGACAATGGACAGTGCCTTGTTTCCACTTGCACTTAACCCTGGCTGGACTACTGGGATAGCAACGCAGGCTAAAGCTGCGACTGCGACGAGCCTTTACAGTTTGTCCATCCACGTAAACCGAGCAGGGTGGGAGAGCTCGCTCGAACACTGCTCTGTGCGGATTTGGCTGATGGGTGCTGCCGGCCACTTCCGACACAGTGTAGGTCATACCAGGTGGGTGCTTCCTCAATCGATCGATTCAACCCAGCATTGAAGGCGAAGAGGTTGGTATCTGGTTGTATGGGAGAAGGACGGCACAGGTTTGTACATCGGTTTCTTCTGACTTTCTTTTCACATGCTTTCACACATTTCTTCCGACTGGTCTCGCGTGGTACAACGACGCCCCTCCGGGGGGAATTGGGGAACCTACCCAAAATCACCCCCATTACCTATCAAGAGCGGGGATTTAACCCCGGAAATCGGGATTGACCATTGAACATTGAGATGTGAGAAAATAAATAATTTGACTGTGCTGATTGTGCTACCAACTACCGAAAACCTGAAGGTCAGAGACTCGTACGTACTCGTTACCGAGTCTGGAAACAAAATACATGGTCATCGTTTCGTCGTTTCCTGATAATGAAAGAAAAGAAAAGAATAGGTATGAAATGATTCCTACTCGCTGTACCGGGTACCGAATACCGGGCACTGCGTACTGTGTACTGCATACTCGATACAAGAACAAGAACATTGACAATCACAATAATAACATTCGTAGTTAGCATCGCATCCCGTGGCCCGTAAATCGTAAACCATAAACCGTAAACCGTAAGCCGCAAATCGCGAAATGAATCAAAAGAATTCAAGTGAGTCTCATCTCTTCACCGATCCGTCACCCCTCACCCCGGCGCCCGGGGATAAATCGTACATGAGAGACAACAACATAGACCAGAAATGGAGATATGTCGAAAAGAAAGTCGTGGGTTGGTTCGTTTGGGTCCGGGGGGGTTCTTCGTCAGGACAGGAACCGGGAACGACTAATTCGAGTCCGAAATGGGGCGTGAGCCCGTAGGTTCTTCGTGGTGGTGATGATATACAAGTAAGTGACACACGCGGGATAGACAGACGGAGACAAAGATGGAGGCCGTGGACGTGGACGTAGACGTGGAATAAAAGTGACAACGTGTGGCAATTCAAAGTATTGTTGTCAATGCATGCATCGGGCTCAGATGGAGTGGTGGAGATTATGTGAGCATTCCGGTGTGAGACGGAGGAAGCGAGACGGTGCTGCTGTCGCCGCTGCAACTGGGGAGAGATCCTCGAACGCGGCGCCGACGTGCGCGACAATCTGGCTAGCGCTGGCACTCGCACTGACACTTGGCTGCGGCGAAAACGACGATTCGTACTGGCTCGACAGGGTCGTGCGGTCGGCGACGCTGGAGCCGGGACCGCGGGCGAGGGGGGCCGAGTCGTCGTTGAGGCCCGGGATGACCATGCCGGACGAGTCGTCTCCAAAGAACATGTGGTCGAGGCTGTTCGGGCTCTCGGTGAAGAGACTCCACGGATGAGGGCCGTCGTCGTCCATCAAGTCCTCCGAGGCATGGTGGTGTCCGTTGGCATGGGTGTTGATGTTCAGGGCAGCGGTGTTGGCGGCGATGGCTTGACCCCGGCCAAGGGTTAACGGGGCCGGCACCTCGAAGCTATTGTCGAAGCTGAAGCCACCGGTGCTCAAGGAGGGCCCAGAGGACTGAAATGACGAAGCAGACTCGTCGAATCTCGAGACGTGTCTGGGCCGGCCGACGGCTGGGCTGGGCATGCCACCAGCACCACCGTGGCCACCACCTTGGCCTCCGTAGGTCTCGCGATTCGAGTCATCCTTGAAATGATGCCCAAGTCGACACCAGCACCCCGCACAACCGCATCCGCAGCCATGATGGCCGCCGCCTGAGCAGCAAGAGCAGGGTGAGCCTTCGGTGTTGTTGAGGTGGTGGTGGTGATGGTGGGGTTGAGTAAGGCCTGAATAACCATGGAGTGATTCAATAGGAGCATCGGCATTGACGCGCCGAGGACGATGAGGGGCCATGGTGGCGGTGGGAATATGAGTTTGATTCTTGTAAAGTGCGAGGATGCATGCGCCAGGGACCGAGGCTCTCTTTTTTTGGAGCTCAATTTGGTATACAAGTACAGGTGTAATGAGACAAACACGTGTTGAGACAGCCGACTTGATGGAGAACAGTTACTAAGTCTTTTTCCCTCACAGCAAGTATAATGTATGACACAGAGACAGAGCAGAGAGGAAGCTGGCAAAAGGAGACAGTGCAAAAGCAAATAAATGTAGGCAAGTCAGTCGGGACAGAGCAGAAGTAGATATATACGAGTTCGGGACCAGCAGAGAGACAAGATGTCCCGTCATGACGACGAAGGAGCTAGACAGAACAGTCATGTGGAAATGACCTGGAGACCCTGACAAGAAGATCCCATGGACCAGCTTGAGCCCGGTTGTGCTCTCAGCCTCGCAGTTTTGATTTCAAACCGAGGATAACGACAATCCATTTGGACGAGGAAGAAGACGCACGAGCGGGATACGATTGGTGGTAGATAGACAAACCTTCAGGTCCGGTATATCCTAGTTCAGCTTGTGTTCAATGCCGTGATCGGGGAACTGGAGAGATGCAGAGATAGAAAGTATAGTTCTCGCCAGCCGAGCCAGGGCGTTGTCACAAGATCAAGATGTGAACCCGTTTTCTTCCAGAAGGGCGAGGGGTAAGGTGTAATAGACAGGGCGACGTGCGATGGACCTTTGGTTACGCCTTACGACGAATGGCGTGGCATGCATGGCCGATGGCTTCGTGGGCCGTGTGTGCCGCATGCAAGGCGCCAACCTTGTTGGACAGTTACGACAGTTTGTAGATCTGTTTTGCCGACCACGGGTCACGGCTGGCGTCGGAATCTGAAGGAGATGGGGAACAAAAAGGAAAAAAAAGGGACCATGCAGCTTGCCCATGCCAACGCTAGACTTTCTTTCCAATGCGAGAGTTGATTGAAATAGTCCTGCTTTCCCTCGGTTCAGCGGGTTTCGTAACCGGTGTAGGGGGTGACATCAAACCAAGACCAGCCTGGAATCAATATCCCGACGTGCCTTGCATCCGATCAACGACTGCTCCCTCCACCACGATTGAACTATGGACAGTTGGCTGGCTACATCTTGTGAACCAAGGCACGTGTCGACACACTAGGTGACTATTCTGTGGTATATCTATTGTGTTTACAACTGTGTACTTGTAGTAAAGCCCTGCTTCCACACAGACCGGCATTTATTCTCCATGACTACGGCACTCGCGTCCGCTATCCAACCGACTCTTTGCTTCCCCGAGCATTCATCCTCTGCTCTTCACCTGTGGTATCTTCGTGTCCCTGACATGCTGGCCACTTGAGCCATGTCCTCCGGCATTCATTTCATTCGCTCGACGGTTCGCAGCGGGAGTCATGGTTTGGATTTGATCCCTGGTGTAGATCAGTTTGCAGGGTCAACTGTATGACGTCCTCGAGAATTTCTCTGGGCGGTCGTTGAAGGCATGTGGCATGGTGGACGCGTCAGGAGAGCGTATATCGAGACGAAACTATCTGTGAAATCACAACACCTTAAGGCGTGACTTAGGCAAATGCCAGTAATCGTGGAGGGAGTCTAGACTTACCTCCATCCCTACATGACTCACTTTTTGTTGCATACCTACGTTACCTTGGGAAACGCTGGGGTTGCGGATATACACACAGTGTGAACTCCATTAAACCATTGGCTGGTCAGTCAGATGGCCCTTCATTGCGGATGCCTGAGCATGAACCGCAGCTTTATTCCAACACCAGGAGATTGACATCATTCGTACATAGACCAGCGCATACCAGGAGATAAGAATGGAAACTATAGCGGCAGGAATAGGGCAAGTGTAGCGAGGGACCTTTCCGGGATTTATCCGGGTTCATCACGGGATCCTTTCCATCCATCCCCTGATGCACCCGGAATGAATCTACAGATTTCCAGGCACCAGGCCTCCCATCTCCCTCCCTCACTCACCCACTTATACCCATCTTGTTCCCTTTCCTATCTATTATCTACTAGGTACCTGCCTATCCCGTCCTCAAATCCCCCACCATTGTCAATGTCGCAATCTTTCCTCCCCCATCTTTGAACTCCCCATCTTTGAATAATGGCCCCCCGACAATAACCGCCTCACCTCGATCGATTCTGGAATTCATTCCGCCTTGTGGCTCTTGAGCAGGGGAAATTACCTAGGTATGTACCGAGGAGCTTTGGTAGGTCTCTGACATGTGAATTTCCCCCTCTACGTACCAAAGCACCAAAGGACCTCGTACCCTTCCTTCTACCATCTCCCATCTATACCCACCCCCGTTCAAAAACCTCTGGGCTCATAGCTTGTACATGAAACATTGTTCTCCTCAAAAGGTTCCAATTCACTCCCTCGTAACAATTGTAAAACATACGAGATACGTAACCTCGTCTACTAGCAACTAGGTACTCGTAGGCGTAGATAGATATCGTAGCACCTGCCCAATCCGACCGAATTACCGCATCCTCCTGGTCTACTGGCCTGGTCAGACCTCAGAGCTCAGCTCACTTTGTGCCCCATCACCTCCGCTTTCCCTTTCCCTTTCCCTTCTCCTTCTCCGTAACCTATTCGTTCATTTCGCCCCTTCCCAAGAAAGAAAAGAGGATGTTCGGACTCGAATTAATCCTGGAACCCCCAGTCCGTCCGCGAGTCAGTTTTCGTTTCCAATCACCACTGGTGCCATCACCGCCACGACGGTCGAGTTTCAAATTGGAAATTGTATGGTAGCCACTGGCCTACATAGGAAGTAGCTGCGAGTACTCGAACAGATATAACCTACTCGAATAGAGAGACATGCAGGAAATACCATGTACGAGTAGCGAGTCGGTAGACCACACAACACCACACACCAATAACGATCCACCCCCCTCGTCATTCTGCCATCATTACCCTGTGTAGGCACTGTAGGCACTGTAGGTACCTACGCAGCATACTTTGGGTGATCAATATCGGACCTCGCCGACCCTCGTCCCTGATAGGCCCAACCATCCAACCCTTTCAACCTTCGAACCTTCTAACCCTTCCATCTTCCTTCGTCCACTGTTCCACTCCCACTTCCACTTCTACAAATACTGATCAGACCAGCCACCGACCGACTCCACCTCGCTTCACATTGCACCCTAGTGCTCTAGAGACCAGTGTTCCGTACTTCCACACAAGTACACCTACACCTACCTCTTAGCATCAGCCGGGGGTACGGGGCACGGGGCACACGGGGGCTAACTCGAGTCGTGAGTCTTTGTAGTAGTTGTAGTTGTGGGACTTCGGTACGGAGCATGTAACTCGGGTCCTTGGACAGCGAGCTTCGGGGGAATTCAACACGGACCCAAATCACCTCTCCTTCGTCTCCTGCGTCTCCTGTCTCGTGCAACTACGAGTGAGTATCTACCTAGTCCCCGTGCTCCGTACCGAGTACATAGTTCAATGGTCAGGTGGATGAGTGGGTAGGTGGGTGCCTGGCTGGGATCGCTTGGCCTCTCCCTCTCCCTCTCCAGACGTTCAAGAGTGAAAAAGGTAGGCGGCGGAAACTATATCCATTCCTTCTCGTACCTATACTTTGTAGGTATATACCATGTCTGCTCAAAAACACCGGGTCCTTGTCGTGAAGGTGCCACAAAACCAGACACAAAGTCAAAAAGTCGAGTTTCATCCTCCTCCATGTTTCGTAGTCATAAATCGTGTATCCATGCATGCCGTTTTGTCTTCTGGTATATATGTCCACTTTTCATTTCACATCAGAGATGGGTATCAATCAAGTCCTATGTAACTCGCGTAGCCTCATGGCAATCCCAATTCAACCACCGTCCTCCACCAGGAGGTACTGAACCAAAAAACAGAAAGGACATGCCCCGAAAAGGCGTCTTGCATCGTCAACAGATCACTAGACAACTTCCGAAAAGTAGCGTTTACTCGTGTGTCTTCCAGGAGATCTGGGGTCAGGCGGTAACGGTCCGCTGTGGTGTACTACGTGTGGGCGGAAGACCGCATCCACGGGTGGCATCCAGTCATCCAGGCCTAATGGAAAGTATTCGTAGAGTTGATCCGCACTCTCGCCCTCGGCCGGGAATGGCAGGTTTGATTTGGTCGCAAGCAGCTCCGGTCTATGAGGCCCAGCGGCCATCGACCCTTGCCCGTTCATCGTGGCTATCGAGCCCGGAACACTGGTCATTGATACTTGGTGTGAGTGTACTCTAGGTCGTGGGCCCATTTGGTTGGCAAGTTGCCCGGGCGAGGTGCCGGGATTGCTTGTATATGTCCCCGATGGACCTTTGTTGACCAGGGACGGTGAAGGATTCGACGTGGGAGGCCGAGATGAATGTCGTGATCCTTGTTGCGGTGGGTGAGGACTCCCTCCCTCATCATCACTCCCGAAATGTAAGCTCATCGGCCGGCTTCCAGGCGCCATCTCTTGAGGGAACGTAAAGGGGAATGTGCCCGGCGTTCCGAGATCAGGGGTGCCTTCTGGAAACGCTGGTATGGGAGGATTTATAGCTGTTGAGTAGGGAGTGGCAAGAGAATCTTGGACACCTTGTGATACCCAGTTGGTGCCGTCGATATCCGTGGGCTTCACGTCAATACCATCGAAACCAGTCATCTGGGCTGTCTCCTCCGACGGGGTCTTGATCTTGGGGGCTGAAGTGACTTGCGGAACGGAGGTTTGACTGTTCGTGACCCGGGATGTCGCCGGAAGATGCTTACGAGCTGTCGAACTGCTGCTCAGAGGTAAATCTTTCCGTGCTGCAAAGTTGCGCGGGCTCCGGCCTCGGACAATGACAGCCCCCGAGTGCGCTTCAGCAATGGAGATCTTGCCGCCTGTCGATAAGGATGCCATGATCTTTAGGTGTAGCGTGAAGTGTTGCTGCAGTTCTTTTCGTCTACCATTATTGGCTGTGGCTATCCGGAATTGCAACCTTTTCCATTGAATGGGAAACGTCGTAAAGTCCGTGTCCAGATCTTGTCCAGTCATCTTGTCCAAGGGAATTGTGGGAGGCTCTTTCTCTACCTTATCTTCTGGCTTGGGTGCTTCGCCCGACGCCGGTGTCTTCCACGGCACTGAGATGATCTTGACCGAGTTGCCTTCAACGGATTCCGTGGCTGATACGGCCAATTCCAACTCATAGATGGGGATTCTAGACCCGTCATCAGTGAAGACATATCTTAGATTTCGAGGGAGCGTCACCGAGCCGGTGATTTGAAATAGGTTGCGCCGATAACATGTCAGTTCAGGAGGGGGAGGGGGAGTGTCGGCGGTGGCCGGCCATTGGGACTCGGCCAAGAAGAACATGCCGTGCAGCTGGGCATTGATGTTGACCGACGACCGACGGAATGAGTCGTCCAGGAGTGTAAAGTTGTATTGTGGCATCGAGAAACTGAGATATTTGCTGTCGCGGTCGATTGAGGGACTCTCGGGCAGCCCCTCGGTGGGCACCCGCTCGAACTGAGACAATGTGCTTTCGGCAAAGGGATCTTCGAAGTTGGATGAGTACCGCTTCAGCATGGCAGGATGTTGCAGGTTACTCGAAGGTGCGAAACTGAGCTCGTCGCCACTGGAACATGTTAGCTCTAGCGATCGAGATGGGACCGAGCGACACTACCTCATATATGGCTCCGAGTCGAAGTTGGAGTATTGATCTTGCAAATCCATCACCGACGGAACACTCATATAGTCGAGATTTTGCAGATTGCCTCCCCCGAAGGGTATTGGACTGTGCAAGTAAGGCATTGCGAGAGGGTCATAACCATCCATGGTTGCGGCCATGCGTTTGCGTAGGTATAGTGGCTGCGGGCGAGAGGGCAGGCGCTCGATGCGGAGTTTTTGGAGGTTGGAGGTCAAGTAGCGACAGATCTGCGCAAACGCGAGCCACGGAGCTTTGAGGAGGGGAGAAATTGTTATTGAAGAGGCAAGAAAATTCTCGTCGGCATCCTCGAGAGCAAAATGATGCTCACGAAAGCGCCACCGTCGAAGAGGACAGAAAACTGGAATATCGATGAGCCGCGCGGGCGGAAGAGGGTTGTGGTTTGTTAATCAGCGGGATGGACCAGCCTAAACAGCGAGTAATTTTGGCTTGCTAAGTGTGTCTTCCTCCTAACGAGGCGTTCAACCTTTCTTCGCTTCAAACTCGACGATAGGCGGGAGGAAGTAGGAAGCGGGCGCTGCAGCCGGGGTGGGCTTGTTTTTGGGCTTGCGGCGCTGCAAGTGGTAGGGCCTGGGGGGAACACGACGAGGTGAGGCAGTCTGTCAGGGCGAATGCGCAGCTTGGCAGTGACGACAAGCGACTCGAGGATTATGAGATTGAGGCAAATCTTCAGCGGGAAATGAGCTCGAGGAACTGGGACAGGTTGAGGGAAGTCCAAATACGAGCAATGATGGGTGGACGTTGAAGGTGATTTGACTGCGGTGGTCTGTCGCAGCATTTAGACTTCTGAGGGAAGGCCAGTCGAATTGCTTGGTGCTTTCTTCGTCCTGTGTTCCCTGCTATCTGAAAGGTATTGGGTAAGATAGAGGCACACCCACTGCCTGCCGTCGGTGCAAGTTGCCAGGTGCCCACACCCGAGCCAGACAGTTTGCGCCGGTGGCTGGTTTAGGGGAGAAGGCAAACCTTGGGTCTTCTAGAAGGAAATGGGGGCAAGCCAAGGTCAGGCGCTAAAGGGGGAGAGGGGGGCAAGCTTAGGGGCAAACAGGATTAGCTGGGTGGGGTCCGCCTCTCATCTCATGCCTTTGCTCCGTCATTGACCCGGGGCTCTTACCTGGAAGATGTATTTTGGGTGGGGATGTTCTGGGTTAGGTACAAATCCCGAGCACAGACATACCTAGGCACTTAGGTATTCAACTCTGGGTGTCAAACTCGTATTAAGGAGTAGGTAAGGGGGGTGTTCTGGGTACTTCAGCCGCCTATAAGCAAATGACTCGCAGGCGGCAGTTCTGCCCAGGTCAAACTGTCAAATCGCTCCCTCCGAGCCACTCGAGTCTCCTTGGATTTCCCTCTCCTCGAATAGAGGGGTTTGTTCAACCTCTGAGCTTCTCCATGAGCCATGGCCCACCAAAAAAGTACTCTTCTTACCAGATCAGGCTCTTGAATCACTCTGCATCAGCCCCCTCATGCATCGAAGCAGCCATGGAACACAGTTGGAAGGCCCCCTCTTCGTTTAGTCTCCTGGTTAGCTGCAGGCCCTCTATTGCCGTCGGTTGAAGTTCAGTGCGGTCAGTGCAGCATCCCCTCCATCACGCCATGGTCCAGTCAGACTGTCGTTCTCCCCTCCTGCGGGTACGACTTTCCGCTCACCTCGTCCTCTCCAGCCAGTCGCAGGATTTCACCACCTCTCGCTCCTCAGGCTAGTCTGATTCCTCCCGTGTCTCAATCGCTGATCATCGCTGCGCCCGAGAGCCCGAGAGCCTGACATGCATGAGAATGGCTTGTTCGTTGTCTTCTGACGCATGCGCTTGCCGGTTGCGGAAAAGCCCGAGAGTGCCACGGTGAGGGTCCTGATGGCGCATCATGCCCTAATCATGCAGAGCTACGGCTGATCTTAGACTTTTTGCCATGGTGACCACTTCCTTCAAAAAGCAACTCTGTGCGATCAAAGTCCGGTTTGCGCTGCGCTGCCTGCAGTGCGACGCCCGGTTGAGCAGCCTCGCATTACCCGCACGAAGTCTACAAGGTCTCTCCAAGCTGATGCCGGTCGACGCGACCCCCATTTCAGGCACCGAAATGCACATCCGGCGGTCAGATCGGATAACGAGAAGCTGCTGCGGGCAAGAGACCAGCGCTTCGGAAAATAAAAGAGAAAGCCACACATACATTTCCACACCCCCTTGACAGGTCCCATGACGTGTTTGCTCTGAATAACCACCTTCCCGAGTGGATCGTGTGAGACACCTGTGCGAGCCCCAAGTCCGCTTGGCTGTCAGAACGAACACTACCGAGTAACTCGCCCGAAATTCCGCAGGCACAGAGTGTACCTGACAGGGGTTTTTAGTGACTGCTGTACCCAAGGCTTCCTTTTCCAGAAACTCATTCTATTTTCCTAATACGATCTGCTCCGTGCTCTCCGTATTGCTCCAGGGCAGCTAGCCCCTCCGACCATTTCACACCAATTTGCCCCAGGCCATCGCGAACTGTCCAATGTTCGCTTCCGGCCAATGATCGTCCTCTGATCTTTCTACCAATTCACGGTAGGGATTACGCGAGCCTCCAGCCGCCAGCGTCGCCAGCCTCGGCGTCCGCTCGTAGCACAGTATCAGCAGACAGGACAGGTCAACTCGTATGGTATAGTTGTGGAGAGACTGTGGCCGGCTTCCCACTCTCGAGGTTATCGCTGCCCATGGCTGGAGAGCTGCATTTCGAGGATCACCAGTAGGTGGGCCTGACTTGCCCCAATTTCATTTTCTCTTCTCACCGACATGTATGTGCACTGACAGATAGTCAAAATGGCTGTCAGACATTCCGGTTCAGGGTCTGGTATCAGGAAAAGCTTACTCGTACATCGAATGATCCACATGTCAACCGGTATTTCTTGCGGCGGCGTTGAGGGACGACGACGGCAGTCGCCATTGCTCTGGTGCCAAGCGCCATCGGTGGCGGTGGATGGCCTTATTAAGTACTCGTAGTCTCTGCATGCTTCCAGCCGAGCACAAGACATCCTTGGTTCTATTGTAGACCGCGTTGGCGTGGTCCTCGTCGGGTCCTGCCAATCATGTTGCGGACATCATCGTCCAGTGGACCGGATCGCTTGAGATCTCTTCAAAACTGTTGCTGATAGTAAAGCCCAAAGCCTTTAGGCCGTTCATAGCAACATCTTCGCGGGTCTATTGAAGGAGAAAAGGTCAGTCTTCCACATCTTCGATCGCGTCGGCGGTTTCGCAACTTACATAGTCCAAAAGGAGAGTCCGCAAACCTTGCTTTTTGAGCTGGCGTACGCCCAAGAGGACAAGGCCTTGGAAAAGCGAGACGCGGTCGCTGTACATAGTCGAGATAACCGGGGATGACAAACATGCCGTTCCAACTTGCTTGTACAATGACGGAATATAGCGGGCAATTTTCGATTCGGCTCGGGAGATCAAGATGCTCCCTAGAATTGACTGATCAGATGCCCTTTTCGCCCGAATGACACCACAGCCTTCTTCATTGCCTAGGGCCATTTGGTAAACACCTCGTACATCCGTCCGGGCACATCTTTTGAGATGCTCCATCATCACTTCAGTGTACTCGGCTCGGTGTACCAGGTCATATTTGACGTCGGCATTTGCCAAGGCCTGGCCTAATCCTTCAGGAGCTGTCCAGGCTGACAAGTCGCGAATCATCATGGTTGCCACAGGTGTGGAAAGAGACACATTCCATCCGAGTTTGGCAAACCATTGGCGCAAGCGTTTGTACTCTAGGGGATCCAGTTTGGGGATGCCTAGGTACACATGCGGAAACTTGACCCCAAGCTGGAACTTCGTGATTCCTTTCTTCTGAAGCAGCGCTCGCACGGCACGGTCGTGTAGAGAATGCCCGATAGATAACCGTCGGCGCGCCGGGTCCACAATGATGGCTCCGATATGCCCAATGCCGCTGTTCTTGAAATAATATGTGGTACAAAACCCAAACAACTCTTTTGTACTGCTGTTCCTGACCACAAAATGCGCCTCTTCCACATCGGGATCGCGGAGGAGGAAGGTACCAGACGTCGCGTTTTTCAGCGCCGCTGCGTGTACTGACGGTTCATTCTGTGATTGGATAAGGAGCGCGTCTAATGCTGTCGAGTCTCGATCCTCACTGAAGCTTTCCACAAGCCACTGCTGTCTGGTGTGACTAGTCTGGGGCTTCTGGCTAGATGAGCCTGGCAACACTCCCGACGGGGTAAGCTCACCATAAAGTACTTGGACTAACGCTTGCAGCGCTGCCTCGGTGAAGTCATAGGTACAAACGTACGTTCCGATCGACGTGTCAGACGCAAAGTCGAAGGGGGAGCTGACGGCGACCACAACACAAGGCTTTTCCCGTGGAGTGCCATCCGCTCCTACCGACAACTTACATAACATAGAAATGTGTTTTGCAAAAGCGTTTTGATACATATTCCGACCTGCATCTGCCGTGATGACCACGACTCCTCGAGCTCGATTCAAGAGGTTCTCATGGAGCGGTCTCACTCCATTAGCAGTATATGAAGTGTGAGAGATTTTGCCGTTGCGGTACCGGGCGAGCATTCGACCAAGTTCTCGGAAGACTTGCTCTCCACTCATGATTGACGTATTCGTATCGATGCTAGGACTGCGCCCCAAATGAGGGAGAGTCGACGCCTCATTTTGCAGGAGATGAAACAGGGCGGAAGCGGGTAATGGTTTGACCAAAGGCGTCAAAAGGAGAAGTTCTTCGTCGGGTTTGATGACTCTGGACAACGGCAGATAATGTTGTCGGTCTCGAACCACAGTGATTGATTTGTTATAAGCTGTAGTTGAAAGGCTTGTATGAAGAGGCTGCAAGCGTGAAAGATTCTCGATTCCCGTCGGCGAAAACGCCTTTTCCCAAGATGTATATTTTTTCTTCAGGTTAAGGATTCGCTGTACTGACTGTTGCACTCGATATCTCTCAATCATGCCATTGTCCAATCCGGTGGTAAGACCGTTGATGGCGTCTTCTTGGACTGACAGAGTTCGGCAAGTCAGGATCAGGTCACAGCCGGCCTGGAAGGCCATGACTGTTCCACCACTGATACCAATATTGCGGCTCAGAGCCTCCATTTCCAGGCACTCCGAAACCACGACACCTTCAAAGCGCATTTCGTGTCGCAACAGATCTCGAACAATCTGCTCCGAAAGACAAGCGTGCATCACATTGACTTGAGAAGATGCCATGGCAACGCCGCCGACCATCATTGCATCAACGCCATGGGCGATGGCGGCTCGAAAAGGGACCAAAGCACTCTGGCTCAGATTCTCCAAGGAGTCTGTAATGGTGGGCACATCATCTGGAACGCCAAAGAATTCAAGATTGCCATAAGAAGGGAAATGCTTGCCGCAGGTCGCGACTCCGCCTTCTTGGTAGCCTTTGATGCATTCGACACCATATGCCGAGACTTCATGAGGGTCATCGCCTACAGATCGAACGCCGAGAGGCTGGTTTCGGGCGTTGGTCAGGACATCCAGCACTGGACCCAGGATCCAATTGATACCACACGAATTCAACTCCTGAGCTGTTGCTCTGGCGATATCCTTTGCCAGTTTCTTTGAGCCGGTAGCAGCCAAGCCCATGGCACTGGGGAATTGACGAATATAGACCTCATCGTAGAGACTGTTGACGCCGCCATTTTCCTGGTCGAGAGCAATTAAAAGGGGCACCGGATGACCAGCTTGACGTGCAAGAGTCTGAAGGTCAAGCACGAGCTGGGTTGCCTGTTCTGCAGCTGTTGTAAAATAGCCTGTCAGTGACCCCAATGAAAGCGAGCAAATACACGCAAGAACAGGAGACGGCACATTTGAGGTTTTGAGCCTTGAGTAATATAGAGCCTACGTGATACTTCTCGATCAAGGTCTTGACCTGATCAGTGACCGTGGTGCCATCAAAGCCCATCATAAACAACTGGCCGAGCTGCCTGCCAGATATATAGTTAGGCTGTATCCACGTCGCAAGGGCTGAGAATGACGGGATGAGACATACCTCGATTCGTCCCACAGGCCGGGCAAATCCCCATTGGTAGTGGCCACAGCCATGATGAGACGAAGGGCCGAGTTCCCCACATGCACCACGATTGGATGGGACAGGCGTGAAGGCTGGGCAACCCGGACAAGAGAGGAAATGGAGCAGGAAGGAGAGTTCGGGGGGTCGGGAACAGGAGTCGGTTCAGAAGCCGAGCACTGGCAGTCCTTGACACAGCGCGCACAGGCAGAGAGTCGAGCACGGACCAGTGAAAAGTCGCGGATGGCGAGATGCGCGCGGCATCAGAGAAGCTTTGGGAGAAGCTCTGGGAAACGTGGGAGCGGACAAAGAAGGTGATGTTGCATTCTGGAGATGGAAGTGTCGCAACGTCGCGTCCTGGGCGAGGAGAAATGTAATGGTGAGAGGGAAAATGGGATGCGACATGGATGGGATGCCACCTTTTTTCCCACCGAAGCCGGGCGAACGAGACGGTTACACTGGCTCCAGTCACGTGGACACATACAAAACAGAAAATGTTTGCTGTGTTTGCCCCCCATTCCTCCATCCTCTGCCTGCGCCCTCTGCCACCTTCTTCCCACTCCCACATGGAGGATTGGCTGCGACGGCACGACGGCTACCCTATCTCGCTGACTTCATCGGCTGCTTCCTGCTGATAACATGGCCAATCTCCCTTGCTCCAGCGCTCCGGTTGTCTCCCGATGGTAGCGAGCGGGTGCTCCATTGGTTGGGTGACAATATTGCAACTGTTGCACCACCACACCCCTCCTCGACACTGCTGGTTACCTGTCCCTTCGCTGTCCTTGTATGGGAAAAAAGATTTCTCTGTGACACCAGTGCCTTATTCTCCGCATTATGGCCCCTACGTGTGTAATCCCTCTCATGATGGTCTGGCTAAAGGTTGTCCTGCCGTCTACGTCAACGGTTTGTCGCTGGTCTCTTTTATGTCCATCCCCCCCGCTCCCTGCGACTATTGTGCTCTCCTCAGTAGACTTCCCTCTCATCTCGCGAACCTCCGAAGAGAACTTACTACCAAAATGAAGGTCATCATCCGTGACGACAAAGACGGTGCTTCCAAGTACGCAGCCCGATACATCGTCAACCGCATCAATGCCTTCGCGCCGACTCCCGAAAAGCCCTTTGTCCTTGGACTACCCACTGGCAGCAGCCCCGAGATCATTTACAAATATCTGGTTGAGGCGCACAAGGCCGGTGAGGTATCATTCGCCAATGTTGTGACTTTCAACATGGACGAATACGTGGGTCTGCCTGAAGAACATCCCGAATCCTACCACAGTTTCATGTACAAGCATTTTTTCGCCCACGTCGACATCAATCCTGAGAATGTCAACATTCTCAACGGCAACGCTCCCGATCTGAAAGTCGAATGTGCTGCATATGAAGAAAAGATTGCCCGTGCCGGTGGGATTGACCTGTTCCTGGGAGGTATTGGACCAGATGGACATATTGCATTCAATGAGCCAGGTTCTTCGCTGCGCTCAAGGACCAGAGTCAAGACATTGGCGGAAGACACAATTCGGGCCAATTCGCGCTTCTTTGGCGGCGACCTCAGCCAAGTCCCCAAACAAGCCTTGACTGTTGGTGTGGGCACCGTTCTCGATGCGCGGGAGGTCCTGGTCATCGTCTTGGGTTCCAACAAGGCCGTCGCTCTGGCTAAAACGATTGAGGGAGGTGTCAGCCAGATGTGGACTTGCAGTGCACTGCAGATGCATGAGAATGCTATGATTGTCTGCGACGACGCCGCCACGGACGAAATGATGGTGAAAACGGTCAAGGTAAGCATGTGATCCGCTGCGCAGTGCAGAGCGTGCCCACTAACCATCTCCACAATAGTACTTTAAAAGCATCGAACAAGTCTCCGCAGGCCAAGAGACCGCCAAAGCCACTCCTCAACGGTCGCAGGTTCGGTTAGACAACTGGCGCGCGGGGTTGAAGGACCTCAGAATCGATACGGAGAAGAAAGAGCTGTTGGAACAAGACGATGGAGAACTGACACCAGATAGCATGTCCTCGAGGCTGGTGGACTCGGCCATCGCCATGAACGACAAGAAGATGGGGGATTTCATATTCGACCGTATGGGCTCGCGGGTTTCGACTTTTGCGGCATAAAATGGAATGGATGGGTGCTGCTTGTCCGAGTGGCGAGGCTGAGGATTCGAGTCTGGAGAAACGATTTTGTTCTCACTTAGTCTAAGGATTGTTCTATGGTTATCCCTTTAGAGGCGTACATTATGGTACTTTATAAAAGGCGACGGCGTCATCTTCGGGGTCAGCATTTCTACATTAATTGGTATAGCAAGCTAGATTCAGGCGGCTTCAGATTCAATTCGAGGACAAGCTCAAGCTTGGCCAACGACGCAGAATGACATTATTGTTTGGGGTATACCCTTCGCGAGGAAGGGCCTCTGTTAAATCCTCTCTGCCCGTCATTGTCGGTGTTATATCATTCATTCATGCTTACTATAACTTGGCAAAGACCGTTGGGACAGTCCCTCCCATCTCGACCAGGGTGCTCTTATTCCGCACCCAAGCCTCCAGGCCTCTCCGGCCATTCTCGACGCCGACACCGCTCTGTTTCCAGCCCCCAACGGCCATCTCGGCGGGCGACTCGCCCCAAGTATTGACCCAGGTGATGCCGGCCTGGAGCTGCTTGATCACCGTATGGCACTGGTTGATGTCCTTCCCGAAAACGCCGGCGGCAAGGCCCAGCTCAGTGTCGTTAGCGCGCGACACGGCCTCGTCGAGCGAGTCGTACGGCAGGATGGCCATGACGGGGCCGAAGATCTCTTCCTTTACGATGCGCATGGCGTCGGTACAGTCTGTGAAGACGGTGGGTTGCACCCAGTATCCGCTCCTAAGGTGCGCTGGGAGATGGGCGGGTTGGTCGAGACCGCCGTGGAGCAACGTTGCCTTGTCAACCTCGATGCCGTGCCTGATGTAGCTCGACACTTTATCGTAGTGGACCTTGCTGACCAAGGGCCCGAAGTTGGTGTTCGTGTCCATCACCTCCCCAGGTCGGACGTACTTCAACTTCTGTAGTAACACTCGTTCAAACTCGGACTTGAGCTGCTTTGGCACGAAGACTCGCGTGCCGTTTGTGCACACCTGGCCCGTGCTGAAGAAGTTGGCCATGATGGCACCGTCGACTGCCTGCTCAATGTCGACGTCCGGCAGCACGATCACGGGGCTTTTCCCACCCAATTCCATAGTCACGTACTTCATCTCCCCGGCGGCTGACCCGGCGACCTTGCGACCCGTCGAGACTTGTCCTGTAAAACTCACCTTGGCGACCATGGGATGTTTGGTCAGATAGGCACCCACGTCGCCCGCGCCATAAACAACGTTGAACACTCCGTCAGGAAGACCGGCTTCCTTGTAGACTTCGGCGAGGAATTGACCGTGGAGGGGTGTCACCTCGGAGGGTTTGTACACCATCGTGTTCCCGGCGGCGAGACACGGAGCTGATTTCCATAGCGCAATCTGAATAGGGTAGTTCCAGGCCCCAATGCCAACACAGACGCCAAGCGGCTCTTTGGAGGTGTAAACCCAGGCCGAATCGCGAAGACGAAACGACTCCCCATTCAAGCCGCCTGAGGCGACCAGACTGGCGAAATATTCGAGGACATCGGCGCCGGTGACGATGTCGACGGTCGATGTCTCCGAGTAGGGCTTTCCAGTGTCGATGGTTTCGATCTTGGCGAGCTCGTCGTTCCGAGACCGAAGTATTGAGACGGCCTTGTGTAGAATCCTGGCTCGCTCGATGGGCGGTGTGCTGGACCATGAAGGGAATGCCGCTTTTGCTGACGCCACAGCCGAGTCAATTGCTGATGGGGAGGATGTGTGGACTGTACAGACATCCTTGCCTGTTGAAGGATCGACTGAGGAGAAGGTGCCCAGTGAGGTCGAAGATGGCTGAGGTTTTCCGGCGTAGAAGGTGTGGCGCTCAGGGAGCCTCATGTTGAGGGGAGGGAAATCGAAGTCTTCCGTTGCTGCTGGGTCGTGAGAGATTGAGTCGATGTGGAAAGAGATCAAAGGAGCTGCTTGGTTTCAGCGGATTGTTGATGTGTGTGTCTGTCTATCTCGACGTCAGTCTGTAACATTTCATTCTGCTCATAGGCCCCTGCAGTGACCATAAGGCGGGGCGGCGAATCACCAAGGATGACTAGCCACAACCCCTACAGTTAGGTACCTAGAGTGCCTAGCTGCATTCCTCCAAGGGCTCCTAGAGGGACTGGTCCGTCATCTCCGGGCATCTCCAGGTGCTCCGGGCGCCTGGTCACCATCTTTTTCTAAGCATCGCCTAACTAAAAGTGCCAAGTTCATGGGTGGCGGCTTGTTGATTCCGGACTACGCGAAAAACGACCCTCTTCATCCGCTTCGTCCTCTTCCCCCGTGATTCTTTTCCCCTTGTAGGCATTAGTTTTCAAACCTCCCATCAGCTGGTCTTCTACGAAGGCCACAGACCACAGGCCACAGGCCCTAGTTGATACAATGATAAACCTTTTTACCATCTACTCGTATCCCGCCCTTCTTATCAGCTCCTTTACCTCTTCCGGCAACATCAACCGTGCTTGACTTCATTCTTTTGCTCTTTTGCCTCCACCACAAGCTTTTTTTTACTGTTTCTTTTTCACCGCCACCCGCCGGCAGGGCGGCATATCCCTCCATTCTTCATTTTTATTTGCCCCAGTGCCCACATGGCCCTTGTACTCTGCTAACCAAGTCTAGGAATGGAAGAACGAGACCAATCCACATGCTGTGCAACTTGTCCTGCGTCAACGTGCAGGACAGCCCCGTCGCCTGACTGGTGCTGGCCAACCGGGGAGGTTCACACAGCTGGGATATGATCCTGGCCGACCATCCACCAGCCATCACCGTGGACTGATACGATATCCCCAGGACTAAGGACTAATAACCAGCTGCCAGTACCGAGTACTTCTTACGCAATAGATTATGTGGGTCACGCTTCTGCCCCAGAATCTTTTTTCCCAGTCGTCTATAATTCTTTAACAAACCTTGATGTTTAGTCCTACGTCGACGACTTTCCAACACCCTCATCAATTGATCTTTTCAAAGAGCCCAAAGATGACGACCAACCATCTAGACGTTTCCGAAGTCGATAGCTATGACTACCTCATCGTGGGAGGTGGGACGGCAGTAAGTATGTCGGTCAGACACGAGTGGACAGGGTGCTAAATGGAATCCTATCCGATAGGGCTGTGTGATTGCATCCCGCCTAGCTGAATACCTGCCGGAGAAGAAGATACTGTTGATAGAGGCCGGGCCCAGTGATTTTATGGATGATCGAGTCCTGGATCTCAAACAATGGCTCAGCCTTCTTGGAGGAGAACTCGACTATGACTACGGGACTACTGAGCAACCGATGGGTATGTCGGTGACCTGTTTAATTATACGAGATCTTAAAGGGCTGACGACGCAATTCGCAGGCAATTCCCACATCAGGCATTCTCGCGCCAAAGTCCTGGGTGGTTGCTCCAGTCACAACACGCTGATCTCCTTTCGGCCCTTTGAGTATGACTGCAAGATCTGGGAGTCGATGGGTGCCAAAGGCTGGACCTTTCCCATGTTTATGCGTGTGTTGAACAAGCTTCGGAATACCGTCCAACCCGTTCATGCTCGCCACCGGAATCAGTTGTGCAAAGATTGGGTCCAGTCGTGTAGTACCGCCATGAACATCCCAATCGTACACGATTTCAACGCACACATTGCGGCCACGGGCGCGTTACGGGAGTGCGTGGGCTTTTTCTCCGTCAGCTATAATCCGGATGACGGCCGGAGATCCAGCGCCAGCGTGGCCTATATTCACCCTATCCTCCGGGGCGAGGAACACAGACCTAATCTCAAGATCCTTACCAACTCCTGGGTCTCCAAGATCAATGTCCGCGACGACACAGTGACAGGCGTCAACATCACCCTCCAATCAGGCCAAAAGTTGACACTCACCGCACGAACCGAGACCATCCTCTGTGCCGGCGCTGTCGACACACCGCGGCTGATGCTCCTCTCCGGGCTGGGACCGGCTGAGGAACTGTCCTCTCTTTCCATCCCTGTGGTAAAGAACATCCCTGGTGTGGGTGAAAACCTCCTCGACCATCCGGAAACCATCATCATCTGGGAGCTCAACCGACCGGTGCCACCAAACCAGACCACCATGGATTCGGACGCCGGTATCTTCCTCCGCCGTGAAGCTCCTGATGCGGCAGGGAAGAAATCCACGCCAACAAATCCTGCCGCGATCCCGGACGGCAACATTGCAGACGTGATGATGCATTGCTACCAGATCCCTTTCTGCTTGAACACGACCAGATTGGGCTACGACACCCCGATCGATGCATTCTGCATGACACCCAACATCCCTCGTCCTCGATCGCGGGGCAAACTTTATCTCACTTCGTCTGACCCCAGCGTCAAACCGGCACTAGACTTCCGCTACTTCACGGATCCTGAAGGCTACGACGCCGCGACTTTCGTCTTTGGAATCAGAGCCGCGCGCAAGATCGCGCAGCAATCTCCATTCAAGGAGTGGATCAAGCGCGAAGTGGCCCCAGGACCTGCGGTCCAATCCGACGAGGCACTCTCCGAGTATGCGAGAAAGGTTGCACACACCGTGTACCACCCCGCGGGCACGACCAAAATGGGAGACGTGCACAAGGACGAGAAAGCGGTGGTGGACGAGAACTTGAAGGTGAGGGGCCTCAAGGGGCTAAGGATCGCAGATGCGGGCGTGTTCCCGGCCATGACCACCATCAACCCGATGTTGACGGTGCTGGGGATCGGGGAGCGATGTGCCGAGCTGGTCGCCATTGAGGCAGGCTGGCGGCTGACGGACGTGGAAATGAGCGGACGCGGCTGGGCGAACGACAAGGGACTCCGACCCAGACTGTAAACCTGGGTGGGGAAGGGAGGGTATGTGTGGTGACGGACCCCAGGTCGCCCTGGAAACTGACCTGGGAAAGGGCACGAGATGGCAATGACTATGATATCAAAGAAAAAACCAAGATGTTTATTATGGCTACTTGCGGCGATTGGATATGGACGGACGAATGGATACTACTAGGAGTCGGTTCTCTAGCAAATTTATCTATTCACGCCGTGCGTGCGTACCGTGCACATCATCCCTGCCTGGGAGAAGACCCAGCATCTGGAGTCTGGACCGGGCTGCGAAATCTCTGTGCGTAACCAATTATTTGATTTGTTCTTGGCCAATTACAGACCAGGCCCGGACCAGGCCAGACACGAATGAACGAATGAACGAATTTATGTCAAACCAGGGTAGGCCGTGGAACGTGGGCTGGCTGGCTGTATACGGCTCTCTATCTCTCTAGCCTAGCTGGATCAATGAGGATCGAGTGCGTGAGTGCGTGAGTGCGTGAGTGAGTAAATGCGCGAACAAGTACTCACTTTCCCGCTCCGCTACAAAAAGGTGGAGAGGGACAGACGATGCCGTAGGGAGGGAGGTATGTGTGTACCACGTACGGAGAATCAAGGGGGGAAGAACCAGAGTGTGAGGGGAGTCAGTCCAGCCAGCCGGGAGCCGGGATCTCGAAAAGATCTGAGACAAAGACACAGAGAGAGAGAGACACACACACACAGAGAGAGAGAGAGAGAGAGAGAGAGAGATGTAGAAGGGGGGAAGCCGACAAGATATGCATAACGCGTACCCTCGGATGTAGGTATCTACGCATGTTGCCGGGGGATTGCAGACATCACATCACATGTCAGTCAATCCCACTGTGCTGTCCCGGGTGCCGTGCTCTACTCTGCTCTGCTCTGCCCTACCCTGCCCTTCGGCGCCGTGCTGCGCTCGCTTTGCCTTGTGCCCTCAAGACAGCGAGAAATGCCCCAACTATTTGAATTCCCATTCGAACCTGACAGCTTTGATGACGATGACAACATCACCGGCCATTGCTAAACTTAGTCACCCACGCTGACGCCAGCCTTGTCCGCATCCTTGGGGTCAGTCTTCTGTGGCTCGGTCCCTTCTGTGGCGGCATTCTCAGCCTTATCAGTGCCAGACACTTCGGCCGCTTTGCTCTGCGTCGTCTCGACGGCATCTTCCGCATCGTCGTCGTCCTCCTCTGGTATACTCAGCTTCTTCTCCAGCGCTCGAATCTCTTCAGGGGACGCTTCTCCGATGTCGCTCCCACGATGCTGCTTGCGGGGCGTCGCCTGCGTAGATAAACTCGTAGAAGAACTGGCGCTGACTTCATTGTCCGGCACGGCAATCGACGATTGTGACGTGGTCGATGTCTCTTCCGGCTCTGCGACAACCTTGTCGCTCTCTTCTATGGGCGTCACGTCACTCAACCTCGACTTGGACTTCGTGACGCTACTTGTCCGACGCATCTCGAGAATCTGTTCTTCTTTCGAGGGCGATGTATCCTCGGCCGCATCTACGGCGATTTTGTCTTGTGACTCCGCAATCTTGCCGACAGATGTTCTGGCTGCCCCTTCCGATGCGAGTTGGGCTGGCGTTTTGGCTGCCGTGACCTCCGCCGCTGTATCGGCCGACTCTACCGCTGCCTCTGTGCCGACTCTATCGGCTGCAGCCTTGGGAGATTGGGCAGCAGCAGCGCTTTTCTTTTGGGTGGCTTTGGCTGCGGCCTCCGCACCTAACTGCCGAAAAGCCACATTCATGGGATTTTCAGCAGGCTTCTGTGACGCAGCAAGCCTTGTATCTCCGGCCACCGCATTCTTTTCCTTTTCCTTCTCTGATGGTTCCGCAATGGAGATGTGGCGAGTCTCGGACGAGGCGCGTGAGGGGGGACCGGACCTCGAAGGGGTCGAAGCAGTGCTCGTCGCTGGTACTTGTGGAGCCAGGTTCGCGGACGTGGTCAGACCGCCAAAATCTTGAGTGGCTGCAATCTGTTCCTTGAGCTCTCCATACTCGTTCCACTCTTCGATTTGCTCGAGATCCTAGAGATTGGTTAGTGAAAGGCCAGTTTTGGAAGACGGCCGGGGTACCGCATACGCCGATGATTTCGCCATATTTGACCAAGCCCGGCAGCTTTCTTCCCTTGGATCTTCTGCCCCAGAGCATGCGCGCTTTCTCATCTGTTGCGCAGTCCAGTGCCCGAAACGGGATCTTGTTGGCTTTCAGAATGGTCTCCAGTCTTGAAGTCGCGGTAATAATGTGAGATGATCCGGCCGTTAGTGAGGTATAGAGGTAGAGGGTCGGGTCTGTGGAGTAGGAGGTTGCCGCCATGGTGGGCGGTTCTCGCGGGGTAAGGAGGTTTTGAGAAGGAGGGCCAAAATGATCGTGGGGAGGCCTGGAAATCGAACTGAAGTAGCCCAAGGGGTCGATGTAAGGTGAGCAGCAGGGACTAGCAAAGTCTTGTGATAAGATACGAAGCTGCAACTGTCAGGGGAGAGCTGACAGTGACACAAGGGGAAGAGTCGGTGAATTGACGATCAATTGACTGGCCAACCCGGAGAGAATCAGGAAATCAAGCGTGTAGAGGTGAACCAAATGTGCAAACAGGTGTGGTCAACGACATGGCCCGGTGCGCGTCTATATTAGCCACATGGACAGGCACGACGGATTCAGCGGCCTGAAGTCAAGTTGTCTATCGATCTGTTGGCCGCCACGCGCAGATCAATTCCTCCACCGGCAAGACGGGGAACGTGCGAAGCTGCGGGGGTGATGTCATTGGTGAGTTGTCAGTACTTCAAATGACAGCCCTTTTTGCCTGTGATTTATCGTCTGACAAGTTAGTTATCGCTCTGCGACATCTTGCGCATCTTCTCGAATTGTCTGCGCCTCCGAGGTATTCCTGTTGCCCTGCTATCTTTCATTCAGTGAAGGTCCAAGGACACGGTCTTGGTTTTGAGTCATACTTGCTCCTCATGTTACTCACCATCACGAATCGATATTCTCCGCCAAACCACTGGCCTGTATCAGGGTCTCAGGCCTGCATCCCCAATGTGTACGTGACAACCAACGCGTCTCCCGTGCTATGCAATGCCTCGTACAATTGCCGATAAGCGCTGACCAGACGCTTCGATGCTAGGCGGGCTGATGGTGATGCCCACCAAGTCCATCCTAGAGTGAGGTAAACACACTCCAAAACAAGGACCCGGTCAGGCTCCACCGAAGGACCTCGCATTTCGTGGACGTTGGCCAAGTCAACGGCTCGCTTGGCCAGGAACTCTGCCACCACGTCAGCCGCCCGCTCGGTGATTCTTGCAGAACGCACTCACCACATTCCTCGTATACCTTCCTGAGGGAAATACTCTGCTATTCCCAGGGCGTTTGATTTCGTCTTTACGAGTGTAGTCTCTTCCCACGACACTTTTGTCAGTCTGTCTGAGACGGTATCGGCGCGTAAATGGCATTATTATTATTATTATTATTATTATTATTATTATTATTATTTTTGCACACAACTACTTATAGTTCTCCGCTTCAATAAGGCCAACCACCGGTCATTCTTTCGATGCCTATCTGATATAATGTATTGGTAACGCAGGTGATAACCCCCGGTAGCCACTCACTGCCAACGCCTTCCTTGAAACGCCTTTACAACCTAGATAAGTCTTTGGCTGGTGTTCTGTCCCATCCACAAAAGGTCAAAACTGAAAAGAGTCGAAGTGATTCTCATTAACCATGTCCACCTCCGATCGGATCTAGTGGGTTGCAACAGACATGGTTGTTTCCGGGTTCACTGGCCATGTCAAGATCGAGTAGTAGCTTGAAGTACGCCGCACACAATCCCATGTTATACATTTGAACGTCCTGATCGGCCTCTTCGCTTTGCGACACCCTGCAGTTTCGACGACTTTGGCTGATGTTCCTTTTTGGAACGACCATTTCCCCCTGTTTTCGCCTTCGTCGAGGTCTCCTTTACCTTCTGGTCCGACTGCGGTGGAGGCAGCTGTGTCACACTCTCCTTGTTCAGATTCTCCACGGCTTCAGGAGGCATATCAGGAACCTTGAGCCGCCGTTCTCTTCCTGCAATCCTGAGGCTGCGACGGGGTGGAGTCAACTTGGAGACCTTTGCAGACGTCGTCGGCCCTCGAGATGCCTTCCGCCTGGGCTTGGTTTTCTGGTGGAGCGGCTCTGCGAATTCCAACGGTTGTGGATCAGAATCGTCGCCTGAGGATGGGTCGAAAACGTTTCTACCAGTCAGACGACTGTGCTCTTGGGGCAATGGCCTCGGTGGCAGCGGCGGTGTGGGAGGAAGTATGGCTTCCAGTGCATCGACCTCGGATGGAGTGAATTCCATGTCATTTGGATCCGCAGGTTCTGGTGATGGGGACTCATTTCTCCATTTCCACCCCACCAAGTGTGGCCATACACCGGGGTGCACACGGTCAGTCGTATTGTCGGTCCAGCTATCTTTCCAGCGGCCGTCCTCTTTCCATCGGGCCATTACATTCGCCCTTGCCGGTTCATATGCCGAGATTGTGGGCGGCATTGGAAGGCGTTGCAGTTTCACCTCTTCCTCTGCGGCCTCTAGTGCCCAAGCAAACCAAGGTCGGCTCGTGATTAGAAATTCGCGATCATCGACCACGTCGGTGTCGTATTGGGGTCCATTCTCTGTCGACACTAGCTTGAGTGTCTCGCTCCAGTGACCTTCCCTCTCGAGGTACATTCGGATCGCGCGCTCCCATGCGAACTCCTCATCTGGCACGGGCCAGCAGCCAGTTCGTTCCTCCCAAGGTAGGCTGTCGAACTTCCGTTGTGTGCCCCGCCATTGCCGTTGCCACTCCCAGATTCTGGATTCAGGACGATCTTTGTCAGGAAACCATCCGTGCTTGCTAGGTGCGACTCCCCATTTCGGGTTCCAGACTCCCAGTTCTTGCCATCGTTTTTTGATGCTGTGTCTGCGCATGATGCGCGATCTCTCTTGTCCTGCGCGCCCCCTCAAGTCGGGTCCATGATAGAGCAGAACATAATTTTCATCCCGACGCCACTGCTCATTATCGATCCGCCTTGTTTCCTGCACCACTTCCTCCTCGTATCGACGGCCTGGGTGATAGCGCTTACACAAAATATTCCGCATTATATTGATTTCCCTGTCATTCAACGGCTTACGAATAAGTTCTTCGGGGTCGATTTCGGCCTGGAATTGAGGCAAAGGTTCAAGGGTTGATTCTCCCGTGGTATGACAGGATGAGTAAGGGTCCTTTCCGAAACGACGCTCTTGGTGTTCAAGAAACGCTGGGTCGTCCTCTATCCGCGGGAGAATGGGCATCATGGCATTCGGACGAGCCGAATTGATGTCGTCAACGGTGTGAACCATTGTGATGGTCGGGAGAAGTGCAGAAGTCGACGCGTCGAGGGGACGCAGTCCAGTGCGGCTCACTGATGTATGGATTTACAAGTTGTCAATCGTCCACGTGACGCATGCATTCCAACACTCTAGGCAACGAATTGAGCCATGCACGCAACGAATTGAGCCATGCACGCAACGAATTGAGCCATGCACGCAACGAATTGAGCCATGCACGCAACGAATTGAGCCATGCACGCATCCGACTAAAATAAGGGACGTGTTTGACAACAGCAGGGTTTATCACCAGGTGACAAAGGAATGCAATCTACGACAATCGCTGTTGTCCAGTCGACTTGAGGGGGAGGCCATGGGTTTCTCAAAATGTCTCGGTATTGCCGGGGCACTATGGACAAGGAGACTGATTTGCTCAAAAGATGGATTACTCTCCCAACCATTCTTTCGGAGGGGGACTATCTATCTTACTTGTTCTCTCGTGGAATGCGCAGCATCATGTCTCCCCGCCAAAGCCCACATCCGGAGACGATCTTGTGGCTCGTGCCGGCCAAGGATTCTCCCAAGACTCAGGAAATGCTTCTTCACCCAGACAACAAGAAGTTTGTATCTCTATGCAACACCAAGCCCGATGTGTACGGACTTGAGATCGGCCATCACGTTCCGTCAAGGCCTCGTCCTCTAGTTATAGCGGAAGTGGGAAAGAATGCCGACCTTGTCATGCCAGGCTCGAGTATCTCCCAAGTCCACTTTTCGTTCGAGATCCACCCAGAATCCCATCAAATCATGTTCTGGGACCGGTCCCGACTTCACACCACGAAAATAGGCCCAGATCCGTTCAGGGAAGATGGGAATTTCCGCAAGATTGTCTTGGACACGACGAAATCCGACTACACAATCAGCGCTGGCGGCGAAAAACTAGACCAGTTTGTCTTCCACGTGGAATGGGACACGTCGGACAAAGACATGATGGTGCAAGAGCAAGAGAACAAATCTCAGATGGTGGATGCGCGGATATGCAATTCTCGTTGGGCTCCAACTGTCGAGGACGCCCCGATGGATCTCACCTCTTGGTACAACACACGACTTCACACGCCAGCCATTGGGGCTGTCCAGCGAGCGATCATGGTTAAAGAGCTAGGTCGTGGAGCGTTTGGTGATGTACACAGAGCTGTCGATACCGATTCGGGATGCTTAATCGCAGCCAAGAGAATCAAAGTGCCTCGGAAAGACGACGCGTTGCAGCGTGAAGTCAAAGCTCTCTCCAGCATTTCTCACCTATGTTCCTCCTTATCCTCTTGGCTATGGTGCCACATGCTCACAGCGGGAACAGAAGAACATTGTCGAATACTTGGGCTCGTCGGGTTGGGGCACCGAAAACGTCGAGATTTACATGAGCCTCAAATCCGGAAGCTTGGGCGGTTTGGTCGAGCAATTTCCAGGTATACGTACCAACAAAGACGTCGTCTGGCATGAAATGCTCCAAGCGCTAGATTATCTTGCCTGCCGACACTGAATCCACCGGGATGTCAAGCCCGCAAACATCCTCTACACCCCATCAAGCGACAATAATTACCTTTTCCAACTCGCTGATTTTGGCCTTGCCAGTCAACAACAGCTCGCAAAGACACTCTGCGGCTCTCCCTTTACATGGCACCCGAGATAATGCTCGAAACGCACGAGCAGTCTCCCAAAGCGGACGTGTGGTCCCTCTTTGTCGTGCTCGGTGTTGTGACACAAGCAGGAAATCTTCACGATCCAAGGCTGGCTAAGTACAACCACGTTCTCCAATGTGTTAAGGATGCGGCTATTTGCATGCCGATCCTCGAGCCCATGGCACGACAAGATCCCAATCTACGAGCTTCGGCAGCTCAAATGCTTGTCATGCATTTCAACGGCGAAGGATTGACCACACCTCGACGTCAGATTGAGCCAGTGCCGGATGCTTCTTCTCAGCCTTCAGGACAACGCGATAGGTTGCAAGTTCCAGCACCGAAAGGCCCCAAGCCTGATGTCCCTGGCCTGAAGCGACTTCGCAGTGTGTCACCCAAACCTGCAGCGAAAGCCCCTGAACGACCAAAGCACTACTTCCAAACGAAAGAACGACCATGGGCACGTTGGTGAGCTATAGAGGTAAAGGGTGGGAGGGAGGGTGTTGCTTGTACACTAGTTAGTTAGTACCTTTGGTGTTTCTTTTGTGTCCATGAGAAGAATACTACTAAATAAATAAACGCACAGGCAGATAGATATTTAGATATAGATTCAGGAACTTACTTAGTGTTTAGTAACTTATTACTGAGTTGTCCGGATTGAACGCGCAAACGGCACCTGGAAAGCGCGCCACGAAAACCGCCTAAATAAGTCTAGCTGGCCTTTTTAGTTTTGCTCCCAACCAAAAACGGACGTCAAGCGTGCGCTTGATTGGTGGTACTATGTACCAAGTACCAAATAGGAAGGTGAACTTAGTCATCATGAAAACTACTACTTTGTGCAAATCCAGTGCGAGCGGCTTGGACAAGGCATCCCCGGATCACTTGATATCCATTCTTGGTTGTTGAACCTGGCAAGGCATTGACTGGTCTACTGGCAGTAGATCACCCAGCTGAACTTGCTACCCGGTAGAACGTGGTAGTGCGGGAGGCCACCGGATCGGAGCATAGTTGTCCTCGTGGAACGGTTGTGGTTCGCTGTGGTATTTCGCATTGGCCGGTTGAGCCGTTGTTGTGGTGTGTTCGCACTTGGGGATGCGCGGCGACGAGGTGAAGACTGTCACAGTCAGTCATTTGCCCCTCTTTTTTCCCGGCTTCTCAAATAAATCAGGCGATCCTAGTCGTTGTTGTCACTTTCATGAGACCTTCAAATGTGGGAAGGGCTCTCCGGATCCTCTTTGCCACGAGCATTGTAGTTTCCTTGCTGTTCCGAGAACGTTAACACCGTGATGAGACTGTGGAATTGATTATATAATCTCCGTTCAAAGGGGAATTGCCACGGTTGGGCAGGGGATCTGCCAGGATCCTTGAAGCCCGTCCGGAACAGATGGGCCCAGCTGAGAGGCAGGTAAAGCCAATTGCTACGAGGCCTGGTTTGGCCCTCCACGAGTCCAGACTGTCTATTTGCAGCGCTCCTGTTGGCCCTCCTCTGCGAGACGATGGTTCGGAGCACCGCTCTTGTCAATCGTTGATCTTGGTTGCTGGATCTGCTGTATCCGGCAATAATTTGAGCTTCTTTCCACCGCTGGTCGCCGAACCATCAGACGGCGATCGACGAGAGTTTGCCAGCTCAGAAGTTCTATTCTCTTCCTGCCCTCTTCCAGAAGGTTGTCCAAGGAAGTTTGGATCACCTTCAGCCGCGTGTCCTTCCCCCAGTCGATAATGTTCAGACCGTACTTGCGAAACTTCAAATATTGATCAGGATTTTGAAGTAAGAAACTGTCGACTTTTTGCGTGTAGTACTTCAGTTCATCGTGCTTCCACATAAGACTGTGTTCATGCGCCAGGTCAGGATTCAGATGGACGGGATCGACAAAGCCCTTGAGGAATGAAGCGAATGGAGGTTTGAGAGACTTGGCCTCGGGGTGCTGTAGAGTGATCTGCCCGAGCCATGATATTAGTGAGATATGCACACAAATGCAGGTTCTCATACTTGCTCCGCTTCGTTGTCCTCCGACAGTGACCGCCCTAGGTCTGTCTGAGCCACTTCAGTTCTCTTCTGAGGCGGACGATCGCCTTCAATTGTCTCATGTTGTGTCTTTGTGGCCTGTGCTGTATTTGAGGTAACAGCTGGAAGTGCTGTGGCCAATGAGCCAGCCTCGCTCCCCTCGCCAAACACCCACGACATCGGGTCCCTACGTCCAAGTTGCTCGATGGAGATAGATTTTGTCCCTTTACCGCCATCCCCTGCTCGAAACTCCTAGATTCTGACGAGGACAGGTTTCGTTTTCTCGACGTTGATTCTCAGACGATGGACACAGTTGATGCAGGGATAGAGGCTCACGGGGAAAAGTATGAGGCGGCCTCGAGGACGGACAAAGCATAATGCGGCCGGCGTAGGATTGCATACTGAAGCGAAGTGTAGCCGAGTACTTTGCAACCAATGGATTAGCTCTATACCTGTAGCGCAAAGAACGTTAAGGCACGATTTCGTAGAAGCCCACAACGGGAAAGGAGCCACCTTTAAGCACATGGACGGGCGTTAGTGACTCCGCGGCAACTCTGTACAAAGCAACTAACATGGCCTTGGCAAACCTACTAATTAGCTAACCACAATTGGTTGTGATGTCAAGCTGCGGACGGCCAAGTCCCGACTCTGAAGACTTGGTTTGATCTACTCCGTTCATATCAGTGCTCACTATTCGCTGCCTACAAACCTGAAACAACATGTAAGATCATCGACGGTCTGCCACCTTAGCGAGTCCTTACAATGCGGTCGACTGCGGTGGCCTGCACCGGATTTTTGCGACAAATGACGTCAAATCTCTTGCAGGATCGTCGACGGCGACATGCCGGGACGATCATCCGCTCCATGCTAAAAGCCCTGATGGATCGCCAACTCGAGAGCCGGCCTGCCTCTTTCCATTTAATCCCTTCTTCGTGGCTCTGTAGCACTGCTATCGTCCGCTGCACCTGTGCAAGTCCGAAGTCATGGGTGCAATCGCGAACTTGCGCCACAAAATCTCTCATCACAAGCATGAATTGGGTGAATCGCTTTCCAATCACAGTGATAGACACCGGCGAGGAGGACCGGAAAAAGATGTTGCCGATGTAGTCCGACAAGAGGTCCAATGGTCTAGCGCAGAGGATGAGGAAGAGGGCGGAGAAGAGGACGACCGACGCGGACACGGCGATGCCATGAAAAGCCTAGATGAATTCCTGGACAATGACGACCCTCCCGAAGCGAAGAAGCGATATGGCAAACTACCATTGGTACAGTCTCAAGATGGCCCGATCGACGATGACGTCTGGAACGCGAATTGGATTTCGCTCGCAGATATTGACACCAGTCTCATTGGCAAGGAAATCACTTTTCGCGCTCGAATTCACGTTGTGCGACACATGAGCGCAAGGCTGGCCTTCGTGGTGTTTCGCCAGGAGACTACCACGATACAGGGCGTGGTCCGCGCCATAGACGGTGGCATCTCTGAAAATATGGTCCGGTGGGTGGAACACATGCGAGCAGGTTCCATCGTCATCGTCAGGGCCAAAGTCAAAGAGCCCGAACAAACTGTCAGGGGTACAAGCACTTCGGATGTGGAACTTGAGATCTCACAGATTCTGCTGGTCTCGGCGAGAACGGCTCCTGTACCCTTCAGCGTCTACGAGGCTGACGCAGCGACTGACGGTCACTCTATATCCGATAGGGTCAGGCTCGCGAATCGTATTCTCGACCTGCGAACACCATCAGCACAGGCAATCTTCCGAGTTCAGTCGGTTGTGTGCAGGACTTTCCGACGCCACCTCGAGGACCGTGGCTTTTTGGAGATTCATACACCAAAACTACAGGGCGGAGCGACTGAGGGCGGCGCAGACGTCTTCAAGCTCGATTACTTTGGTCGTTCGGCTTTTCTGGCTCAAAGCCCACAGCTTGCCAAACAAATGTGCATCTCGGCAGATTTCCCACGTGTCTTTGAAGTTGGCCCTGTCTTCCGTGCTGGTAGGTTCTCACCTCGTCCCTAGTGACATACATGGCTAAATGCTACGCAGAAAACTCAAACACCCCCCGCCACATGACCGAATTTACGGGACTGGACCTGGAAATGGCTATAGACAGGCACTATCACGAAGCAATGTGGTTAATTGATGCGACACTGAAAGACATCTTCAAAACACTTTATAACTGCAACAGGAAGGACATTGATACCCTGAAACATCACTTCCCACACGACGACCTGGTCTGGCTGGACGAGACACCGAGAATCACATTTGCAGAAGGTGTCAAGTTGTTGAACGAATCAGGTTGGACCAACGACGACGGAAGTCAACAGTCCGAGCATGACGACCTGCCGACCCGGGGCGAGCGAAGACTCGGAGAGCTAGTCAAGCAGAAATATCACACTGATTATTACATCCTCGATAAGTTTCCCGCAGCCGCACGTCCCTTTTACACCATGCCGGATCCCAAAGACGGGAATATCACCAATTCTTTCGATTTTATGGTTCGGGGACAAGAAATCCTTTCTGGTGGGCAAAGAATTCATGAACACACACTGTTAAAGGAGCGAATGGAAGCCCAAGGCATGGACCCGGATGACTTGAAGGAATATGTGCAAGCCTTCGAGTGGGTGGCGCCGCCACACGCCGGAGCTGGTATCGGGCTCGAACGTCTTGTTGCGCTGATCCTGGACCTGGGTAACTTGCGCTATGCGTCACTGTTTTCCCGCGATCCCAAGAGCTTCCCTGCGAAAAAGGAACCAAACCTGCGACATCCCGAGGACAGCACTTTGCATCGTCCCAAGGGCTATCTCCAGCCGGTCGAGAACTTGGTAGCAAATTACGGGGACGCCACGAACACTTCTTGGATGGATGAGAGATACCAGATTTGGCGGGATGACAAGACGGGTGCAGCTATTGCCTACGTTCCTACACATGATCGAGCAATTATTGCCGGAAACCCGCTGTGCGAAACATCCCAGCTTGAAGACGTGATTGCCGCCTTTCTGAAGTGGCTTCGGCGCGAGACTCGGCTCCGGCCTCTTTTTATTCTTGTTGACAAAGAAATCGAAGAGGTTCTCGGCGCTAAAATGGGATGGAAGAGCTTCACCAACGTGGCAGAGCAGCGGGTCAATCTTGCTAATAATGAGCATTTGACTATCAACAGCGACGTTGACCGCAAGATCCGCCACGCCTCGAAAGAAGGAGTGAAAGTGACAGAGTACGGCAGTGAGGTACCAGAGGACGTGCGCTGGGAAGTGGAAAAGCGCATAAAAGAGTGGCAGGATAACCGCGAGGGCGCACAGGTCCACTTGAGTGTGATCACGCCGTTCAAGGATGCGTCACACCGCCAGTACTTTATCGCCAAGGACGACCAGGGCAAAATACACAGCCTGGTGGTGCTCGCACAACTTGCACCTCGGTGGGGCGTGCAGGTTAAATGGGCGCTCGACTTTCCCGGTGCGACCAATGGAGCAATCGAACTGACTATGCAAGCCGCTCTCAAGGCCGCCGCGAAGGCTGGTTACAAGACGTGCACGTTCGGTGCCGGCGCAACCGCCAAACTGAGCAGCGAGCACAATGTCGGCAGTGTCAAGGCTGCCACGCTCGACTCGCTGTATCAGACCCTGGCGGCCAAGTTCAATCTGGACAAGAAGACAGGGTTCAGGACCAAGTTCAACACTCTCGAAGACCCGCTCTATCTGTGCTACCCGCCCAGGGGCTTGGGACCAAAGGGTGCTCACGCTATCATCGACTTCTTCCAAGGGGAAGAATAGGGGTCAGTCGGCAGGAGGGAGATCTGATATCCCCGTGTCGAATTAATCCCTTGTCAGCGAGGACCAGCGAGGATGTAATGCGTTGCGAGAAATTGACCCACATGCATTGACTGGCATGGGTGTTGGACTCTTCCACCAATGCCAGCGACAGGTGGTCCTGGAGACGAATTGAATACACGTGGGGATTAAAACACGACATCATCCCGTCGTCCACCGCCCACAGGAAGACTGGGAATATGGAGAGAGAGATCTTATCCCAGTTCTCGAGCACACACTTTTATGATCAGGAGATCGATAACCTACGTAATAAGTGCTGAGGGGGTGAGAAATAGCTGACAAGCCGGCTGGTGGCTGGCTGGCTGGCCGTATCCTGCTTAACTAATTATCTGTACTGCCAGCTAACTGTGCATGTGTGCGCGTGCCCTATTAATACCGCAACAATAACGACTCGATGCCTTGGGGAGTCATATCCACCCGCGTTTACCAGGAAGAAATACGTAGCATACTGGGGATGTACTTGGGCGTCACCCTTTGCCATGGCATGTATGCGTGATTCGATATTTGACGTTCAAGGCTGTCAAGAAGATTGCAACCTTCCTGTGAGTCGGCGGGGAGTGGGAGTGTTTGTTTGCTTTCTTCTTTGATAAGGTCAGTCGCTTGAGGCGTCGAGGCGTTGAGTCGTCGAGTCGCTGACTCGATGATTCGTGATGATGTACCATCAAATGTCCAGAAAGTACATGTCCGGCTTAGGTGCGTTGGTGTGGGTGTGGGTGACCTCTAACCAACAATTCTCCCTCTCTCTCCAACGGCAACGCCTGATAACCCACCACCTGAACGAACTATACTATCAACGGTACATCCACTCAAGCACATAAGTCTGCAAGTCACAAGTCCACAAATGTCCGTCCCGTCCCGTCACGTCACGTCACGTCACGTCACGTCCCAAGGCCAGAGCTTCTCCGTCTCCCATGTCCTCCGGGTCCTCTGTCGTCGATAGCGATGAGTTATCCGGTTCGGTGATGGAGGAAAGATCCGGCGGCGGCTCGATACAGAGATGCACTGTGCCAAAACATTCGCGGCCGATCTTTGGCGGGTGTGATAAGAGGAGGGAGGTTCCGGGCTTCCCTATGCTGACAATCAGCGCGCAGTCTCGACAAGGGGCGACTACATGGGTTAGCCAGCCTACATACGTGCTCTCTGCCCAACTCCAGGAACCAGAATCACGCCTCGGGGGGGTTTCAGTGAATCCGCAGGAGAAGAACAAGAGAGCACAGAAAATCAATCGTGGCAGTCGAGGTGGATTTCTCTGTGGTGCTAGGAGGTGCTGCTCAACAACGATGCAACGGGTCAGGAAACAATCTTGTTTCATTTCGAATTAGGTACGAATGATTTAGGCTACGAGTTATCTACCTTATGGAAAAGCTAAGCTCATTATCGAGGGGAGACTTCACCAACTGTCTCCCCAAAATAGGTCTGCTGGTCCTTACCCCCAAAGCAGGGTGTTCGCTTTTCCTGTATGCCCTTTTCCGCGAGCACTTGTATGTACCTCGTACATTAGCTGTCCTGATTCTCCACACAAGTGCCTTGGTTTTCTCTTCATATCTTGACTATGTCGCCCTGCCAAGGTTGCCTCGAGAAAGCCGGCGCCACTGGTAATCTTGGAGGAGGTCAAATCCCTCCTCCAAGCAGGTGAATATGACAGACACGATGGCATGCGAATTGCGGTCGAGAATAACCACTCGTCATGGAGTGTTTGCTGGACAACAACATCAACTTGACGATCTTTGGTGTCGTCAAGGCCGTCGAACACTGTACATTGGGGAACTCGAAAAGACTCCAAGTGCCACGGTGCTGATTTTTTAGGTCGGGTCGCCGTCGCTCAAAATCTGAGAAACCGAATTGTTAGCGTTATTCAACAAGGTGCAGTGACGGAGAATTAAAGGCAGGAGGGTCGTGATCCAGAACAATTCCGGTCAGAGCAAACATTGCCGCGTTGAAGGTGCACTAGACAGAACCCACAGTATGAAATGGAGACATACAAATCTCCATGTCGGGAGTACCGCAGGAACACAAGCGGCGCTTGGAAACCCCGGTTTTTTTTTTTTTTTTTTTTTTATTCTTGGATGATCGTTGATACTCGTGGTCTGGAAACCACAAAAGTAGAAGAAGCTCCTGAAAAGGACATTGAGACGTGATAACACTGTCCACAAACTGAGTCACAGGTGTTCATCACCGTCCTCAGACTGGCGAACATTCTGACGCTTATTCTGAGGCGGAGATTGTTCTAGAGATTGTCTGCGTAAACGTTTGGTAGACTGTTGACTCGATGAAAGCTCGCCGGATGAGACTGCAGAGTTGTGAGAATTGATGGTCGTTTCGAGATCTCCGGTTGGAGGGGGTCGTGTCTCCTGGATCGGAGTCTTGGTGTTGGCATCACCCAATCTAGGCTCGGACGTGAGGCTCGACGCCTGCTCGACACTGGTCTCGACTCCAAGTATTGTGCTTTGACGGCCATTTACCCTCGCGTTTGCTTGCTCGATGGCCTGGTCTCTTTGCTCTTTCGCCCAATCCCGAGCATTCCTGTAGGCAGCCGCTCCATGTCGAAATGTTTCTGGAGTGTCGTTCATGGCAAAGGATCTCAATCGGTGCATGAAATATTCCGGTCTGCCACCAGGACCAGTCGGTGATGCAGCGTGGATGGTGAACAGCTGAAGCTGACCATTGCAGTAGGTCGATGAAATCGCATGCGCGTTGTTGTCGAAGACTGGCTTCTCATGTCCGAATGATAATAGGCGAATCATACCCCTCTCCCCTAAAGCTCCATTGTACAAAGCCTGGCTGTTCGCGACTTTCGCAGTTCCACCAGGCCCTTTCACGGCTAGAAAGAAATTTGGCACGATAGGGAGGGAATCCTGTTTTGATGGAATGATAGAGTTCCTCAGCTCATCCCGGACGCGTCGGTCCAAGTGTTCGGGATGGGCGCCGTAATAGATGTCAGGATTGCCAGGGACAATTGTTCCATCTGTGAGAGGATCCAAATTTGTCCATCGGATTCCGCCGCACACAGATCCAGGGTCGATGATCTTGCCCTCGATGATTGGTATTACCGAGGTAGTCACTTGCTTCTCCTTGTGAGCATTGTCATCGTTTTCCGCAAAATTTTGAAAATCTGCTTCCGAGAAACTCGAAGGTGAAAGAGAGAGTCGTCGTACGCCTAGTCGTTGGTTGATCTGGTCCCAATTACCCGGTCTCTTGGCTGCTTTACCATCTTGAAACAAGAAATTAGCAGGATAAACCCCCCCATCGGTGAGGTTCTGATCAAAGTTGGCACAATATGGGCTACTGCTTTTGACAGTTTGTGTGGTTCTCTGGTCGGTAATCTGATTGTTCTCGGTTGTAGGCTCATTGGTAGTTTGAGTGGTCAATGCGATGTGAGAGCTGGGCTTGCGTGCATGCGTCCCAGTCTCGCTCTGGATCACTGGACGGGGTGGAGGCCTCATGCTCTGTAGACAACGAGGGGAGGTCAGCGTTGGTGATGAAAAAGATAGCAGCATACTCACGCCCCTCACATCCGACATATCGGGCCCGCCATCCCCTGCGAGCTGTTCAAGTTCTCTAAGGTGGTCTCGATCACAATGGCGAAGAAAATCGGTAGCGGAAAGAAGTGAAGTCCTTCCCCTCGCAGGACTAGTGGTCGCATCACTAGTGGTCGCGGTATCGAAAAGGTGTCGCGTTCCGTATTGTGAACGAGAACTTGCTGCCAGTTGTGCATTCCTTCGGTCTAGCTCTTTCAAGGCGTGCTTGTCTAGGTGAATTTTTGACAAATTGTCCCAGAAAGCGGGGGGAAAGAGAGGTTCATCATGATGGATGCGCTTCGGTCGTTTCGAGCGATTTGGACATGTGTCGTCGGGGCGCGAAAGCTGTCCTGCATCTCGACCTTTTTGAGGTGGAACTGCTTCGACTGCCGCCATATCGTGCTCTACCGGATATGAGGGCGTCAGCGCGACAACTGTGGCTATGTCTTGTTAAGGGTTGTGAATGTTTGGTTCAAGGTCGCGGGCTCGGCTCCATTAAATTTGGCGCGGCGTTCACTTACGGCTCGCGCCGACCCCGCCAAGCCATGTGGTTCTTATGTCTTGGCGCTTAGTCATTTCTGAATGGGTGACACTTGGGTGACACTGCGAGGCTGGTACACCAGATGGGATTCACCAAAATCCGCATCACCAGCAAACACATCCCAGAGTTGTCCTTCCCTGTGCGAAATCATCCTTCCAAGCCAGGGCTTTGGTCCCAATTGGCGATCCTCTGCAGAGACTGTGCCGACACAGTTTCGATCAGTGCGCAGAGTTATTGGCCAAGAAATCGACACACGGCGTGACTTCTTGGTGCAGTAATTTCCGGGGGCGGTTCAGACCAAGACGTCCCACGCATTCCCTGGTATCCTCCCCACTAGCAAGATCTCCATAGAGCGCTAGTGGAGCAAGAATCCTCCCCCTTCCCTCAGCCGTGCCCTGGGCACCGATGTCATGGCCTCCTACAAGGTCTATATCGCGCGGTTCAAGTCGATGCCCATCTTCCACGACGCAGTCTACATCGAAGCGGAACAGGGCAAGGGGTGGATTTATCAGGTCATGGGCGGCCACGGCCCCGGATGGCAATACGACGCGGGAGAGCGCGACGATATCGAGGGTTCGGGGCAGTTCTACATGAAGTACGAAAAGGGCACCGTGGCACAGGCCGATCTGTCCAAAGTGGACGGCATTTGTCGCGCGATCCCCGTGCCCCGCAATCAGGAGATAGAGGGAGTGGTCGTGCGAAGAGACTGTCGACACTGGGTGCTCGATGCTCTCGAGCAACTAAAAGAGCACGGTATTTATCAGGAGATCAGCGCATCCCGGCGCTGATGCAGTCTTTGTATGACAGTCATGTTATGGCGATTACCTCTTGAGTTTTTGAGCCACAAAAGCGAACCAGGCGTATTCTCTTTGAAAATGGAAATGGAACGACGCATTACGTTACATATGTCACAATCCAAGTGGTGCCTAGATGTTTCCGCAACCCAGCTACGGTCTTTATCTCCGCAAGTTTTCACGTAGAGCCCATTCCTTGTGCAGTCGCATTGTATTTGGCAGAGGCGTGAACATCTTACATATACTGTCCGGGAGCTTCAAGTAAGCATGAATCGAGAAGAACGGCAAGCACTCGACAGGGTTTCCGGCCACGGACGAACCCCCGCAGACGTGGGTGACATTACGATGCCGTGAAGGATGGATGAAGCGGAACAGTATCACGGGAAGAATACAAGTAGTACTATACTCTGACCGCACGGGAGATTGCAACATTTTCTTTTCATGGCAAAGGCAGTCCTTGTATCCGCCTCATCATCTCCGATGCGCATTCATATCGCCATAAGTGTTATATATCACCTTCTGTGTAGGCCTGATTCTCTGTCTAGGTTTGGAATCTTCAAATGAATGCTGTGGCAGCGTGTTAGATGGCGCATGGCGTGCATCTGACATATTTTGCTGAGATTTGGAGGGGGGAATGGCAGAGGACCTTTGAGTCTCTCGAGTAGCCGCGACGTCGACCGAGTCTCCTAACGTGCCATGCGTCATAGTTCCCGCTGTGGTCTCGTCTCAGTCGGTCGTGCTCCTAGCAACTCGTGCACAGGTTCATGTTCGATGGGGACAACGCTATGCATTTGAGCATCAATGACGCCGTTGTTTTCCGTGTTCGCCGCGTGTTTGCTCGAGAACTGACACTATTCTCTGTGCCTTCCGTATCAGCTCTGGCGAAGGATTTTCGCGTTCAATAAAGATGTTGCGATAGCGGAATGCTTGCCGGTAATCCGTGTCATGCACACTCGCCGTGGTCGTCTCGGACTTCCTGGACGAGCTTAGGTACTATTTGCACACTGCCCTCAGGGGATAGAATGACAGGGGCAGGTTTGGAGGGTATGCCGGACGTGACTCTTGAAGTTCCGTTCTATATGGAGGCTTCCCAGGACCACGATGAATGGACTAGCCAGTTTTGAATGAAAATTTCCATGTCAGGTGTTGTCCTCGACTCTGTATACCGAGTCGAGTTGCGCCCGCCTCGTGGTTTGGTTCGTCTCTGTCCACAGAACATCGCCGTCTCCTTGGTTGCATTGGGCAATCAAGCGTCACTACTGTGTAAGAGACACCGAACGGTTCTTTTGTTCCCCCAGGTTTTCGAAGGAGAGTGTATGGCCTTCGGTTTTGACTTTGGCGCTATGGTGTTGTTTCGAGGCTTGCCGCTGGCTCGGAGATTTGTGCAGTTCTTGCTTCAGGCGATGGCTTTGTCTGTGTCCTTCCGTTTTCTTTTCGAGGTTTAGCCGGGTCTTGTACCTGTTGTAGTTATGGGCTTCTGCGCGACGGCGTAGGTTTCACTCGTTGCCGGTGTGCTGCCCCCAATTAGCAAGTTGATAACAGGTGACGAGACGAAAGAGATAGTGGGAGATGCGATGGACTAACAGTTCCTCTCCCGAAGCCACAGGCTCTTTCGAGGATGGGCACTCGTGCCTTTTTTGTTGCTGCTGCCATTGTCGCCGTTGTCGCTGTTGGCGGAACGATGCCGCTTGCCTGAGAGTCCATCAATTATTGAGTTCCTTGAAGGAGTTCCTACGGCTTGACGAACCAGGCCTGGCCAGCAGCTGGCCGGGTGTCGTGCGGCCTCTGTCTCGCTTTGCAACACCAGCTGCCATGTCGATTGGCGATGAGGTACGGCACGGGCGGCCATTCTGTGATATGGCGCAGGAAGAGGAATGGCAGATGCGAGGTTTCGTGGAGATATCGAGAGTGACCAAACCCGTTTACTCGTAGTCGGCGCGTAGGCTTTGGCCATCGACGATTTACGAGTCAGCACTGAGACGTCACGACGTCAGTAGCATTGCTACTTGTAATAGTGACCCGGTGAGGCTGAACATCGAGATCGTAGAATCTTTTCAAACTGCTCGAGGGAAACCATACCGACTACGTTTAGTATCCGGTTCAAACGAGTGACTAAGTATAGCTATCCGCTGCGAGCTAGTACATCCTTCGTATGGTCTGTGCACTATACTTGTACTCGTCGATTGACATCATCTGGTGGCGTTCACCATAATATATATTGATTGGTATATAGGACCGAGTGGTCATCAGGACTGCTCACTGATCCAGTGCCATAGTATGTTACTCAGACAGCCCGGAACAGCATCCGGCATGCCGTGGAACGAACCTCCAGAGTTATATTACGGCCCGTCCATCTATCTATCTATACTGTGTGCCTCTGGATCATCATCCTCAGCTTCGACCCCGTCCGGACCAAGCAGACGAAGCTGAACTTCAGCGGTGTCCTTAGCTTCGTCGTGTTTCCTCTTCTTCATCTTCTCGAGAATCCACGCCTTCAACCGCGGCCGAACCCTCTTGCACGCAAAGACGCACAGTGCAACAGACACGGCCACGACAAGCACTACCAACACGACGACGACCCACGGATTGATCCCCCTCAGGCAGCACCCGTACATGCCCATGTACCAGTGCACGAGGGTCTTGATGAGGTTGGGCTTCTCGCCCACGTCGGGCACCAGGCCTTTTCGCACCAGGTGCTTGAACTTGGGTCCGTTGGGGCCGCTGTTGAATTTCTTGAGGCCAAAGTACGGGACCGTCTCTTGTCGCGGGTCCGTGTCCGGGTATTGCTTGTCGCCCCAGTTGCCGTTGAAGTTGAGCCAGTCGGCCGGGTCGGTGCCGGCGGGGTCTGCGGCGGTGAAGATTCCCCGTCCCCCTGTCTGAGGGTCGTAGCGGTAAAAATAGGCCCGTTTGATGGGATCCCACATCCGGCCCTTGTCTGCGACGTCGATGAGGGCTTCGTCGTGGACATGGCTCCCCGCCGAGGGATAGTTCGCGTGGGATCCGCGCGCGCTGAACACGACGGGTCGCTCCCCCTGCTTCGAAAGGCACGCTTCGTCATCCCACGCGCAGCTCTCGCCGCTGGTGTGGTGGCTGAAGTATATCCCCGTCGGCTTCCCGTTCTGGAATCGGACCATGTTGTGTTCCCAGTCGCCCAGGTGATTTCCATAGTGATCGCCCGGCTTACTGTCCGGGAACAACCTGTTCAGCGGCGGAAGTACCTGCGAGATATCCGCCCCCTCGTTCCACGAGTAGAAGTAGAAGTAGAAAGCGTCCAATACTAGTACTTCTTGCTGACCATGTTGGGGGTCGACATGTTTTCCCTTCTTCGTCGTCTTCTCCACCACGACAACAGCACACGCTGTAGAATTGGTAAGGGCACCCGTCGTCGCATCGGGTGTCTCGCCGAGCACCCAATCCGGAAAGGTCGACACGTCGTCCACTGCCGTCAAGAAGACGTCGGTCCCATCTTTGCCGTATGCGTTCAACAGCGACAGATTCTCGAGGCTCGCCAGCGGTGTCGCCTCGGTGATGGGATCAAAGCCGACCCTCGGGGACGTGTGCAAGATATGCGTCAAGATGTCACTTGGCATGTACGGGTCGTCGGAGTGAAGCCAGACGATTGGGGCTGAAGAAGAGAGCTAGTTAGCCAATGCAAAATATTCTCTTCGCTAGCAAGGTATACGATTGCTTCAATCTTGCCGGGTGACCTCAGGCGACGACCGACATTGTGTCACAACGGGGAAACGTCATTGGCCTTGCTTTCGTTCCTTCGGGAAAGAGAAGCAACTCACCGTAGTCGAGTACATATTGCGGAACCGTGTAGGCGGCGACGAGCTGGAGAAGAAGCGTGCCAAAGAGACCCGTAGAGAGAATCAGATGCTCAGATTGTCGATGGCGCGAGTTCAATGCCCCGCTCATAACGAAGCTGCTTGCCGCCCCCTCCCTTTCGCGTTCTCTCTGTCGGCTCCAACTTTGTTTCTTAGGCTCAAAGCTATACCTGCATGTTCTTTCCTCACCAATTATGGACTCAAATAGGCGGAAGAGGATAAGTTGGGTCGGGTTGATGAGAAATGTTGCCAGTCAGCAAGACAATGAGAAACGCGCTAAGAGCCGAAAAGTACCGAAGTTCCTCGTACATGATTGGCTGGATTGGCTGTCAGCCTTGCGCTCCTTTCTGTCACGAGGCTGAGGCTTCTTTTTGACAGTCTGATCATGGACTCTTTCTTCAAGACCAATGCCGACCTCCTAACGATCGGGAAGCGTGTTAACAGTAAAGTGTGAAGAAAAAAGAGAATGGAATGGTCCTCACGCACATGATATTTCTATTCCCAACGTCTATCGCCCGATTGTCTACAGTCTACCAGTCAATCCTCCTTTGCGCCGCCACCCCGATTTCTCGTCCAGCCCGCACATTTCCAGTCCCAGCCATGGGCCCGACCATCTTCTGGGGCCGCAGCCCTTTGTCGTACCCGAGCCTCTTGTCAAGACGGGCAAAGGGATTCAGTGCTTCATCCTTTTTAACCACCCACTTGCTTGTTCCAATCACACTGTCCATCTCCTGCACCGGCGGCAGCTTGAGATATACCCAACCATCATCCCGCTCCTCGGCCGGGAACGTGGCGATGGACAAAGTGTTGTCGTTGGAGCACGAGCCGGCACCCGCGTCCTTCTTACCAAATTCAATCTCGCCATTCAGCTGGAAATTCCGCTTGTGGTACGGGCAGCTGACGTAGAGTTTGCTGTCTTTGCAGCCGGGCGAGGTGATTTCACCCACGAGGCCGTCCGAGAGTCCAAAGGTTCGGCGGTGCGGGCACATTTGCTGGCTGGCGTAGTATTTGCCCTTCAGTTTGAAGATCGCGAGTTGCGTGTCGCCCCGTATAATGGTTTGTGACGAGCCAGTGTCCAGGTCTTGGAACTTGTTCGCCTCGACAATGGGTTGCCACGTAAGACTGGACCACCGGGTCCTCTTGAAGTCTTCACCTGCCGAGTCCTTGCTCCAGTACGCTGGCCTGAACTGACCTCTCTCCTCGACCTTTTCCACAGCAGGTTCCCTGGTATCTGCCGTGTTTGCAAATTGCTGAAACGCTCTCCGCTTCTCCGGGTCGTTCAGTACTGCCGTCCACTCGCAGAAGAATGTGCCAACAAGCTCTTGCATTTGCTTCTCGAGCTCCGCACAGATGCCCAGCTTGTCCTCTAGAATAACCTCGCGCAGATACTGGATACCACCAGGCAGGCTTTCTACCCACCGAGCCGTTCTCTGAAGCCTGTCGGCCGTTCGGATGTAGAACATCAAGTAACGGTCAAGGATGGGGATGACGTCGTCTGGAGGGACGTCTTTGGCCAGGATTTCCGAGTGTCTCGGCGTTGCACCGCCATTCCCCCCAACGAAGATGTTGAACCCCTTTTCTGTGGCAATGCACCCGAAATCTTTGTTTTGGGCTTCGGCACATTCTCGGACGCATCCGGAAACACCGCCTTTGATCTTGTGTGGTGCTCGGATCGACTTGTACCTCTCTTCCAGCCGGATAGCAAGACCAACCGAGTCTCCGATGCCGAAGCGGCACCAAGTGGTACCTACACACGACTTGACCGTGCGGAGAGATTTGGCATATGCATGGCCTGATTCGAGTCCACCGGCCACCAGCTCCGACCAGATATCAAGGAGATCCTGCTTCTTCGCACCGAACATGTCAATGCGTTGGCCACCAGTGATTTTGGTATAGAGGCCGTATTTCTTCGCAACTTGGCCGATTACGATGAGTTTGTCGGGGCTGATCTCACCACCGGCAACACGAGGTATGACGGAGAACGTTCCATTGCGCTGAATATTCCCGAGGTACTTGTCGTTGGTATCCTGCAGTCCGTGAAGTGGCTTCTCCATAACGTGCTTGTTGAACGTGCTGGAGAGAACCGATGCAACGGCTGGCTTGCACACTTCGCATCCGAGGCTGTCTGGATTGGTGCCGCTGGATCTCATGACCGCGCCAAAGTCTGTCAGTTTCTTGACGTAGACAATGTTGTAGAGGTCAGCCCGTGAGTATCTGAAGTGAGGACAAATATGGTTCAGAACTTCTTGACCCATTTCTTTCATCGCCTTGTTGAATATAGACTGAACTAGAGGCATGCACCCACCGCAGCCTGTGCCCGCCTTGGTGCAAGACTTGACGTCGCCAATCGACTTACAGGAGCCATCCTTGACCACGCTGGCGACGTCGCCTTTGCTGACGTTGTGGCAAGAACAGATTTGTGTGTCGTCTGACAGGTTGTCGCCATTTTCTTCGCCATCTTTTGATGCTCCGATGATGAATTGAGATGGAGGCACCTCCAATTGCTTTTTGTTCTTGACCATTGGCACCAGTTTGACATAGTCCCTCGTGTCGCCGATCATCATACCACCGAGGAGATATTTGCCATCCACGGTGAACAAATATTTCTTGTATACAGCCGCAAATGGGTCTCTGTAGGTGATCGCTTTAACGGCCGGAGGTATAGGCGCATCGGTGAGGTGCTTGTCCGCGACTCTCTTCTCCTGCCGCTTGACGTGCCTCTTCGGAAGATCCTTCGGTCCATCTCTGTCGGCAAAGAAATCCCCGAAGCTGGCGACTTCGACACCCAACAACTTGAGCTTTGTGCTCAAATCTGGCCGTTTGAAGGTCCGAGGGCTGTGGAACTTGGCTTGGGTGAGATTGAATGATAGGACATCGGCTTGTTCGATCCCTGGTGCGATAAGACCAAACGTTTGCTCTCCCCAGCTTGCACATTCGCCAATTGCGTATATGCTTGGGTCGCTCGTCCTGAGATCGTCATCGACCACGACACCACCTCCTCGGTCGGAGCACTTCAGACCCGCAGCCCTGGCCAACTCGTCTCTCGCCTTGATGCCAATGGCGAACATGATGCAGGAACACTCCATTTCCTCGCCGTCCTCGAACACAACACCCCTCACGGCGTTGTCCTCGTTGGTCAAGATTCTTCCAACCCTCTTGCCAAGCATAACGTCGAGTCCGAGATTGCGGACGAGCTCGACGACCATGGCACCAGCATCTCCATCGAGCTGCCGCGACAGGACCCATCTGTTTCTTTCAATGAGTGTGACCTGCTTGAATTCCTCCAGGTCCATCATGGCTTTGGCTGCTTCGAGACCAAGGAGTCCGCCACCCACGACGCAGCCTGTTGTACCCTTGACGGTCGTCGCGAAGGCGATGAGCTTCTGAAGATCGTCAATGGTTCTGTATACAAACACTCCATTGGCATCATGGCCAGGGGTATGCCGTGGGAGGATGGCATCGGACCCCGTAGCCAGAACAAGGGTGTCGTAAGGTATCGTATCACCTGAGGCTGTTACCACAACTTTCTGCTCCGGCTTGATTTCGGTCACGAGAGTGTTCAGATGGTAGCCGAAAGAGTCTGTTGCGTGGGTCTTATACCAAGACTCCGGGTTGAGGTAAAGCGACTCGACTCGTCTGTGCTGAAAGAAGCTGGTCAATCCGACGCGGTTGTAGGCGAGGTGAGGTTCCTCGCCAATGACCACGATGTTGTATTCTTTCCTCTTGGCATCGAGTTTGAGGAGCTTCTCTCTGTCAAGCGGCCATTAGCGGGATGCTCTGATTTGGTTCCTAGGTTCGTCGTATCTTGGACTAACGCCGTCTGTGAACTTACACAAAGGCTATGCCGACCATTCCCAGACCGACAACCACCACCTTCTTCCTTTGACCTGAGGTCGGCTTTCCGTCACCGTGGGATTCCACCTGTTCCGGGTAGCGGTTGATAGCCATATCAGGCGATGTTGTTGGCCATGACATGTTGTCCACTTCTCTTCACCCTCCCCGGTTGATACCCTTCGGATAGTGCACAACTGCGAGTAAGTCAACGCAGTCGCATTTCTCAGGATACAAATACTCTGCTTCGAGTAAGAATGTCACATCAGGTACTAGAAGAGTGTCAAAGAAAAGAAAGAAACTCGTTCACTCGCCGACCTGATCTCAGTTTACCATGTTCCCAGATCGGTGACGCGACACCGCTACGCGCAGAATCTACGATCTCCGCGGGGATGTAGGGTAACATTCACTTGGAACTGGGAAGGTGGAAACGTCAGCCTATCAGCGAAACTTGGGGATGTAGATCTCAGGCAAGGAACTGCTGCTCCCAGTCCCAATTGGAGTGTTCTGCAACAGCCAATAGCGAATTATCACATTGTCATTTTCTATCGTCATTGAGTCGTCCGCACAAGCACGGACAGGAGCGACTGCGAGACCGCGAACAGAGATATTGACCATGGCTTTCTCCATGGCCCTTGGAGATTTGACGACAGGCGGTGGAGCGTCAGAGATAAGAAGACCGGGGCTGGGGAAGGGGAGAAAAGTCGAGACTTGAGTGGTCGTGAGACGTTGCGATAACATGCTCACTAGCATGTCTTGATCAATACATTGGCGCTGTCACGGTGAGTAAAATTACCGTAATACAATGGTATGAGAGAAACACCTCGAAGATATTTCCCATCACGTGAGATTGTCATGTCCACTCAATGTCTCTCTCTCCATGCTGGTTATATCTTCTTCGAACCAGCCCGTGTTCTCAGAATCGTCTTAACCATGCGGAGCACGACCCAGTAGATGGCCTAGAATCACCGATAGGAGTGCAGCCTGCCCTACGCAATGGCACTGTCCTGCCGATCCTGATCGGTGACAACACAAACTTCTAAAAGACCATCACTTGGTCATCATGCCAACCCTGCTCCAGCAGCGCTTCACGCATGGTCTTCTCCATCGCCTCTGGACCACATATGAGTATCAGCGTTTCATCGGTTCTGGTAGAGTGATCGAGAACCAACTGGCCGGTGATGCGCCCTCTCAAGCCCGTCCAGTCTTTGGGTGGGTTGGTAAGCGTATGCAGGACTCTACATCTGTGCTCGTTCCCCATCAGCAAAGCGTCGAGCTCTTCTCTGCACAAAATGTCCTCGAAAAACCGATTCCCGTCAAAGATGGTGCACTGCGTCTTGTCATCGGGGTCTCGAACGATGGCCCGGAAGACTTGATAGATGGGCGTGATTCCACTTCCTCCACAGATCATGATGAACGAGTCAACAATCCTCTCCTGCTCGTAGACGAGACACTTGCCACAACCAACGTATTCGAACTTGCCGATCGGTCCCTTCATCTCGACGAAATGTCCAATGGGCAGAGCATCCATCGCCAGGGACATCTTGCCACCCTCGCGGCCTGTATTTGCAAAGTACACTTTAACGAGCATCTCCATGAAGCCCTGGTCGTTGATATCCGAGATGGGAGTATAACTGCGAATGATGGCTTCGCGGGTGACGGGGTCTCGGAGCCTCACCATGAGATGTTGACCGACGGGTAAGCCGAGGCGTTGCTCCGGATGCTCCAACTTGTAAGTAAAGATACGAGTATCCCCAGAAACAACTCGCTTGTCGTGGAGGATGGCCCTCTTCCATGCTTTGGCATTCAGGAAGACATCGGGAGGTTTCACACACTGCTCGATCTCAATCTCGCCCACCATCAAGGCAGTTTTGGCGGCGTCATCAAGTGACCCGATATGATACTTAGGCATCATAGCCTTAGCTGTTTCGCTGTGGATCGCGAGAAACTCCTCAGTACTGTCTAATCCAGCCGCCGAGATGATACTTTGCGCACCGCCGGGATGCTCCTTCAGAAATGCCGTGCCATCATACACTTCGCCCTTGACCACGAACCAGGGCTGTTGCTCGGTGCCATGTTTCCGAAGCTCGTCGATGGTGACGGGGTTCTTGAGACCTTCCTTGACCATAGAGATTTCCTTGGCCTGTTCTTCGACGGAGATCGTTGGTTCTTCGCCGTCAAGTCTCTCCCCCCAAAAGCCGTTGGCCAAGTTCCCCCCGGACTTCTTGACTCTTTCCATCCAGCCGCCTGGCATTAGTGCAGGCTGGGTCGGGTGTTCGAAGCGGAGTTGCTCGCCATCCAGGGTGATCGTGACACGGAACCACGGGTTGTTCATCATCCCAAGAACAGACCAGTACATGTCGCGTGGTTGAACATTCATGCTCTCGTCCATTGAACGCACGAGGATGTCTTTTGCTCTGGCGAGTTCGTCAGTGAGTAGACTGATCGACCAGAAACACCAGCAAAAGCACGTCTCGCGCCACGACATGTCAAGCCGGCCCCCAAACAGATCTTTCTCCACGTGTCGGTAACGGTCCTCGACGTAGTCAATTTCTGCCAGCCGCCACGCTTTGCCTTTGTCCAGTGAGATCTCGACACGTGTGATGCGGCGGCCACCTCCACTATAGGCATATCCTCTGGCTCTGTAGGCGTGAGGGGCTCGGTTCAGGCACAGCCGCTCCTCGTGCTGGGGGTAACAGATGACAGAGTTGGGGCTAAGGTCGTAGATGGCATACCGTTCATCCATCCACCAATTCGTATTGCTTGCCGCCTCTTCAGGAGAGATCATGGTCGGCAGGACCCGGTTGTCGTAGATGTGATACCAGTTGTCACTGGGTGCATCTGTGACAATCAGCTTCTTCAGCCATTTGACGGACCGACCTCCGATCTGGCCGGGGATCACTGCACGCAAAGGCTTGCCGTGATCCGGTCGGAGTGTCTCGCCGTTCATCTTGTAAGCGAGCATGAAGCCGCGATTGGCGTCCAAGGCCCAGTTCAACTTGACAGATGTGCCATAGAATCCATTGGGAAGCCTGTCGGCGCCTTCCATACAGACATACCTAGCATTCCGCATGGGTCTCGCTCTTCTGATGACATCGGACATGACGACGCCGGTGAAGAGAGCCGTCGAGAGTCCAGCGGCGCCCCAAGAGAACCCTTTGCTTTTTCGGACCACGTTCTGTTCCTTTCTTCGATTCCCTGCACACACGAGGGTGATTGGATACGTCACTTGCTCGTATTCAGTCATCAACTCTTTCAGCGATATTGTCATCGGTTTGTCCACCAGTCCTTCCACTGTAAACTGCCAGTCAATAATGTCTTCGTCCTTGACCTGCGGTACAGCGCCATGGTTCCTCACATAAAACAGTTCCGGACTTGTTAGGAAACCTTCGTTGAATAGTTCTGTGAGGGGTGCTTCGACATTGAATGGGTGAACTCCGGTCAGTCTGATCAGTCTGGGGTCACGCGGTACATGGCTGTCCGGTGTCTTCAAATCGAGGTCCAGCACTTTGTTAGGGATAATGGTCGGAGGTGGAAGTGGTATGTCTACTTTTCCGCCATCCAGGTCTGACATGCTACCGTTGGTTAATGGCGGCGAAGGTGGTAGAACATCTTTGACCAGCTGAATTTCTATTTCTTCGATCCGTTCGGGGACGCCGTGGCTGTCTGTATTTGGTTCTTCCATATCGGCATCGAGCGAGAGGATGACGATGGAGGAGCTCCGACGAATATCCGGCTCTCCTGGTCTGTAAGAACTGTGACTCTAGCGGGACATTGGAATGGAAAAAGGGTCTCAAGATGGTCCAAGGCACGATGGCCATTAGTTTAGGCTGTACGAGGGCATCGTAAGACAACGATGAGCTGGCGAGGCCCCCTCCCAGGGTCCTGCGTCAGCATTGGGATTTCTTTCTTCTAATTCTATTATTGAATCGCCACACCTGTCCGAAATCTAGAAAGAAAGACAGCAAAGCAATCTGTCTAGAGCGAACCTGCAAGAAATGAAGCGAGGAAGATCCGCGGAACGATCGCGGGATCAACGTGTGATGTTATTGCGAGGAGATGCTGTGCCTTCCGCTTATCTATTGTACCTTTCCTCATAAGGTTAGACTATTTTGGGCGGTAATGATCTTACCTAAATCCCAAATTTGTCAGACAGAATCATCGGTCAACACCTCAGCCTTTATTCATGTTTCACGTGAGGTTATGGCCTAAAGAAGCCTAGTGCGCCAACCCCTCCAACTGCGCCTTTCATGTTGGGGCTTTGAGCCAGCATCCCTGCGTGTATAGGCGACAATGCCAGCGAGAGATGAAGTCGCCTCTATCAGGCTCAAAGAGATATTCTTCATCCTTCTTCGTGGAACTTGAATCGCGAAGCCGCATTGATGCATCAGTAATGTCCAGACTTGCCGACTTCTCCCTCTCCAGATTCGTTATTGACACTTGACAGTGTGTATGTACTCAATGTGCCCGATTTGGTGTCTTCTGCTCACACAGTCTTTACAGTTCATGTCAATTGAACCACCGTTTCTTCTACTTCCCCAGGTGCCACTTATTGTCTTGGCTCGGCCGTCCTCTAACTTCCGAAGTTTGTCCCACATTACGGCGGCTGCGAAAGGGAAGCCCGTATCTTCTCCTTGGACACATTGACGAGAATAGAGGGGGCGCTGTTAAAAGCCTGGCAAGCAGGGCAGACGGACCCTCAACTCCGAAGGAGGTTGTTGGGCTAGCGACGAGCATGTTATGAATGGCGCAGGTTCCATTCGCTCACACTGAAACCCTTATTGTAATTCCGCTGCGATTAGCCCGGACGTCAATTTTGAGCAATCTTCTTGGCCTGGGCTGCCATTGAAATCTTTAGGCCGTGAGTTTGTGTAGGCACTCAACAATTTCGAAAGACCGCACACTCGATGAGTAAAAACACGCATCTTTCGTCCGCTTCTTTACCCTACGACTCTTTCCGTGTCAGTTGGGCCCTGGCAAGGAAACAAGCCCTGACATGGACTTCGCAGACTGATTGTAAGTCGAGAGAATCGTACCTTTGCTCAAACCTCGTAAGTGGTGTGGAACACCAGGCGCCTTGCGCAAGAGCGTTGCCGACACACCAATGCATTGATTCGCTTATACACATTCGACTCCCCAGCCCAAAGGCTGGCTGCAGTACGCTGCAGCCGTCCGACGAGTTCCTTGGTCCAGCATCACGAACATCTACTATTCCCAACTAGGTAACTGATTCCCTCGGACGGAATAATGGCACTCCATTACCCATTTGTTGGCGCTGGGATGTCGAACTCGAAATCAAAAGAGACAAATTCCTGGCCTGGGTTTATTCAAAATTTCCAAGAAATACGTCACGCATTCATTCTCAGATGACTGAGAGAGGTTCAGTTTCTGTGGTCAGGATCAAAAGATCATTTTTACATGAGCGGCTGCTCTGTTGCAACAGACGCCCCAGATAGCAGAATTGTCATGTCGAGGACATGTTGTCATAACCTCGTACTTGGATAAATAGCGAGGGATAATGTCGAGGTTGACACTTTCCCCTTTCCCCCAACAAAACAGGATGTCAGTACTCGGTACAAGCACGTCCAACATTGGTAGTAGCGTTGGCAGAGCTTGTCAACCTTGCCGCAAGACTTGCTGACTTGGTTGGCCTGTCTGCGTGATGTGAGAGTACTCCGCGTGGACTAACGGATGCATCTGTCCGATGGGGCAAGCTACGGGATTGGCGGGACTTTTTTTTGCTTACTTGTAGGACAGGGGTAACGAGGTAGCGAGGAGAGGCAGGGAGGCTGGGAGGGTAGGATGTTTGCCACCATCGCATCATTGAGTTGGCTGGCTTGTTGTCTGAATGGTACTAGTGTCGTTGGAAGACTTCTCCGATCAGCGCATGGCGTGCTGTGCTGGTTGGTCCGCCTTGCATTCGTAGGCTGGTCAGGCATCCAGCGACTTCAAGGGCGAGGGCAGGCTCATCTAGACCATCCACAAACCAGCCTGCCAGCCAACTTGTCCTAGAAGAGAAAGTTCTCCGACCTTGTCTCCTCGCCTTGGCACACGTGACCATAATTCCCGGGCCCCACCCAGGAAATTTTTGGCGGGCATTTTATTCACCGAAACTTTTTCTGTACATTGTACGCAGAGCGAGTGAGTGAGCGACCGCTTGGCCTAACGATACAGCACAACTGCTCCTGCTCCTGCACCAATACCTTTGTTTCCAAAGAGAACAAATCCACCATGCCTCAGAATGAGTACATCGAACGCTGGCAGAAACAGCACGGCAAGCGACTCGACCACGATGAGCGAGTACGAAAACGAGAGGCCCGTGAAGGGCACGCCATGTCCGAGAAGGCGCAGAACCTGCGCGGCCTGCGGGCGAAGTTGCACCAGAAGAAGCGACACGCGGAGAAGATCCAGATGAGAAAGGCCATCAAGGCGCAGGAGGAGCGAGACGTCAAGTCGGCGGCACCTAACGAACCCTCATCGACCCCTCTGCCCGGTTACCTGCTCGACCGATCCCAAGCCAACCAGGCCAAGGCACTGTCCAGCGCGATCAAGAACAAACGGGCCGAGAAGGCGGCCAAGTTCTCGGTGCCGCTGCCCAAGGTCAAGGGCATCAGCGAGGAGGAGATGTTCAAGGTGGTCAAGACGGGAAAGAAGACGGCCAAGAAGAGCTGGAAGAGGATGATCACGCAGCCGACCTTTGTCGGGCCCGATTTCACCAGACGGCCCGTCAAATACGAGCGCTTCATTCGCCCCATGGGTCTCCGGTACAAAAAGGCCAATGTCACACATCCCGAGTTGGGCGTCACGGTGCAGTTACCCATAATCAGCGTCAAGAAGAACCCGCAAAACCCACTCTACACGCAGTTGGGCGTGCTGACCAAGGGCACCGTTATTGAGGTCAACGTGTCGGAGCTGGGACTGGTCACAACCGGCGGCAAAGTGGTGTGGGGGAAGTACGCGCAGGTCACGAACGATCCTAGCCGTGACGGATGTTTGAATGCAGTTCTTTTGGTCTGAGAAGTACGAATGCCATGCGTTCAACATGATCAAATGGATGAAAAGGGCGAACCACCCACCCATGTGTCCTACGTTCCTCCAGCGACTTTTCATCACTCACAGCTCCTCGGCGAAAATGGCATGGTCCGAATACCCCATTGCTTTGACGGCGATTTTGGCGCTCTGGAGCAACCTCCCCTTGAGACTCAGACTCTGTCCAGGTTTCTCGACTAACGAAATAACGACGACCCGAAACGATCAGCGATGTGTCCTCGAGGTCAGGTTGCAGGGTCACAACAAAAGAGAAGGATGAAGCAGACTCACAAACATTGGTGATTTTGGCCATGACACCATAAGTTGCCTTGAACTCCAACGGCTTGAGCGCCCTCCAGATCTTGAGCACCTCTTCCGGCGGCAGGGGGATGAAGTTGGGAATGCTCCAGAGGAACTGGTACGAGATGGTGTCACTCCGCTTGCCCGGGTCGGGATTGTGGCTCGACTGCACCGCGAAGATGGTGTCTGCGACGAAGAGTGTCGGAACGGGCGTGTTTGGCGGGAGCGAGTGCAGGACCTGGCTGCCGGGGAAGTGGCCTCCGCAGATGACCGACGTGAGGCCCGGGAGTAGCTCCGTGGTGGGCTCTGTTAGAAGTTTCAAGGTTGCCGACGGCGTGTCTTTTCTGTTAGCCCAGACCGAGTCGACCTCGGTCATGTACACGGGGCAGTTGAATGTCGAGGACCAATCGGCCCAGGTTCTGAGGGATTTTCGGAGGCGTTGTCAGCATTGAATAATACCACACGACGACCCTCAAGTCTGCTTAGAGAGACCCGAGACTTGACAGGTTAAACAGGACGGATGGAACTTACGTATAAAAATGCGGATGTGAAATGACGATGAATTTCAACCCGCCCAGCTCGGTAATCTGCCAGGCTTTATGCATCAACCCTTGCAATCCACATCTTTTCTCCATGTTCCTCGAGCAGTGGCAGGTAATGGACGTACGAACGTACCTTGTCCACGGTATCCTGGTCCAAATACGCCACCAAGTCCCAGAGGACATTGCCGTTGGGCGTCCTGATCAGGCGCGCTCCCTGGCCGATTCCGAACTATCGCACAGTCCGTGGTCGGTTAATACATGGTAGGAGGAGAAGTACGATATATACCCCGGATAGATATCCATATACCCGAGTAGATACCCAGGTGGATACCAAGGTAGACAGATACATGGGTACACACATACGTCCATCCGTCCGTCCGTCCGTCCGTGTGTATGTATGTGGATGGGGTGGAGAAACGTACCTTTGGCTCGGTATGGATCTCGACGACGGTGTCGTTGTGGTCGCACACCTCAAAGACGTTCGCGTAGGGTCCCTCTTTGAGCTCGCGCAGTGTCGTGAACGCTTGGCCTGAAGGGGGAACGAATTGTCTGGGGTCCTATGGAGAGGCAATTATCATCGTGAACAGGAAATTCATGCCTCTCCCTCTCCCTCTTTGGGGCCAGCCACGACAGGACTCAATCAGACAGACAATGGCAGTGCCAGGGTCCAAAGCAAATGCCCAGGACCAGGGCCAGGGCCAGGCCTAGGCGTCACATACCTCGCAGATCCGACACTCATCCTTATCCCTGCCCGTGTCTTTGCACACGTCGTACTGCGCGCCGCACGCACAGCAGATCAGCAGGTCGTCTGACGTGCTGAGTTTTGGGCCTGCACCTGCACCAGCAGAACCAGCAGCCATGGCTTAAAGTTGGAGTTGAAGTTGTATATCAAACAAAGGGCTCGCGGGGACACGATGTCTTGGTGGCTGACTGGTTGACAGGCTGACAGACAGACAGACAGACTGATCGGTGGATGGGCTTGAAAGGTAGAGTTATGATTCTTGTTCTTTGTTTCGTAGACGCCCCTTTCGTGTTGTGTCAATCAAAGACTCTCTGTCTGGATGAAGAGATGTCATCCTGGAGGAGGTGATGGTGACGGACTTGTCCGTCTTATTCCTACAAGTCCAAGACTGGATCGAATTATGTGACGCAGACACTCAGACACTGAATAAAGGATGGAGTGCAATTCACCACATGCTCTTTCTGATATTTGAGGCTCGTACCAGGTAAAAGTGTAGTAATCTCTGGCCTTCTTGGCCGTCTTGTGAGACACCACCCGCTCATGTTTACCCGTCTTGCACTCGACAATCTAGACAACCATCACCCTCTTATCATCTGATCGTGTCGCGCGACTCCTACATGTACAGGCTCGCAGTAAACACCACGTCTCGTCTGATCAACTCCCGCGCCTTGTCCATCTTCGCGTACAGCGAGGGGTCGCCAATCAGCCTCGCCGCGCTCATCACTTCCCGACATGTCTCATCTAGCCTGGTGATGACCCTGACAATGGTGCCTTCCATCACGTCCGTCAGGTCGGTGATGCGGTTGAACGACATCCCCCTGGCCCATTCGTAGACGACTTCGACCAACCCAAACCGCTGTCTCGAGACGAAATCGTTGGCGTCGTCGGACGAGAGAATCACTTGGTGCACGATCTGGTGGTGGTTGACCCGTTCGGAGATCTCGATGATGGCTTCCTTGCCACGTTCAAGGTTGCCATTAAGCTGTGGTTCGCTTTCCGTTTTCTCCTGAAAGACAAAGGACGAAAGGAGGGCTACAATTTCTTCGGGCTCGAACCTGTGATGTGCGTTAGTCTGGTCGCGCTTGACCCGACTCCCCTTTCCCCGTCACTTACGATGCTAGCACATTCTCCAGGATCAGCTCAGTGATGACAAGCTCGTCTCCCGAGTGGATCTCGCAGGCAACTTTGCCCTTCAACTGGACACGAGACTGTTCGTCGATGAAGCCGAGGTCCTTCAACACTGCAGTTCTCTGTTGGTAGTCCGGCAACAGGGACAAATTCTGGTCCGACATCAGCATTTTCAGGGATTGGATATTCTCTCGGATCAGCCACTCGTCGTGCTGCATGCCGTAGTGCTTCAAGAACTGGGTGCAATGCAGACATTGGCTGTTCTCAAAGATTCGTGCAGCCTCGTTCCTCTTGATTAGAATGTCGCGGATATGCAATTCATGCGCCTTGCTCCATTCCAGCTCATCCCACGCCGTTGAGATCCAGGATGAATAGACGTTGATGAATTCTTCTTCGACAAATTTCCGTTGCGCCTCATCGGTCTGTAGCAGCGTCCGCAGATCGGCCTGTTGGGTCCGATAAATGTAAGTATTACCTCTTTTTATCCTGATAAACCTGCTGGGGCCTCTGACCTTGACAACCGTCTGGGTAACACATTCCACATCGTCCAGTCCAACCTGGGTAATCCGCCATTTGACCTGGGAAGCATTTGCGGGTAGGGCAGAGAACATCATGCGTACACGTGGGAGGTACGGAAGCAGATCTTGCGTCGACCGCTTTGCGTCAATGTGGGAGATTTCGAGAACCTTGATGCCTCGATTCGGCCCGGCGCGCACTCCGTCTTCCAGAAGCACTCCGACTGTGCGGATGCCATCCTACACACAGTACTTAGTAGATCCCAACAGAGGGAATGGAACAGAGCCTCACTTGTTTGAACACTATCAGTCTCCTCGCAGTCCAAAGCCGCCGTCCCACCGGAGACGACAGCAAGCTGATGTGGAGTTCTTTGGTTAGCCGTTCGAATTGCATGGCTGCTTCATGGCAGGTGTCCGCGTCGATGTCGCATACATCGCAAGGTTCTCGCTTGATCTTGTCCAGAGTCGCCTGGGACAACGCGACTTGCTCCTCGTGTTGAGGCAAGAGTGCTTGTGTAGCGTTTTCAGAGAAGCTGCGCTTGATCATCTCCTCGATTTTCAATGCCTCGACCCGCATGAGGTTCAGAATCATGTTGTAATGCAGTCTAAACTGGCTGCGCAGCTTTGTGGCAGGACCAGTGATCATCTGGGTCAGTTCGGAGGCTGAGGGTGCCTCGGTTTTACCTGGCGTCACGATAATGACTGTCCCTACCGTGTCAAGCCCTCGACGTCCAGCGCGACCAGCCATTTGAGTGTACTCTCCTGGGAGCAGATTTCGGAATTCACGGCCGTCATGCTTGCGGTATCCCGAGAAGACGACTGTTCGGGTAGGAAGATTGAGGCCCATTGCAAAGGTTTCCGTTGCGAATAGCACCTTCACCAAGGTTCTTGCGAAAAGAATCTCAACGATTTCTTTCACAATCGGCAGCAGACCTCCGTGATGGACGGCGATCCCGCGACCCAGCATTTCTCGTAGGCGTCTGATTTGCGGCAACACCCGATCCTCCGGTCTGAGTCTGGCAATTGACCTCTCGATGATCATGTGGATGGCACTCTTCTCTGCCGCGGTGCAAAAGTCTTGATTGGAGAGAGAATCAGCGTTCTCTTCGCATCTTTTCTTCGAGAACACAAAGATGCAGGCCGGCAGCAGATTCTCTTTTCGCAGAAACTGGACGAGATGCACCCAGATGTTTCTATCTTGAGCAGCCGTCGTTCTCCCACCGCCACGTCCTGTTCGCGCGATATTACCTTGACCTCTGATCGGCACAGCACCCCGACCTCGCTGCTGTGCACCACCTCTTTGGTTCGAGCCACCGCGCTGAGGCTGAACCCGCCCGCCTCCGCGTTGTCCAGGGGCTTGTCCTCCACGAGCAGGCGCTTGGGCTTCAATCGCTTTCTGCTCTTTGATTTTATCCAGGCCCGACAAGATGTCGTTGGCATCTTTCCATCCCTTCTGAATAAAGCGCTTCTCCGAATCCACAATCTTGTGTATCCCCTTGCCCGCCCATAGATAATGCTCCAAGGGGACTGGTCTTTTGGGTGTGGAGATGACATAAATGTTCTTTTTCTTGGTACGTCCAACCCACGACGCGAATTCGTAGGTGTTGGGGACGGTGGCTGAAAGGAGAATCAGGGTGACATGATCAGGCAACATGATAATGACTTCTTCCCAAACAACTCCTCGCTCGAGGTCATTGACATAGTGTACTTCATCAAAGATGACGAACTCTACATCTCGAATGAGGTCGGCACCACGATAGAGCATGCTTCGCAAGATTTCAGTCGTCATGATGAGACAGCTTGCTTCCGGATTGATTTGGACATCGCCGGTCAAAATGCCCACGTCGTCAAAGACGTTTTTGAAATCACGAAACTTTTGATTGGACAGGGCTTTGATGGGAGAGGTATAGATGGCCTTGGTCATATGCTTCGTAGCCAGGGCGATGGCATATTCGGCAACGACAGTCTTGCCTGCCGAGGTGTGGGCAGCGACAAACACCGAGTCGCCACTCTCAAGATGATAGATGGCCTCTTTCTGAAAAGTGTCGAGTTCAAAAGGCCACGTGCGTGCCATGTCAGGGACCAATTCTGCAAAGTTTGGGATGGCTTTGTTAATGTCCACCACGTGAGCCCATTTCTTACCTGGCACCTTACCAGTTGCTCGCAAGAGATCCCCACGAGGCTCTAGGGATGGAAACTCCACTGGCAAGAGGTCATTAAGGTCGGCATATTCGTCCTCATCCTCGTCTTGGTCAGCCTCTTTTCCTTCGCCTGGCACCATTGCAACGCCATTCTCTGACGCGGCACTACTCTCTCCATTGCTCGCAGCCCCTGCAGGATCTGCACCAGTTTCACCATCGGCATTCAATGTCTTTTCGACGTCTTCTGCATCTTCTTGTGCCTCGACAGATTTCTTGTCTGAAAATTTCATGCCCCTCGAGAACCCTGGCGGCACCTCCAAGAGGCCATCGTTGACTCCAAAATTGATGATTCGGGCGAGTCCATTCGTTTTCTTGGTCGAGTGTCTGTTTTCCTCCTCGAGCCTTACCTGATCCTCGTAAGCTTGAATAGTGTCAACTCCATCTAGTCCACCTGGCGCAAAAGGGAAAAAACCGGCTGATCCCCGCACAAATTCGGATTTGGTTGCTGGTCTCCGGAGAAGTGACGTAGAGTTCTTTGCAGTGGCGCCCGACGCAGGCACTGTGACTTGATGGTAGGCGGCAACCTTCCCTTCCAGGCCTTTGCGGGTGAAGCGAGTGACAGTCCTAGTCTGGGTGGGGGCCAACTGACAAATCTCGGCGTAATTGGACGACTGGTAGTCCCAGCGCTGTTGCAGCTTGTTTAGCCATTCTGGGGCGAAGGTAGAAGGCGGTGACAGAAACTGGTTTTCCAGCTCGTGTCTGATCTGCTGAGGGGTCTTGGGAGTGTGCGAGGGGCGAGTCATTTGGGAGGGAGGTTTGAGAGAAGGTTGAAGTGGTCTAGGGTTGGGTTGAGGGATGATGTGTCAAGGTATTGGGTCCTAAATACGCTGTACCACAAAGGAGTGGCCAGGATGCTCTGATCACACCGTGATTGAGTGTCACAAATGACAAGGTGACATGGGCTGTAACCAGTAGATGAGTGGGTGTGGGAGAAAAACCAGGATCCCGTGGCCCGTGACCGGCCTTGCCTGATCCGGCGATGGGCGCCAAGACACCCGAGGGTCAAAAAAGTGGGGCTGCGGATGTTGTGGACGCCGTGGGCGCAATCCAAGCCAAAGTAACGCCCAGCGGTTCCAGCAAAAGCGAATTCTTTCCTTCCTTTCCCCTCCCTCCAAAAACCCCCCCAGCAGCTCGCGGATATTTATTTTGTCAGTCGAACTAAACCCGCCCCCCCTAATTTGCCGAACTCTAGACCCTTGGCTAATTTCAATAGGTAAAGTCCTTTTTCACCGTCGAACCATCCTCTAACCCTTCTCACACGGTGAGGGTGTTACTCAACAACCACCAAAGAAAGAAAGATAACCCATACAATCCCCATGGTGACAGGCACCTTTCTCAGGCGACATGACAAAGAGTTGTGCGGAATTTTCAACATCTTTACGCTCATTATTGGATCAGCGACACCCACACCTGAAGTTTTCAAGTTCTGATGTTCTCGAGTTCTAAAACGTCTCACACAATCCTTAACGCCCGGAAATGGCGGCCCGTGCAACGAAGTTCGACTCATCACTGCCCAAAATCAAAGACATTTACACCATACCTGGTCAAGACCGTTACGCCTTCTATGATGGCAAATTCTGGCCATGGCCCACAGCTTCCGACGACGAACCTCTCTTTGCCGTTGTCGGCCAGAAGAGGATCTTGATTGCGCGCGCGTCTCCCAGAGAGCCTATCACCACCATCCATGACCTCCATGATGTCGACGTAGAAAGAAACCCTGGTCACCCTGGTCTGAATTCTTGCGCTTGGGGTTATGCTAACCCGGCACAACCTTTATTAATTGTGGCCGGCGGATTCGGGATTATAAAAGTGGTTGATGTGCTCTCAGGCAAGAGATGCAAGCTTAGGATCCAGCATGTCAATGCAAGCATCAACGACATCGCAGTCCATCATTGCTACCCATGGATTTTCGCCACCGCCTCACAGGATGGCCAAGTTCGAGTATGGGATCTGCGGCCATGCTTCTCGCCGCTCAGGGTGTCTCCCATCATTATCTGTGGAGGGGGAATAGACGGGCACAGGGCTGGCGTGCTGTCAGTTTCGTGGCACAAGTCTGGCCGGTACCTGGTTACAGGAGGCTTCGATCATTCGGTGTGTGTTTGGACTCTGCCGGATCTTGGTAAACGCTCTCCCTTCTGGGCATCCATCGATCCAAAGCGGATAGAACGACACACGTCTGAGGCGATGATGATCTACTACCCTCACTTGATCACCAAGGCGATACACTCCAACTATGTTGATTGTGTAAAGTTTCTTGGCGACTTCATAGTGTCAAAGGCGGCAACCGAAAACAAGATTGTGCTGTGGAAAATTACTGGGTTCGACTCAAGCAAATCTCCGCCAACATCGATGACGGCTGTCAAAGCTGGAGCCCATCTCGACACGCGCAATGGATTCATGCGTACAGTAATCACCGAAAAGGACGGGACGCAAACTGTGACAATTCCAGACGAGTTCCAAAACAAAGCTCCATACGAGAGACTGTTGGAACTTGACGCCCCGTATAGTGAGGCATTCTATATGCGGTTTGCTGTGCTGTCGCCCTCGCGAGACTATCCCTATTCACGTCTGATGATCGCGTATGCTAACGGGGCTTCTGAACTTCGATTTTGGGATCTTGACCGACTCTGCAAGGGTCATGATCACCCGCCTTGCCGCAGGCGCAAACATGGCCGTAAGTTGAAAAGAAAGAGATCAGAACCTGAATTGATCCCTGCCTGGGAGAAGCGACTAAAACCGGAAGACATCCCTGTTCTAAGCGAGATGCCCAAATTCGATGCCATTCCTACGCCAGATAGGAAACCTAAAACTGAAGACCTTTCTGCGTCACAAAGGCAAACTCGAAAGCGCAGGGCACTTTCGTCGATAAATGACCGAAGATCTTTGAGGCTGCGTCAAGTATCTCCGACCGTCGAGTCCGAAGATGTAGAGACCGAGTGGGGGTCTGTGAAGATCAAGCAAGACTCAGTTGAGGCCAATGAGGAGACTGAGAGCATCGAGCAAGAGTGTCCAGATAACAAACAACCAATTATTTCGACTCGTCTAAGAAAAAGCGCCGCCAGAAACATACCCACGGGCCAAAGTTCAGACATGAAAGCCGCCCATCAACTTCATTCTTCAACCCTGAGGACAATCTCGACTCGATCCAAACGACAAGTTCAAAATTCAGACAGCAAAACGCACACTGGAAGGGCTTCTACTTCCGTACCCGACAGTGGATCGACCAAACCAAGACCAAATATCACGATCGAAATATCATCCCTATCATCTTCGCGTAGGATGTCACCTCCATCAAAACCAAACACTGTCAACTTATCTCTACATACCTCAAACGACAATCCACTACTCTCATCCCATGCCGTCCGGAGATCACCTCGCTCAAAACCCGATACCGTTCAATCATCCCAGGAGAGAGTATACAATGAAAATGATGCACACCCTGTCAGAGGGTCAGCTCGTTTGACACCACGCAGTACATCTTCGTCGTCTACCGATTCAGACGTCCCTGAAGATACGATTGTTATCAGAAGTTTAGCCCCAGCGAGACCTCGCCTCGGACTCCTGTCTCCAGCCGCTTCAGAGATCGCGAGTGATACTAGTACTGTCAGCAGGTCATCTCGTTCATCACCAGCCTCCCAACTCCCGTCCCCTGCTGCTTCGGATACCGTAGCGGCTGCAGAACGAATCAAGAGTCCCGCGCTTTCAACACCACAAACCCCTTCCCCTACTCCGCCTCAGTCGGATATATTTGGAGAAGCAACTCTAGCTAGACGATCGACTAGGCTGAAGGCCAGGTCTGCGAATAGGGCGTCAGAGACTTCAGATGCCACAAGAGACACATCTGCTTTCAAGTCGCCCGCTCCTTCTCAGCCTTTCGACAACCTAGGCCCAGCAGGAGACTCACCGCGATCCCAAAGAATATACCTTGAAAAACAGAGAATCATATTGGACGATAGCTCTTCAGGCAGCGACGAAGAATATTATAGCACTACGGAGTCGGAATCTCCCCACACTCGAGACTTTACAAAACGGAGAATCAAGTCTAAGAAATGTGAGGAAGAAGTTTTGGATAGTATCGAGGTCGAGGACGAGTTTTCCGACACGCTGATGGGCGAGGGGGACGGTCCTACAGGCTTGGATACTGAGGACGTGGCCCCCGATATTCCCGAGCCTGAACGGGCTCTATCCGCTACACAGGAGTCTGAATCGCCTTCAGACGCGTGGGAACCGGAGGCAGGGCGACCTGTCACTCTGGAGTCTGAGCCAGAGTCTACCAATATCATAAAAGGACCACCTACACTTGTTGATCTCCCCGCCATGACCGCGTCCAGGTTAGCAGCGCTGACCTTGGAGACCACCCCTGATAAATTTGACCCCTTCAGAGAACCAGGAAAGCGTGGCTCCCCAAACCGGGACCGTGGAAGGTATACCCTTGACAATCCACACAATCCTCTCAAGGCACACAAGAGGGTTGTACTTCATAAACTCCAATACAAGAAGCAAGCACCGTTTGTTGCGAGGACAGCTGACTGGAGTCCTTGCGGAAATTGGTCCCTCGTGGTGGGTGAGTCCGGGAAACATCCCAAGGACGGCTGGGGAGGCGTTGCCCTGCTACGTTGTCGTGATGTCCCAGACAAAAGAAGACCGAAGGACTTGTTCCAAGAACTCCTACCTGTGTTCGAGAAAATTCGAGATGTAATCCTTGACCTCAATGACCCCGAGGAAATTGATCGTTGGCTCAACCAGCACGACGTCATACTCCAACAACTAGCCGAGCCTAGTCAATTTGATGTTGGCAGGGATAATCTCCGCGAGATGGTCTCCGCTCTTCTCTGTGCTCACCCAACGCAGCTCTACCAGACGCTTTTTGAACTCGGATACACACTGGAAGAACTTCTTGAAGGGGATAACGGTGCGCAAAACTATCCAGAACTCGAGACGGATAATGAAGCAGACGATGAGAGTTCCGACAAAGAAGGAGATGACGACGAAGAAGAAGAGAAGGATGGTGATGAATCCAACAACGCTGATGATTCGGGCGAAGAGAGCTCATCGAACGACAAATTTGAAAATGCCAAAGTGCGTCGTTACGAGGACTGGGCAATCTACGACTTCGAAGAAGAGGACGACGACACGGATGAGGAATTCTATCCTGCGCAGCTTCGGTCGTCGAGACGGTTACATGCTTAGGTGATTTCTGCTGAATATGAGCAGGCCTGAGATATCCTCCTTCTCGTGCAGGCTCCAGGATATGTATAAGAGGGGGTTGGAAGACTACGAAGTGAATGAATTTCCTTTGTGTATACAAATCCTGAAACATGTAGTTTCCGGTACTTTGTTTGAAAGTTTTCGACTAGTTGGAAATCTCAACGCGCACTGCACCATTTTAGTTCACTTTTTGAAACTCTGCTTTGATTGCTCAGTGGCCAGCTATGGGCAGCTTCCTTGTACGTTCACTTAGCCTCGACCGCCAAGTCCGTATGCATTGTTCTAATTGCGTCATTTCAGCACTAGCCGCGGCAACCAATGACTGTAACATGCTTGGCAGAAAGGGTAATTTACTGTAATCGTACAAGGCTGTTCCAATAATAACGGGTAATATTCACCGTACCTAAAATCCGCCAGCAGCGTCGCAAACCTGCCACCCTGCTTTTGCAAGAATGTTGATGATTGACCTGACGCCCATATCATCAGTTAAACAAGAGGTTGGAAATGCCTGCTCAGACCGTCACGTGACCATGATCACGTGCTGATCACGTGAAACGTCTGGGCAGCTTTGCGGCACACACTTGGGGTAGCTCACACGAACCCTGGTGCTGCGGATACGCATCAACGCCCGCTTCGCGTCGCGATTCGTCTTCACCTCGCCTCATCTCGGCTAGCATTCTTGCCTACCTAAGTCACCCGGCGCACTCTGCTCACGCGCCCAATTCCCCGAGACGGGGGGTTTTCAAGCTCCATCGAGACGTTAAAGCAATGCGACACATGCCCATAATATTTTACGACAGCGCTTCACAACTATGGATGGCGAGGCTCAGAGCCCTCCCGCGCAATCGGCGCAGACTCTAAAGTTCCTGCGCTACAGATCCGTCCGTCAGTCGGCCGTCAAACCCCCAGAGTCCCAAGGCTCTCCACCTCCCTTGCCGCAGACGTCACAGGCCTCGTTGACGCGTCTACCTTCGAGATACCACCGCCGACCACCGCCGACTCCAAATGTGCCCCTACCGAACGAACTGCCCCTGCCTACCAGCGTGAATAGCGCGACGGTCCCAAGAGCCCGAGGCCAGACCTTGAACGGCGCGACTGCACAGGATGGACAGGCCAGACAGGCAGAAAACGGCGTCCGCCGAATGGTCATCCAACATAGCAACAACGCCCAACCTACGACTAGGCCGACGACCAGCAAAAGCACACCACGCAAGCAGACGTTGACCTCCAATGTACAAGAACCGTCGCCAGAAGCGCTCCGGAGATCGCTCGAGATGGCAAGGGAAGAAGCGCGCTTGCTTTTGGAAGGGGAGCAGGACCGGGTGAGAGAATTGAGACAACAAGAAGCCCGGCGCCGGCGTGAAGAGCGGGAAAGGCGCAGGAAACAGGAGGAGAGATTGGCGCACGAGGCCCGTCAGCGAGAAGCTGAGGAAGCAGCGCGACAAGAAGCCAGAAAGCGACAGGATCGCACTCGGTCCGAAGACGCTCGGCACAGTGAACAAGGCGTCGATGAACAACATACATCTCCAGCGCCACCAACAGCGGAGGTTGCCGTCGACTCGAAAAAGTCCAGGACGCGTACACTGGTGATTGGCGGACACAACCCTCTCAACAGACAGGAGACGCGTGCACATCATCGCCGTGCCTCATCCGCGGTCGAGCAGCTGCGACAGAAGCCAAAACAAAGCCATGCCAGAACCAGCAGCGCTGGATGGAACGACGAAAAGCCCGACAGCGAAGTGCCGATTCCCAAACCAAACTTCGACGCCCCAGTGTCGGCGGTAAATGCTGGGGAACGAAGGGTAAGCGTCAAATGTCGAGATGCACTGATTACGCTGCCCATCACACCCTCAACTACTACCAAGGATGTCCTGAGGTCCGCCTCCCTCTGCATGTCGGAGCCAATTGACCCTCAAACGGCTGTCCTGCTGGAGTCGTTCTCACAGCTCGGGCTGGAGCGGCCGCTTCGAAGATATGAGCGGATACGTGATGTGATGAATTCCTGGGACAACGATACGCAGAACCACCTCTTCATCATGGCCGAAGGCGAATGCGCGGCGCCTGGGCTGCAGCTCGCGGACGCTCCCAATGAACAACCGTACGGGACCGTAGTCAACATCTACCATTCACACCGGCCTGGAAAGTGGGACAAACGTTGGTTGAGACTGAGAGAGGACGGTCAGATCACCATGTCTAAGAATGAAACGGGCATTGATTCCACCAACATCTGCCATTTGTCGGACTTTGACCTGTACACTCCCACGGCGAGACAGATCAAAAAGCTCAAGCCGCCCAAGAAGCTGTGCTTTGCCCTGAAGAGCCAGGAGAAGTCGGCCATGTTCCTAGATGGGGCAAACTTTGCACACTTCTTCTGTACCAAAGACAAAACGCTTGCCGACAGATGGTATCACGCCGTCCATTCATGGCGCAGTTGGTATCTGGTCAACAAGCTTGGAGAAGGTCAAGCGAAACCGATTGAGCCGGCCGAGAAGCTCAAGCTAGGGAGCAGACCGGAGACGAGGAGTTCCAAGGAGTCGCTGCCTTATGTGCTTGGTTCTTTCAAACCACTGCTAGATCTTGGTTCCACCTTTGAGGGAAACCGAAAGTCAGAGTCGGGTGTCGCGCACCGGGCGTCACAGCCTGATGACCAGAGGCCGTTGATCGATTTCGTGCCGGAGAGACCGAGCATTGACGAGAAGGCGGGCAGCCCCAAATTCCCTTCCAAGCTGCAAGGAGCTCCGCCCACGTCGTTTCCGCGAAAGTTTACGGCCGAGTCAGCGATGAGTGGCAACGCCGATGACACAGATGGGCCGTTTACTGGGACTGGTCTCCTTGCCCGCAGTGCCAGTCGCCGATCGCAGGGCGATCGTCGCGGGGTGCCAGGCAAGCCCTTGGTAGATCTCACACCAACGAGCGAGTTCACTGATGGCAGTCTGCTCCGGAGGATGGAAACACAAAGGCTCACGGAGCCGAAGATCGACCGACAGAAGAGGAGAGAGGTTGACGTTGCTGTCGGTGAAGGACTCTAGATGGGTGCCACCGCATGATATCGCTATCGAGGAGAAGCACAGGAAAATAAGGGAGGTAATGAGAGACTTTTGAAATGATAGGGCAGGCACTTGAAGTGTGCCTGTAACTGACGACGACCTGCGAGAAAGAGGGGATAATTCTTCTGGCTGAATGAGTTTATGAAAGGGAGCTGACACCATGTCTTGAGGACTGCGTGCACACGGGGTGTATACCTATAAGTATCTATGTCGATCTCACGAGATCCATCATACACAGGCACCAAGTACTTACCAGTCGGTAGTATCTACCATGCGATTCTGGATTTCGCAGCACGGTTCAAATCCAGTCTCTCATGTCTCGGAGTAAGCTTGTACAGTAACTCGTAGGCGACTGGCTACTAACTAGTAGGCGATATCACACCCAGTATTAACTCTTCGATCAAGGCTCTTCTGCTAGATGCACACCGGACGTCTGCTTTCTCACGCTGGAGGTGACCAGTTTAATTACTACCAAGTACATGCCGCCTGGCTTGCGAAAAGACCCTACCCAGCTGGATGCATGGGATGTGCTACTTGTCAAGGACTGCTGACCTCGCCTTCGACGCCCGGCTCTTCCAGCACACGATTTTTTTCTTGGAACTGGTCAATAAAAACCCTTCACAGCAAATCTCATTCGCAGACCGTCTGGTGGTGCATTCGGCCTTAAAATATTAGTATGTGCAAGATAGTAGTAGTATACGGGGTGAGTAGGAGTTTGAATACTATTATACAGACAGGATTTGATATATTTTTATTGCATTCATTCATGCAAACAATGGCTTTTTTCACAATCAGAAAGATAGATGCGTTTTCGGGCGCAGCAAGAATACTAGTACTCATACCACCTGAACACCACCGCTGCTGTACGTATGTAGATTAATAGTACATCTCACCACTATCGAGACCGAGAATAACAGGCCGCGCGAGCCTTTACAACGAACAACAACATGAGCGTTATTTGATGCCGCTGGATTGGATCGCTCGGCGCTGTAGTTGGGCTTGATTGTGAATTACCCTTTTCGGCGATTTCAGTGACGCGCTTCGCAGTGTCGTTTAGACTCTGTTCCATGCGATTGAGTCACTTTACCGTGATCATACCCAGAGTTGTGGGCCCACATCTCTTTGCTCTTTGATATGTCTTGACACAGCTTTGCTTGTCACCGCTACACTATAGCCAGGTGATTAATGATCTGGCCGATATGCGAAGAAGGCTCCATCGATAATGCTACTTAGGACTTACTCGGTTTTGATCAACCAATATCCTCGTATCGTACTAGCATGGCGATAATAGGGTATTCAGGATGTATAGGAGTGGTCTCGGTGATGCTGGGTGAACGACAACCAATTAGTGCAGGCCGGATAGAACATCAACCACTCGAACTCTTCAGCGAAAGTGAGCAGGAGTGAACAGAAGATTCTGTTTGAATCAAATCCGCCTGGGCTTGATGTACGCAGACACGTGTTGGGGTTGAACTCTGCAGCGAGAGATATTACTCGAGATTCAGTCAAGCCTTCTGAGAAAGAATGGTACCCTCGCTCCTTCCCAAATTAGTTACAGCACGTCCTACATCACCACGGGTTTCTTTTACTTCTCCCGCCTGTGATACATATTACGATTAATAACTTTCCTCAGACAGCAGGAGCGGTTTGCCATGTCATTTGCACGAACGCTCAACACTGTCGGGAAATTGGAGTACTTTACGGATACTATATGTTGATATTGTATAGAAATTACTAGTAGAATAGACACAGTGTTGATGCTCGCAGCATCAAGTTTGAGGACGCATCAATGGAGCTGATGTGCAAACAACTTGAGGGCAAGAAAGTACTACTAGTACTAAGTATTATCGAGGAGAGAAAGAAACAATTCACTCGGCCCTACACGGACCAACAGCGCTTGCCTATATATCACACATCTGAGACAAAAGGCCACGAAAGACAGCATGTACCATGGTTTTCATGACCGCCGCTTGTCTACCCATTGGAACACGTTTATATTAAGTACCACTTTGTCGTCCGCATTTTAATTTCCTCTATAAAATGACCTTTTAGTATCTTGATAACCCAACATTGAAGCAATGGACGACCACAACTAGAAATGAAATGGGTTCAAGTAATGAAATGGGTTCAAGTAATGAAATGGGTTCAAGTAATGAAATGGGTTCAAGTAATGAAATGGGTTCAAGTAATGAAATGGGTTCAAGTAATGAAATGGGTTCAAGTAATGAAATGGGTTCAAGTTCCAGCTGGTTGTCGCATTGCGGCAATGCCTTAGCCTGGACAGCACAAAGGCATACGCGTCATCAGACTTTACATACAAGTTCAATGGCCATTCAATAAGCTGATAACCACGTCTCAGCCGTGATTTTGCATCTGCGACGCCTTTGGATGGTAGTTCAGCGCTTTCCTGAGAAATCTACGCTGTCTGTGAAGAAAAAAAAAACATTACGAATTTTCAGCGATGCTAGCAGAAGAATATGGGACGACAAGACATGTTTCTTTCTATGTCTCTACTCACGAACGAATATGCTGCTCTCACATCGACCACAGGGCTATTCAATGCTAGTTGTGGGCTTTTTCATATTCTGCCCTGAAAATCTCTGGCGACTTTTGCCATTCATTCATTACTTGTACCATCATCGAGACATTATCAACACCATTACCGCACAGTTTACCGCAAGCAGAGCAACGGAGCTCTGCCGTTGGGGCATTTGAAATGTTTTTGGCCTGCCAACAATCCTATCCGATGCACATTTGGGCTTATTATCTGCAGTGCAATATGCAATGTAAGGTCGTGCACGTACAGCTTGCGACGCAGGCGCGCGGAAGAGGATGGTGGAACTCATGGAGGATTTTATCAGGATTGGAGCCGAGATAAGAGGAAGTCGAGGTTATATAAGTTCCTGCTCGTTGAAAAATTGAAGGTATTGTTGGAGATCGATGGTCGCGTCAGAGCCACGAGGACATGATCGCCAGAGGAGTGGCCTGCGGAAAAGAATTTTTAGCTCGTCCGCAGGCTAGTTGGATGTCTGACCTGATTTGCAACGGACGCGGACCAGAGTCAAACTGTTTCAGACATGGGGTGATGTAACACGTGATGATAAGGGGAGGCAGAGGCTGAAGGGTGGCAGTGCTGGTGTGGTGGTATTAGTATTGATGATCGATGGTGGCGGTGTCAGTAGGTGGTGATGGTTTGATGGTGTTGCTTTGCGAGGACTTGGGACCTGCAGCTGCCGTTTTAGGCGCCACCAGTGCCGCTGGTGCCCCTATGCCTCTCCAATTATTGGCTGCGGGGAATAAATCTCGCTGGGAATTTTGCCTGCGATGGATTTGGTATTTGGCCAACTTGTTCTCTACGCACGCTGTCTCTGTTTCCATCTGGATCACTAATGAACAACCAACACCAATAGTAAATAATCTTCACTCTTCACTCAGTCGTCCAGGTATCCTTTCCTCATACCTGTACTCTACATATGTTTCAAGGATTCTCTTCGTTTGATGATCGTTGACTACCTGTTGCATCCCCGTTCCAGCACGCCACCCGCAAAATGCGACTGCAACGTGCTTCGCAGTTTTTCCTTGCCCTTTACCTCTTCCTGCACCCTTCTTGCGTTCAAGCCGAACCCCAATGCGCCATAGATCCCCAATCAATCGTGACCGATGCCTGCACCTCATATGCGGACCTCGAGAGGCTGAACGCCAACCTTTACCCATCGCTGGACGACTTGACCCAAAACACCGACTTCTTTGCCTACTACCGATTAAACCTCTACAACAAGGCCTGTCCCTTCTGGACCGATGAAAACTCCATGTGCGGCAACCGCGCCTGCGCCGTGGAGACAATAGATGATGAGAGTGATATACCGCCGATCTGGCGAGCTGCAGAATTGAGCAAACTGGAGGGAGCGAGGGCGAAACATCCGGGGCTTGCCCAACAACGAGAAAGACCGAAAGACCGGCCGCTACAATATCAGCTGGGCGAAGATGTGGATGAAAGTTGTGTACTGGAAGAAGACGATGAATGTGACCACAGAGACTATTGCGTTCCCGAAGATGAGGGCGCCGCAGCCAAAGGAGACTATGTCAGTCTCGTTAAGAACACGGAACGATACACCGGCTACGCTGGACTGGGTGCCCGACAGGTCTGGGATGCTATATACAAGGAGAATTGCTTCACCCCGAAATCTCCGAAATATGCCTCGCTGAAACCGAAGCCCCTGCAAGCCGCCCAGAGTTTAAAAGATATCTTCCAAGAATATGGGCGGCAACATGTGGACGAAACGGACGATCTGTATCCCCTCGACGATGAGTGTCTAGAACAACGGGCATTCTATCGCATCGTCAGCGGCATGCACGCATCCATCTCCACGCACATTTGCTGGGAGTTCTTTAATCAGACCACCGGCGAATGGGTTCACAACCTCGACTGCTACAAGGAACGACTCCACAAATTCCCTGAGCGTATCTCCAACGTCTACTTCAACTACGCCATCCTGACGCGCGCGATTGCCAAGTTGCGGAAACATCTTGAGTCCTACACGTTCTGTTCCGGCGATCCCGACCAGGATTTCCAGACCAAACAGAAAGTACTCGCACTCGCAGACACAGCGGCATCTGGCCCACACACCTTTGATGAATCCATCATGTTTCAGGATCCGTCAGTCATGGTGCTCAAGGACGACTTCCGCAACCGGTTTCGCAATGTGTCCAGGTTGATGGACTGCGTAGGATGCGACAAATGCAGGCTCTGGGGAAAGTTACAAACAGCTGGTTACGGAGCTGCGTTGAAAGTGCTATTTGAGTATGATGAGAATAAGAACGGCGAAAACCCCCACTTGAGGAGAACAGAGCTGGTGGCTTTGGTAAACACTCTCGGTCGTCTCAGTCACAGTCTCGAAGCAATTCAAAAGTTCCGCACCGCTCTCAACACCGGGGATAAGAGCGTTCTGGACATCAACGGCCCGCTTCCAGTATCCGCCAAAGGTGACAGCAAAGTCGAGTCGGCGGACACTGAGACTTCCGACGAAAGTGCAAATTTTGACGACCTGTACGACGATGTGGACAGCAAATCTTCGCAGAGTCCACCAGAGGAAAATTCAATTTCTGAAGCATTCTGGACCGAGCTCGACCTTGTTTGGCGCGCCTACAAGATGGTTCTACGGTCTTGGTTTGAACTGCCTTTCAAATTTGGGGCTATCTTCATCATGGAGATGAATCGCTTGTGGAATTTCTGGCTGGGACTGCCGGTGCCAGATCGGTCGTGGGATTTCCACTTCCCTAGCCGGGATGAGCTGTAGGATAGCCCCCCACATTTCATCCTCATAAGTGGTGTTTTGGTGGCAAGGACACTGAGGACTCACTTTTGTATGAATTGGCGCAGGACGTTGCGGTATATGGCAACCAGCATACAGCTGGCACTCTGATCACAGATGGATATGCATAGCGACGGCAAAGATATGGGCATTGGAATAGGCGTTGGCGTCAACAAGGTTTGTGGCTTTAGATATAGATGTACATAAGATTCAGCGAAGTGGGCGCACTTCCAACGGTGGTGCAAGCCTACTGTAAGTGTGTCACCGTGTCTTCTCCAAACTGTGAGCATCAAATTGGCGACCGAGTGACACGTGCTGCACTTGTTCGGGACTTGCATTTGGTTGCCCCGCACCACGAGCGCCCAAAGTCACCGTTTCTTGTTTTCTCGCCTCGTTGGTCAATAAACGCGTCACGCCCGCTTTCAACGCGTCTCAATCCAACGTTTTTTTAGAGCCGGAGTTCCTGGTCATTGGACAATTGCTACCAAAACCCTTGTGCTGAAGAGATGTGATCATATTTTGTGGGATAATACTAAGAGTTTGACTCTCAGAAATGTTGCCTCCGCTCTCTGCTACCACGGGCACGCCCTGTCCGATTCCGCTTCATGCCGACGTTCAGGTGCAAAAACAACAACAACAACATCGTCACAAACAACACCTCGGTCAACTCGACCGACAATCTGTCTCCTTATCCCCAACCAACGACACTACGGCAAACATCGAATTCACGTCTGCTTTTGCAGCGCCTGCGCCGAGCGTCTTGAAGAGTGTCAGACCACGACGCAGAAGACCGCATGACGGGCAGGGCTTCACAATTCATGAAGACAAGACCTCATTTGCGGCTTCACGAAGTGGTGAAAGAAGAGAAAGGAATGGCACAACTGGAGATGGCATTGGCAACGACGACAATCTGCTCAAGGTGGGAGCAAGGAGAGCTGCGATATCTCAACCACCCCAGCGACCGAAAAAGCGAGCAGCGATGGATGTCCCTTGTACAGCGCCCATACCCCCAACGACAGCTTCTGCGGGCGATGTCGTTGTACAGTCACAGGTGCGAAAACAAAGCGGTACTTCCACGAGACTAAGTCAAGCGGCGAGACGACCAATAACAAACAAGGCCGAAAGGGTATCATCCTCATCCATGGCTCAACCGCTGCCAACACTCCCTGAAGACACTTTTGCACTCCCGAGGATGGATCCGACAACTTCGCTCAAGCCAGACCGGCGAACTACGATATACATCCCGACCGAGGACACTACAGTGCCGAGCATGTACATGGGTATCTTCAGTCCAATTAAGAGGTTGGACCCGGCGGTGAAGCCCTCTCCAGGATGGCCAGCAACATCCGCGACTACAGAACTACCAAGCAAGCCCGATGTCGAATTGACAGGGATCGTTGCGCAGATGGTCGCGAAGAAGCGAGGCGCTGCCAGGTCTAAAAGCACCATGTCTCCAACGCGACAGCCGTTGCAGGTTACGACTAATCCTCTCCAAGAAAGTGCAGTGTTGGTGGATCGCTGGGGACAAGGAGGTGGTAAGGAGAATATTCCTCCTGGGCAGAATGAAATGCTCGGCAAGAAAGCCATGTCTGGGAAAGGGAGACAGAAGCTGGAGAGACGAAGCGCAGACCTGGAGGATGCTTATACTGTGGCTCGACGGCAACAAGTTAATACACGAGCGCGAGTGTTGTCGAAAGGCCAACCCACGGCAATCGTTCCGAGAAAAGCCAGAACGGAGAGTTCCGCCGAGGGTGCCAGCACGAAGCCGGGCTGCGATAGAGGACCACAGTTGAAGACCAGGCGACCAGGACTAGCATCCGTGATAGGAAACCTAGAACCGAAGTCAAACCTCGCTGCATTGGAACGTGAATCTATTGCGAGAAAGCCATCAGTCCCCAGTCGATTTGTTATCCCGAAAGTGAATCCTGTACCAGCTTGTGAGTTGTATCCTGTTATTACTGAAGACCTTGTCGATCCTATGATGTACGAGGAGAATTGGTTGAGTCACCAGGAGACGGCAATCACGCAACTTGTCAACAACCTCTTTGCAGCATCAACCGCATTATGCTCTCCAGTGGAAGATGAAATGCTAAGGCTTCGGTTGCTCGAGAGATATGGAGACCCCGGAAATGTGCTACTCTACAAGAGACTCCAGGCTGCGCTGCTATATGGAGCACTGAGTGTGCCCCGGGATGTTCTCCGGGGTTCTTTGAGACTCAACACCGACCTAGGAAAGCGGAAGGCTTTCACGGATTTATGGCTCGATACATATGAACTTGCGAGTCTTGGGTCGGCGCTGGAAGTTGTTGTTGGTCGACGGTGCCTGAGCAACGGAACCGAGTCTTCGTCAGTGTTCCCCGTTGCTGAGAATAGCCACAGTGCCAATCGACGTACCTTGCAACAATTTATCGAGACCTTTCTGATTCGAAACGAAGACGGACATCCGGACGACCCATCCACAGATCATTCATCATGGTCTTATCAGCGCACGCTCCTTCGGAGTCTGATGCTCATCAAGCTCCTGGACATGATGAAGACAACCCCGAACCCGGTGTCGAGCATGTGCTTGTTCCAGCCATCGGCATCGTACAAGGCCTCTGTGAGCGTTGTCAAAGCGCTTTTCCAACAGCTTAATCCAAGCGCAGGAGATCCAATTCGAGCCTTGACTCATATTGGGTATGTGGTCATGCACACACAACATCCCCTGGCGGAATACACATACAAGGTGGAAAATCTGGCGATTGACTTGCGGGATGGAGTGCGTCTGACCAGACTTGTCGAGATTCTCCTGTATCCTTCTGCGTCACCGTCCCTCGAGTATGTGCAAGGTTCGGATTCAACTTCCAGTATCACTCTGCCCGATGGACAACAGTTGCCCTTGAACGCAGGGGACTCCAGCTGGCCGTTGTCTCAACATCTCAAGTACCCCTGTCTGGGCCGAGCGACCAAATTGTATAACGTGCAGATCGCACTGAGCGCAATACAGGGAGTCAAGGGGGTGGAGAATCTGGCAGAAGCTGTCGAAGCAGAAGACATTGTGGACGGCTTCAGAGAAAAGACAGTCAGGCTCCTCTGGGGCCTGACCAGCAAGTGGGGACTTGGTGGACTAGTTGACTGGAACGATGTCGAGCGTGAAATCAAGAGGTTGTGCCGCACCGGGGCTAGCAGTCACGAAAACGACTACTTCGAACTGCTGCCTGATGAAGATGATCACGCGCGATACATAGCCCTCCTGAAAGGATGGGCTCAAGCCGTTGCCAGCAAGCAAGGAATCCGGGTGACCAACCTGACCACAAACTTTGCAGATGGACGGGTCTTTGGAGCTATTGTTGAGGAATACGAAGGATATCTCAGCTATGACGTTGGGTCACCAAGAGGTCGCTCGCTCGCCGAGCGGCTGAGGTGTCTCGGGTGCAGTGAGCAATTTGCCATGCTTTTCACCCAGTTGGAAGGATCCACTCATCGTGCGCCTATCTTTGACCGGGACTTTGTGGTGGCGGCATTGGCATTCCTTTGTTCTCGGCTTCTCAACCCAACCAAGGGTGTGAGAGCAGCCGTGGCGATACAGAGGAGATGGCGGGCACATTGGGCCCGAGTGGTCGAGTCTCGCAAGGTGCATCTGAAGTCGGTTGCAGAGAGTTGCGCTGCAGTGGCTCTCCAGCGAGGGGCAGCGGCTGCCGCGGGACGGGGGGAGCATGAAGTGGGTCTGCCACTTGTCGGAGACGAGGACATGGAACAAGCTGACGGAGATATCTGGTTGAGCTTGTGAACAGGGGAGAGAAGCCACAGTGGGTTTTGGCTTGAAGGCGACATGATGTATGTAGTACGAACCAAACTGAAGTCAAAGTCTGTTTGTAGAGCCGGGCCTAAGCAGGTTTGCGGCAGAATTACGGATACACCGAAGGTCATCCATGGTCTACTGAATGAGTCTAGCTAGCAAGCAGATGAAAGTCAAATAGTCAATGATGCAGGAAGGAAAATCTGATATCACTTCTGGCGATGAATTGGTGTCACCCAGGTGTGACAGGGGGGGACAAAGGGGGAGTTGCAGTTTGCTTTCATGCCCTGCAACCCTGCCGTGTCGTGCCAATCAGGCCATCATGGCCCTTGTATGATCACCATGCGGGGAATTGTATCTACCGCACCTTGTATATCCATCATTATTATTGTTAATGTCTGGCGGGGGAATTCTGATCATGACCCAATTAGAGTTATTAGAGTTTCATGGAGCTTTGGTACACGTTTTAGCGCGACTTGTTGGGCGCAACGGGCCAATGAGATCAAGTGCTGCCTAACCCAAATCATCACTCTGTCTTACCGTCTGTTCTGTCGTTGAGCATTGTCCGCCTTTGGTTATCCATTTCATCCTCCTCCTCAATCTCATCGCTGCTCATTACTCGTCGTGCTCCCTGATCTCATCTCCCCTGCTGAAGCATGCCCAACGCATTTTTTTTTTTTTGGAAAACTCCGCTGGGTCTCCATGATCGAAGGAGACCCCTAGCGGCGCAGCCACTCAGATAGACATCCAAGCAACGCCTTTGGCGCCGACACATGCAAATTCCCTGGTCATGGCGTATCAGCTGATTGGATATTCAGGTATTCATCTCCGCCATTCTAGTCCCCGCGGCTCCTGGCTAGGTTACCCCCTTGCTTGGCACCAACATCCGGACAAGGGAGTTTGGGCTTCTCCACGAACCTACGACTCACCAACCAACTGGGAGGCAATCCAGACATCAACCCGCCTTCTATCTTTTCTGAGGCATGGATGCATGGACGGTAGAGCCATCCAGGCGTCTCCCCTCTCCCAGGTTCTTCCGCCCCACTCCCAATTCCATTCGAGTTCCAATCATCTGGCTGAATGCCTCGTATGATCGCCCTCCATTTTGTGCCCAGGATTTTCATACTCCTCTTTGTCTAGGAGGTCAGAACCTAGGACGGAGCCTCACGGCTAGGCTCGTTGCGAGAGTGGTAAGTGTTTGACTGTTTGGCCGTTGAGACATCCCAGGCTCAGTTGGCATGGGCCATGGACGCAATGCCCCCCTCGCCGCGCACGAACAGCATAGTATATAATGCCCGTTCGTCCTCGTCCCAGCTGTTCAATATTCTCTATCGATTGTTTCTTTATTTGAGGAGGAAGAAGAGTTCCCATCACAGGTCCCTCAGCAAGTCCTCCCCTTCAACATCATTCCAACCAATCCCTCCCCGGGTCTATCATTCCATCCACGGTTTCAGGCGGCAACCATGGCGACGAGAGAGCTACACCTTGCCGCGTTCTCCAGAGACCTACATGGAATACTGGCGTTCTCCGCGTCCCCGCGGACAGGATTTAGTTTCCTGGACGATGCCGAGCCTGACTATAGCTTCGACGGAGGCGATAACCCCAGCATCACGCGGGGGGTCATCGAGGCGTCGCTGCCACGAGAAACAATCGCTATTAGAAGCAACCCACCCCGGAGAGAAGTCGAAGAAAGAATCCCAGCCATCGCCATGGGCCGTGCCGGAGAGCTCATCCGTCTGCAGAATCTGACTGTCCGTTCGACCCTCGCAGAATGGGTTTGCGCCGACCTCCGCGCTCTGCGTCTCTACATGTGGGACCTTGCCTTACCGCCCCTGGCCAAGATGTTGGCTACACGGTTCCCGCACCTGGAGGAACTGCACCTCGGCTTCTGCCACCCCTATATCCACGACCTGTGCCTGCCCTTCAAGTTCTGGGTCCGTCCAGAGTTCCTCGCGTCGTCCGCCATCTGGGACATCTTTGGGGGTGTCGGCCAAGTGCAACCGGCCAAACTCCGCTTGACCAAGTTGAGGAAGTTGACCTTGCAGCGCTCGGGCATCAGTCGCGTCCAACTGCAGAACTGGATCGAGTGCAATCCGGGCTTGGTCGACTTGAGGATGCACCATGTGGCCGGCGTCGACGCTGCGTTTGTCCAGTGGCTGGGCGTCTATTACGGATCCAATACCGGTGACCACGCTGACCACGCCGACCCTGGCGCCGCCGCACCGGCAAAGCTGACCACCCTGGCTCTCGAAAGCTGCACCTCGCTGTGCCTCGAGACTGTGGATGACCTGGCCTGGCTCGACTCCCTCTTCCCAGCACCAGCACCAGCACCAGCACCAGCACCAGCACCAGCACCAGCACCGGTCACTACAGACAAAGACACGCCTGCTCCTGCTCCTGCCCCGGCATTCAACATCCTATCCTTCCGAGACTCGACACGGGTCTCCAGCTCCGCCTTGATGGCGTACCTGGCGCTCAAGCGCCCGGCAGTGCGACAGGTGACCTTTCCCGACGGCCGTGTCCTGGTCGAGACGACCACCGACCCGGACAACGACGACAACTTTGACCCGGCCGTGTGTTCCTCCCCGGCCTATTCCACGACGCTGATCCACGATGACACGCAGCCGTCGCCGGTCCCGTATCTCCGTTTCCGCCGCTTCCGTCACCGCCTGGCCGGGATGGGGGACGACATCATCGAGCCGGCTCCGCATGTCGCCTGAGCCTGGGCTTGCCCTTGACCCTGCTCTCGCCGGAGGTTATATCTTTGTATCGAAGCAACAATCTCATGTCATCTTGACCCTTTATCGACCAAGTCTCGAGTCTCAGGGAAAGAGGGGGGGGGGGAGGTTGCAACACACACCCCTCTCACACGGAGCACAGAGTAACGATCCATTCATTGTCCCGTCCATACCTTGCCGCCGCTGAGGCACACAAAAGGTCCTTTGGCCTAACACGGGCAGATCCAGTTTGCTTTTTTCATGGTTATTCTTATGTACTCGGGTTCCTATGTACTCGGTTTCCTAGGTAGTCAGTCAGATTTCCTATTGTGCGTTTCGTTTAGTTTAGTCAAAATGCGAGAAATGATGAAAAAGTAGACACTCTACCCTATTCCGTTTTCCCCCTATTTTTTCCTGCCGGGGCTTTCCGGGGTAGGTGTAAAGGGGGGCTGCGGGGAAAGATAACAGGCGTAGTCTAGAAACTCGGGGTTGGTTATTATATTCATTCAGGGTAGGCACTGAAGACAAGTCATCAAGTCATTAAGGGTATAGCTATGGTAAACGCTCATGGTAGCTTGGGGCATCACATCATAGGCACACAGAGCAAGACGTGCCCTACATAGTCATCACAAACAAATCAACCCAAAGCTATTGACTCCGATTTTCCAGCAATCGAAACATGCGGTCCAGCTGCGCTTCAAGCGCGGCCTCGCGCCTTCTACTGTCCTCTTGTTGCCTTGCGAGTTGGTCTTGAAGGGTGGACTCGCGTTGTTTTTGCTCTTCCAATTGCCTCTGAAGTCCCCCCAACTGGCTCTCGAGCGAAGCTAGTTGTTTCCGAAGTTCTCCATTGATACCACCATTCCGTGGCTTCTTGAAGACGCCCTCGCCACCTTGGGGATCTTGGCCAGTCTGTGAAGTCTGCCCGGACTCATCGATGGAGGACGCCGATGGCACGGATGGCGGTGGCACTGGCGGTGCGGTTGGGTCGGGAAGGCGCTCGATTGCCATCTTGATTCGCTGAAGATGCCGACGAGAGAACTTGAGGCATGCGTTGTAAAAGAAATCGTATGGCTTCCAACGATCTTTGCCTCCATCGTTAGTCAAGCTTACACCGCCAATAATTGTCCTATATTTCATGGTACTGAGGTTTGGCAGCTGCTGCGGGGTCTGGCCTTGCGACTCCTGAGGTTTGGTCACCACATGGTGGGCATAAATCCTCACTGTGTTATTGTCGTAAGACATTGACAGCCCAAGAGCTTTGCCATTGAGTTCTTCCAATTGGCCCGCTCTCCGAAAAAGATCGATGACGCCGTCGAGAGCAACGCTCATGCTGTAGACGTTCTGTCGATCGGCGATATCGAGAGGTTGTTTGTCGCATTTGGCTTCACGCGTTATGAATGGGAAGAATATATCATCCCGGGCCATATACTTGGAGGGTGCTCCAATAGTGATGCCTAGTTTCAGAACTTCTTTCCTCGAGAACTTTTCCCACTTGAAGCCAATCGTTGAGTCCGGTTGCGGACATTTCCCGTAGGCCGGGAAAATGGATCGTAGCCACATGTCGCTACATGCTTCGATGAGACCGAGATCTTTGAACTCCTTGTGTCCACGAATTGCTAAAAGCTCGGGCGCCGGAAAGAGGTGTGAATGCATGTTCTTCACCAGCCATTGTTCAGACTTATTGTAAGTCAGTTCGGAGAATGCCATGAAGACCGCGTCATCCAGCATCGAGTTTGGTGGGTGGGGGACGCTCGTAGAAAGCAGCCCTTGACAAAACTCGAGTTCCTCTGCGTCAAGGCCACTGGCGGAGTCCTTCATGTAGGTTCCATGTTGTTCCAGGAGAGTGGGAAAAGCAGGACTACTGTAGAAATTGGACTTTGCGTCGGTAGAAGCGATGCTCTCAAGGTCATCTGCGTACAATGGAACGGAACCTAGTGATTCTTGGGACGGCTTGCGTTTGACCGACGGCATCCCCACCAATGCTTCAGGGTATGGATCAGGGTATGGTTCAATCGGCGGTGGCTGTGGGTCGTCCTCTCCCGAGCCCTCCGTTCCCAACACCCATTCACGGATTTGTGGATTTTGAGATTGGCTTTCAAGGAATGTATAAGATTCTTCGGAGATGGGATCGGCAACACCGCGAAGGTCGGTCGGCGGCTTCTGGGGCGACAATGGGGTATACAGAATCTCCTGTAGACGGTGAGCATGTGTTGCACTCCGAGACCAATATGTGCTTACACCACGTTGGGGCTGACGACCCTCAGATGAGTTGGTGACTTCGGGCGAGGGGAGTTGCTCCTCGACTGCGGGTTGACTCGCGTCGACACTGTCAAGATGTTGTCGTTTCGCAGATGGTTCCGCAAGGGTATTCGAGTCTTCGGCTTCGCAGCGTCGTCGTTTACCTGCGCCCGAGAACATTGACGGACTAGATTGAGGGGGATCCATCTTATGTATTCGAAGAGCCTGGCAATGGCCTTGTGGCCGAATCACCCTTGCTCGCTGACAACTGTGTCAGTCGGGTTGGGTGCCTGCAAAATGAATGGTTGCGCAGTGGGCGCCTGCGGGTTGACATGTTTGTCTGTTAAGTATGAAGTCCGCTGCGTTGTTTAGCGCCACAAACCCCATGTCCCGTGACGCTAAAAGGCTTGGCTTCTCGGCTGGTGCCTGCTTCAGCCTTGCGGCCAGCGCTACCCAAGACACATTCTTTCTTGAACTTGGGCGTGCGTTCGAAGATTAGGGAATGAATGTCCTATCATACTCGGCTGTGGAGTGTGGTTGTAAACATAGAGACCGAGTTATTGTGTAGGGACAATGACACCTGCTAGCCTCATTTCGCGGCGGCTAAATCTTCACATGACTGCAAACTTATCGAACCACGTGATTTCGCGTTGCGCTTCGACGCGACTCGTCCGCAAAATGCATCACCTGCGCACAATGAGGAGCAGCCGCAGACGGCCTCACCAACGCCAGATCCAACCCTCGTCGACGCCAATATCAGCGCCACACCACCCTCCAAGATGGAGGACTCTCTCTACGACGCTACCACACATGTACTCTGCATTCCCAAACTCCCTGCAGCCCTGTCCGTACTGGTTTCGAGACCCCCCGCAGGTAGACGGGAAGACCCAGACAAACAACGAGTGCAGCTCTCGTCACATGCTGACGCATTCGCCAGATCTCTCGGCAAAGAACGCCCGCGGTACGAGAAAGAGGAGGAAAGGGAGAAATTGGGGGGCTTGAGACAGTGTACCTGGACATCCCTGGACAATGTCGTTGGGCGCGAAGAGGATGATCAGCGCCCCGGGTTGTGGCCTGGGAAAAAGAGAAGGCGGAAAATATCGAGAAATGGTGATGATAGTGACGATGAAGATGGACGCCCACAGCTCAGGGGATTGGCAGTGTCTCTAATCTACGAAAAAGATACGTTTCAGTTCATGATATACACTCAGTCGCCAAGATGCAGCCTCTCGAAGCGCAGGCGGATCGCTACTTCGAAACATCAGCCGTCCACCGAAGCGGAAGAAGAGAGCGCAATTCTGCTCTCAAAGGCATCGCCGACAGCTCTAAAATCATTCACAAAATATCTGCAAGACACATTCGCCGTCACCACCATCTATCCGTTTGAGCCATCTTCGAGTCAGATGCAGGTCACGCTCGAAAGGTACCTGGCTACCATCCACAAATCTCTTTCCAGCGCGAGTCCACAAAGCCTCCACGACAGCTTCAGCAGTATCCTGGGGAAAATCGAATTCACCGTCTCTTTCTCCCATCCCGTGGCCACGGGCTTGAGGTCCGTCCACGTAGCCATTCCTGCCACCGCGTTTCTTACCTGGTACAACTCTGTCGAGACTCCGGAGGGAGGGAATGAGAGGGGACAGAAAACATTCTCGGAATCGCTGGCTGGCTGGATCAAAGCCAAGTCAGGCCTTTGCCTACCTGTTTTGCACGAGAAGGACGGCATGATAGCCCAACAACATAACCCTGGGGATGGTGACACGGCGACTGTTGGCAGCGATAATCGCGATGACCCCTCAAATTCCTCCGAGACCTCAAAAGCTCAAGACTCGCCGTCATCAATGACGATGAAAATATCAAGAATCTCAACCGAAGCGTACACCATCTCAGCAGCGTCAGGCTTGAAATTCAAGTCTCGGGCCCTCCACGCCGTCGAGGGTACCAGTGCCGACACGGGCACGGATGCGGACGACAGAGATAACTGCGTCCGACGCGCGAATAGGGGTCTTCTGCTGGCTATCATCGAGTATACGCGCCCCAGCCACGACAAGCAGCAAAGCCACGTCATTGACGGAATGACACTGGCTGACGTCACGTGAGTCTTGACACATGACATAAGAGGACATGATATGAAGCGGCACATTCTAACGACGGTTTGGAGATCATGATGAGAGCGACTTGCTTTGCCCATAGGCACTGAATGATACCTATCTACCTACGGTGTATACAGAATCCCCCATGCACTCTTCCTTGGATTCACAGTAACATGTAGGAACGGTTTGATAGTGTACGAATGAGATACCCCCGAACTCCCCAATCCATCCTACCGTACCCTATTCCACCCTATTCCATCCTGGATATTTTCATCGTTTTAGGTATCTATGCGCTCTTGTCTCCAGCCTGCGCTTCCTGTTCCATATAATTGACAGCGGCTATTCCCTGTTTGAGGAGTGCTACGCGCTCCCCCGGTAGCAAATGACAAATGACAGATTCGGGAGGTAATGGAAGACAACAACAACGGCAGCAGCAGCAACAAAGCGATGTTGTGGGCAAAACAACAACAACAACAGAATCGTTATAACGTTACGTCGTCGAAGAAGAAGAAGAAGAAGAAGAGGGTTCCCTCCAGCTCAGTGTTGGAGGGCAGTGTTTCCTCACGCCTCACTCCTTACTCCTTACTCCGCGAGCCAGCCAGTTCTGACTCTCTGTCTTCAGTGACGGGGTGCGGATCCCCCGCCTCATCCTTTCTCAACAGTCTTCATCTTTCCCGCGCCGATTCCCGTGCCCAAGCCCATGCCCATACCTATTCCCCTACTGGTGCCAAGGTCCGAGTTCTTTCGCTGTGGGCTGTTCACGCCACTCCCCAAGCCGCTGGTGGTGTACAGTCCCTCGAATTCTCCTCGGACCCCGTCTACCAGTTTGCTCACGGCGTCGATCTCGGCCGACAGATCCTCCACATTCCCTGCCAGGGCCGCCACCTCGTCGAATTTCCTCCGGCGGTTGGCGTCGGCGATCATCTCTTGCACGAGAAACCTCTGTTCCTCGAGGACAATCAGGCGCTCGCGGAGAGACTTTTCTTCCGCTTCGAGCTCGGATATCCGCGCTGAGTTGGTGGTGGCAAAAGACGCGACGCTGAGTGCGGACGACGAGTCCTTCCTCTTGTGGTGGACGCCGTTCAAGATCGCCAGGGAAGAACGAGGGTTGGGGTTGTTGTGCAAGTCCGCTGGTCTTGCGCTGCTGCCATGCGGTGTGGCATGTTTCAAAACCTTCGGCAGCGACTTCAAAGGTAGCATGTGGAGATGGAGAAACTGTGTGGCGTTTTGGTAGATGGCCTTCTGGAGTTTGAGTTGTGTCGGTGACGGGCTAGGCATGTCCCGTATGCGTCGAGCTGCGGTGTCGTACTGGGTGAATGAGTCCATGAGTCGCTTGCGCGTCCGCGACGCATCGGTGATTTGGCTTGACGACGGAGGATTGTCGGGGTCTTGGAGAGCCTGGAGAAGTTTTTGAAATTTTGGGAGCAGAAGCCGGATACCCCGTTCAAATTGAAGAAGATTGGTGTAGGATCGGGTGAAAGCCTCGACAGAGGGCGAGGTTAGAGAGGCTTGGAAGTCCCTGCGTGAGAAGATCGTCTGATTGCACTCTTTGCAGAGACGGACGTCCACAGCTACGGTGTCGTTGGGTGCGGGCTTTTCTGTGATGGTGATGTGGGTGTTAGCTGTCAAGTTTGATATCAGTATGTCAAAAAAAGAACAAAGTAGTGAAAGGGGGAGACGTACTAGTAGCCACATCGAGGCCGATGACGATTGAACATCCAGTAGCGGCGTCACCACAGACGACCTTCCCGCAAGTTCTGCAGTGATGTCTCCGGAAAGAGTACTGGCTGAAGTCTTGTTGGCAGTACGGACATCTCGGGACGTCAGTGTCGTTCTGCCAGGGCACGATACTTTGCTCAAGAGCCTTTCGAGGATCGGTTGGGACCCAATTCAACGACCATCTCTTGTTATTCGTCGGCTGCGGGATCTCGTCCGGAGGGTTGGCCAGGATTTGCGTCAACCTTGATAGCCTTTTCTCCAGCCTGGACGTCTCCATCTCTTTATGACTGAGCTTACTTCGCCTGACGCTTTCAAACTCGCTCATTCTGTCTCGTTCTAGACCATGCCGGTCTGTGTAACCCTCCCGGCTTTTGTAGCATGTCTCGCACACTCGGTACCAGAGTCCTCGGACAGGCTCATGCTGTGCAGATCTCGATAGCTTCATCTGATACATTGTATGCTCCTCGCAGAAAAGCTTCCCACAATGTCGACAGTTGACAGCTCCTACCGTCGAACCAAGCCTCTTCTCGCATGTTGGGTCCGAGCACACATCGAAAGCAGTCCGCTTTTGCCAGTGTTGCTTCGTGATAATGTCCTCCGGATCGAGGACTGATGGTGTGGGTTTCGGAGGCAAAGGCGGAGCAGGAGAGTCTCTACTATCTCTTAAGACGGCCTCACTTCTCGGTGTAGGGGTACTGCTTCGGACGATGTCCTGGTTCGACTCAAAGACATCTAGCCCCTTGAGTTTCTGATTCAGGACCGCCAATGGCTGGAATCTCTTTGCCTTCACCATTTGTTGTTTAAACCAGTCTTTGACCTCATCCTGTTGCTCTTCTTCAATCTCTTTATGCGCATCATCCAGGTGTCTGTTCAGTTGCAGCAAGGTGACCATCTCCTCGTTGCAGATGGGACAGACCAAGCGGTCTGTTGCGGCAGCCGCAGCCGCAGGTGTAGACAGATCGGGTGCTCCATGGTCGAGGGATACTCGGGATGCGATGTCTTGGGGATCGGACGACGGAGGGGTAGAGGCGCCGCTCTCAGAGGTATTCAGAGAGAGGCTCGAAGCGGAGGGGGACAGGACATGGCTGGGAAGAGGCGACGTCGACTTTGGAGGAGGCGGCGGCGGAGGTCCAAGAGTCCTACTACTTCCCAAGACCCTTCCACCGCCGATAGTGCGCCGTGACATTGCACCGTTGTTGGGCTTCCATCAAGTGGCTGGAATGGCGGAAAGAGGCAGCAAGATAGAGGGGCGGAACCTCGAGGGCGTTTACTTGGCGGAGGGAGGCGGAGACGACAGGAGTAACGTGTGGCTGGATTGCTTAGTCATCCACTTCGGGCGTATATAACCAGTACAAGGACTTCAGTGTGTCAGTTCAGCCTCGCAATTCAACGCCTACACATCATTTCACGTCCAGCCAGCCTCCTGCACCGTTAATTCATCAAGTCTATCTGTCACAAGGTGTGCCGAGGTCCCTGGAAAAGTCCTACGTTCCCCATACTACAGTCATACATCATCAATCATGCACTCTTCCCAGCGTCCTCCTTCAGACTGACGATTCTGTTGAGCACAATCTTCCCCGCAGCTTCATCCGTGTCCTTGTCCATACAGAAGTATCCTGTTCGCATTGCCTGGAACCTGACCGATTCAAACCCGCATTTATCCTTCTTTTCTCCAGCTTCTTCTGGCCACGGGGCTCGATCCCAGATCTCTTTCAATCCAACTTCCGCCATAGCATTTGGATACACTTTGAGACTGTCTTCTCGTAAGTCTGCCATGAAACTCGGCTCCACCGCGTCCGGATTGTCTGATTTGAAAAGAGGGTTGAAGACGCGGACTTCACACTTGATAGGTGAACCGTGCCCTGGAGCATCAGCGACCCAGTGGATGTAAGCCTTAGGCTTCTTGGCTTTCTCGCCTTCAGCCGGTTTGTCGTACTTGGCATGTATCTCGGTAACTAGACCGGTGGTCTCATCCTTCTTGAAGCTGGTAGCAATGACGGGATAAGGCACCTTCAGTAGACCTACTGGTTTTCCGGGTGCCATGCGGAAGAAGTCTTTGCTGTCCACCTCTCTGAAGTCATCACGCTCGATATAGACCTTCTTGGTGAAGGGTAGCTTGTGAGAACCCATGTCGACATCTTTCGGGCCAAAGGCATTTTCCAACTCCTCGTAGTGATCGTCAGGGAGGTCATCAATGATGACAGGAACGGGATCGAGTACGAGCATGAGACGAGGCACTGTCATTTCCAAATATTTGCGGATTGACTGTTCGAACCGGACGATTTGAATATTGATAGTAGCCGTTGTAACCCCGAGCTCGCTCACAAATGACAGGATTGCACCAGGCGGAACGCCTCTTCTCCGCAACGCGACGAGAGTGTACAATCGGGGATCATCCCAGCCGGCGACAATCTTCTCGTCCACTAGCTTTTTGATTTTTCGTTTCGATAAGACAGTGCCCGTAACATTCAAGCGACCATATTCTCTCTGCATTGGCTTGTGAGGAACATCGACCTTGTTGTTGAGCCACTCGTACGATACGCGAGACAGGATGAATTCAGTTGTGCACAGCGAATGAGTAATGCCCTCGAAACTGTCGCACAGACAGTGGGTAAAGTCGTAGGTTGGGTAGATTCTCCATTTGTCGCCCGTCCGATGATGTGGCTTCTCGAGGACGCGGTAGGCAACCAGGTCCCACATTTGAGGATTGCCGTCCGAAAGATCCTGTTTCATCCGCAAAAAGGCTTCTTTCGGTTTGTATTTGCCATCTCTCATGGCTCGAAATTCGGCCAGCGATTCTTCAACGGGTCGACTGCGATGGGGGCAAGCGTATCTTTCATGTTTGTTCTTCGGATCTGTGCCGCCTCGCTGATCTTTGAGCTCCTCGTCGGTACAGTGGCACACATACGCGCCGTCCAGAGTGATAAGCTTTTCGGCCAACTCGTACAACCGATCGAAGAAGTCGCTGGAGTAAGTGATCAAAGCGGGGCTGAAGCCCAGCCAGCGCACGATATCCTCAATGGCGGTAAAGTAGATTTCTTCTTCCGCTTCGGGGTTTGTGTCGTCGTACCGCAAATTACACTTCCCGCCGTGGAATCTGGCGAATCCAAAATTGATCGCGATGGCTTTGCTGTGCCCGATATGGAGATAGCCATTCGGCTCGGGGGGGAAACGTGTGACTACTGGTTCATCTGCTGGTCGTTCCTTTCGGACCGCTGCCAGCCAGCCTTCTTTGAACATGGCATCTGGGTCGGTCGGTGCTGATGGCGCAGCATTTGCAGGCTTTGGGGGCTTTGCAGATTTTGCCGATTTCTCTGTGGGTGGTTTTGCCTCCTTTGGCGGTTTGGGTTGCTTGGGCGCTTTTTCTTTCTTGGGCTTCTTGTCTGGGATCGCGTTTTCAACCTTGTCCTTTATACGCTCCGGCAAGCTCATGCTTGCTTCCGCAGACTCAGCCATAAGGCTGAAGGATGAGTCGTATCTGAGATTGTCCAAGTCGTTCGGTGAGATTTCTTGAAAGGTGCGACACGTGAGATGAGATGAAATCCAATAATGGGAGTGGCACCACGTCTCGCACAATATACCAGGCAAAGTTGTCCTTTCAGCACTCGACAAAATGAAGAAAGATGTCGTAAAACGAGAATGATCCGGAAGATTCGAGTTGGTCAGGTTGGTTCGGCGTGGTGATTCAAGGCTGATGGTGGATGAGTCAAGCAGGGCGGATTATCACAAATATGCAAACATGCCAAGCAAACACAGCAAACATTTGCTGAGTGGCGTATGATCACGTGATGAGGTCCCGGTTCCGACGTTGCCTGCGGAGCGTCGCATCTTGTTCGAATGCCGCCAACTTTTTTTGATAGGACACTGTGTCCAAGGTCTTTGTCCGCCAACACGCCATCTGCCATATTCTTCTACACCGTCGAGCTCTTGATTGATGCTCGCCATGGCGCAAAAATCGTATGTACTAGATCACAGTCCGCTCTCCTGATCGCATCTCCCCACTGACGCATTCCAGATCGAAACTCGTGGATAACGACCAGATCCAAACGGCGAGCCTCCACAACCCCTTGCCGGTCTTCCTCAAAGCCTACGTATGGCCTTTCACTATCCTATGGCCGATCTTCTTTGCATTCTACCTAAACGAGGACCTTTACGATGATTATATCGATGGCTCGGAATGGACATTTGTCTATGTCGCAACAATCGTTACACTCCAATCTTTGACTTGGCTCTCAACAAAATGGAGTGTTCACTTGAAGACTGTGTTCACCATGACCAAAGCTACAAAAGTCGAGGAGGCCAAGTTGATTAAGGTCATTCCCGTGGTTAACTCGGGTGCATCAGCGATCTGCAAATTGGAGCGGGAGCCGGACGGAAGAACCTCGTTCCTTTTTCAGAAGAGACGATTTCTCTACTCACCAGAAAAGGGAACCTTCGCACCTCTATCCTATGCGCTTGATGCCGAGAAGAAGCCCTTCCTCCGAGAATTTCAACTATCGCGGGGTCTTACCTCTGACGCCGAGATTGAGACGGTCCACAAACATTATGGAGACAATACATTTGACATACCTGTTCCAACATTTACGGAGCTGTGGAAAGAGCATGCTGTCGCGCCATTCTTCATTTTCCAAGTATTTTGCGTTGGTCTCTGGTTGCTCGATGACTATTGGTACTACTCGCTGTTCACGCTGTTCATGCTTGTAGCTTTTGAGAGCACAGTGGTCTGGCAAAGACAGCGGACATTGAATGAGTTTCGAGGAATGAGCATCAAGCCGTATGATATCTGGGTGTACCGTGTCAACAAGTGGGTCGAGATCAAGAGCGACAAACTGCTACCCGGCGATCTCGTGTCGGTGGGGCGAACACAAGAAGATTCAGGAGTTGCCTGCGACATGCTTCTTATTGAAGGGACTGCCATTGTGAACGAGGCTATGCTGTCGGGAGAGAGCACGCCACTTCTCAAGGAGTCAATTCTTCTACGCCCCGCAGACGCGACAATCGAACCAGAAGGATTGGATAAGAATGCTTTTCTCTGGGGAGGTACAAAGGTCCTTCAGATAACCCATCCCGCGGCCAGCGAGGAAGCACCGGAAGCCGTTCCGCAGTTGCGCTCGGGTGTCCCTCCACCACCTGACAATGGTGCCATGGCGGTTGTGCTCAAGACCGGGTTCGAAACCAGTCAAGGAAGTCTCGTGCGGACCATGATCTACTCAACAGAGCGTGTCTCTGCCAATAACGCCGAGGCCCTGATCTTCATTCTCTTCCTTCTGATCTTTGCGCTTGCGGCCTCGTGGTATGTGTGGCAGGAAGGGGTCAAGAACAACAGAAAGCGATCCAAGCTCCTGCTCGACTGCATCCTGATCGTCACAAGTGTCGTGCCGCCTGAACTGCCTATGGAGTTATCCTTAGCGGTCAACACCAGCCTGGCAGCGCTCAGCAAATTTGCCATCTTCTGCACAGAACCCTTCCGAATCCCATACGCCGGACGTGTGGACGTCGCTTGTTTCGACAAGACTGGGACGTTGACCGGCGAGGATCTCGTCGTTGATGGTATCGCCGGTCTTGGCCTGGGGAAGAAGAGTGCCCAAATCGAAGCGGACGGTGCGCAGTCCTCAGTCACCAAGGTCCCAGACTGCGGCATTCATACCACACTGGTTTTGGCAACCGCTCACGCCTTGGTCAAACTGGAGGAAGGGGACATTGTCGGTGATCCTATGGAAAAGGCCACACTCAACGCTCTAAACTGGACCCTTGGCCACAACGACACTTTGATCAGCACTCCTCCGCCCAAATCGAAGAAACCCAAACCATTCTCGACAGCGGGTGCCTCGCATGTCGTTCAAATCAAACGACGGTTTCAATTCTCGTCGGCTCTCAAGCGTATGAGTTCTGTGGCTACAGTTCTGATGACTGATCCCAACTCTGGTCGGAAGGCGAAGGGCACTTTTGTGGGTGTCAAAGGCGCTCCGGAAACTATCCAAAAGATGCTCGTTGAGACACCGCCAAAGTATGAGGAGACGTTCAAGTACTTTACACGCAACGGAGCCCGGGTGCTAGCTCTTGGGTACAAATACCTCTCGACCGAGGCTGAGATAGGCCAGAAGCGCATCAATGATCTCAAACGCGAAGAGGTCGAGCGTGATCTACACTTTGCGGGTTTCTTGGTTCTTCAGACTCCCCTAAAGGAAGATGCGATCAGGGCCATTCAGATGCTGAACGAGAGCAGTCACCGCGTTGTGATGATCACCGGAGACAACCCGCTGACCGCTGTTCATGTTGCCAGAGAGGTCGAGATCGTCGACCGCGACTGTTTGATTCTGGATGCTCCGGAGCACGATGACTCGGGGACCAAACTCGTCTGGCGCAGCGTTGACGAGAAAACCATCATCCCTGTTGACCCCACGGCCGATCTGGATCCGAAGATTCTTGAGACCAAGGACTTATGCGTTACTGGTTATGCACTTGCCAAATTCAGCGGCCAAAAAGCATTCATGTCGTTGCTGAGACATACCTGGGTCTACGCCCGAGTCTCGCCGAAGCAGAAGGAAGAGATTTTGATCGGTCTCAAAGACCAAGGCTACACTACGCTGATGTGTGGCGACGGGACGAACGATGTCGGCGCGCTGAAGCAGGCCCACATTGGCGTGGCTCTCCTCAATGGCTCCCAAGACGCCCTCAACAAGATCGGTGAACATTTCCGGACCACGAAAATGAAGGAGATATATGAAAAGCAAGTGCAGCTGATGCAAAGATTCAATCAGCCGCCTCCGCCGGTGCCCATCGGAATTGCACACCTCTATCCGCCTGGCCCGCGAAATCCTCACCATGAAAAGGCAGTCAAGAAAATCGCCGAGCAAAAAGGTATCAATCTGGAGAATGGCGACGCTGAGAATGGCACTGTGGAGACCATCACCTCACCTGGTGCTCAAGCAATCCAACAGTCGAACGCCAACTTGACACCCCAGCAACGACGCCAACAAGAAGCACAACAGAAGGCGGCAAACTGGGCGGACAAGTTTACCTCTAGCATGATGGAAACTGAACTTGATGATGGCGAGCCACCTACAATCAAACTGGGTGATGCCTCCGTTGCAGCTCCGTTTACCAGCAAGCTGGCCAACGTTATAGCAATCCCCAACATCATCCGGCAGGGTCGATGCACCCTTGTGGCGACCATTCAGATGTACAAGATTCTCGCTCTCAACTGTTTGATCAGCGCCTACAGCTTGTCTGTCATCTACCTGGCAGGCATCAAGTTCGGCGATGGTCAGGTGACCATCAGCGGAATGTTGATGTCCGTGTGCTTCCTTTCTATCTCCCGGGCCAAACCTGTGGAAGCGCTTTCGCGAGAACGACCACAGCCGAACATCTTAAATGCCTATATCCTTGGATCGGTACTCGGGCAATTTGCAATCCACTGCGCGACTCTGATCTATCTTTCCAACGTTGTCTATTCAATCGTCCCGCCATCCGATGAGATCGACCTCGAAGGCGAATTCGAACCTTCGTTGCTCAACAGCGCCGTCTATCTCATGCAACTGATCCAACAAGTGTCCACCTTTGCAATCAATTACCAAGGACGGCCTTTTCGCGAAAGCATCCGGGAGAACCGAGGTATGTACTGGGGACTTTTGGCGTGCTCGTTTGTGGCCTTTGCGGGAAGTACCGAGTTCTTGCCGGAGCTCAGCGAGAAGTTACGTTTGGTGCCGTTCACCAGCGAGTTCAAGTGGGCCCTGACAACTCTGATGGTTGCTGACTTTGTGGGATGTTGGATTGTGGAGCAAATATTCAAGTACTTGTTCAGCGACTTCCGTCCCAAGGATATTGCCATCAAGCGACCCGATCAGGTTGAACGAGACGACAAGCGCAAGAGGGAGCTCGCGGCAAAGGCGGAGCAGGAACGGATCGAGGAGATTGAGAGGAAGCGGGGTGTGGCCAACAACACAGCTCCGCCAACGACGACCAAGGGGGCAAGATAGGCGCAGGCGCTTGTGACATTTGTGATATAGAATAGAGAAGCATGACAGGTGTATCTGTTTCCGATTGAGGTTCCATTCATGCTTTTACAAGGTGGGAGGTATGGGACCGAGAAGCCAGATAGTCAAGGATGATACAGGGTCGTGCCTCATTAATAGACTGGCACAACCCAGCAGAGTCCAGCAGAGAATAGACAAGACAGACAGACAGACACGAGTCACATCGGTAATCCCATGCTCAATCTCCAGCGTTGCCTCCCTTCTTGGTCAAGCCTCGCTCGCTAGCTCGCTGGCTCCTCTGGTTTCTTCGGTCAAACGGTTTTTGTTCCCAATGACACCGTCTGTTCCTCACGTGATCACCGCCGTCCTGGGCGTCTATATCAACCACCAAGAACTAAACGATCCGATAACCAACCTCGCCGCGACAGCGCATGATCATCCTCCCCTGCCCGGGCAGGCACACATACTCGACATCTCCTCGCATGGGAACCTCACTCGCTCCGTGGGTGATCATCGCTCGAATCGTGGAGGGAGGTGTACCCTATCCGGACCGAGTCACCTTGATGTGACTTTGCCCATCCATGATCATGGTCTGTTTGACGGCTTTCTCCCTTCTCTCCGTGTAGCGTAGTAGCCGGGGTGGTATTGACCCGTGGAATTTTATGACCTGTCTCATAACCTATGTCCCCGCCTCTTGCTCTTCCCTCTCTCGTGGGCGCGCGCGCTTGATATACATACATATATATATATATATATGGATCAGGATGGACGGAGTAGCCCCCATCTGACTCTTGTTTCGCCTCGTCTTTCTAGATCGTCTTGTTGAAGTGATAATAGTTGCTGTTGCTGTTGCTGTTGCGTCAAGGGCGTCAACATGGCCAGTGAAGCGTGTTGTCTCTCCTTGGGCTCTGACGGCACATCGTCGCTTGAAGCCTCTGGCAACGGTAGCGCGGGGATGTGATCTCTGTCGAGCGCGGCGAAACCGCCCACCATCTGCACCACGGGGGTCGAGGTCGACACGTGGAGGGTCGGTCCGATGGTGCAGGGCGGGAGGATGCAGGAGGAGAGGGGCCTCTCGATGCCGTCGAGCGAGGGCATGATGTCGTCGTACAGGTCCGGGAAGAAGTCGAAGAACCTCAGGTCGACCTTCCACATGTCGATGTTGTGCACCTGGTTCAGAAAGAGGCCGGAGAGCGCAAAGAGGCCCGTGTCCGCGTCGAGCTGGACCGCCTCGGTCGGGTGGTACGGCCAGTGGAAGCGGAAGCGGTGGACGAGGTCCGTCCAGAACTGGTTCTGGCGGGTCAGCCCTTGGGCGTGGACGGCCCGCTCCCGCACGCCGGGCCAGGGGAGCACGTCGACCGCGAGGGCGTGCCGGATGGTGTGCTGCGAGGGGCGCGGCCGGTACCACGCCGGCAGGTCCCGAAAGGAGCGGGCGCCCACGAAGCACAGTAGCATGGCGTGTGTCATGCGCAGCGTGCACAATCGCGTCATGAACCCGCTCTTGCAGAAGATGCGTCGGTCGAGGTAGTGCAGAAGGCTCCACAGAGGGCACAGGGCGCCCGCCCCGCCGTACTGCATCAGGACATCAGGCCATCCGTTGACGAGGGCCCGCACCAACATGTCTTGGTTCAGGGTGTCGTCTGTCGACACTTGAAACGCTGACAGTCGGCGCGCTTGGGAGATGACAAGGTTGAAGATCTCTTGACAGCTCGTCGCCGAGGTTGGAGGAGGCGTTAATTGCTCGGTTCCGTGGTAGTTGTGGTGGTCGCCACCACCATGGATGCTTCGCCATCGGATGCCGCCCGAGTCGGCATTTGCAAAGTCGACCGAAGGCCGTAGGTCCAGGTCGGCAAGTTCAATGGGAGACGAGGCAATGACGGCGAGCGGATCATGGAGCTGAGAAGCTGGCTGACCCGAAGGAGGATGAAGGGGCGAGCAGGGACTCGTAAGGCAATCTTGTGCCTCGGGCCCCTCTCGCCGCCTGAGCACCTCGATCTCGGCCTTTAGAAGCTCGATTTGGGACTCGAGGCTGGCGGTGCGGGCAGCAGCTTGGTATCGTCTGTTGCGGTGCGAAGCTCGGTTGGCAGCTCTCTTTCTTTCGCGCTGTGCGGGGGTGAGAATCCGTCCGCCGGCCCACGGTTTTGCCGAGCGGGTATGGGGCAAGTCATTCATTGCTGTTCGGGGAGTGTATGGCTAAGGACAAGAAGCAGAAGGGAGAAGGGGGGTGGAGTGATGGAGGGAGGAGAGAAGAAGGTGTGGAGAGTCGGAGAGTTTTTGGATGAAATTGATAAAGACATTGAAACAAGCCTCGGATTCGGGCTTCCCCGCGATTTCGGGCGCCAAACCCCCACAACGGCGCCACCTTGGGTGCTTTTGGTTGAGCAACGCTGACCGGCAGTTTGAGTAGCAGCCGTTAGCGCCGTGTAGCGTTTGGATTGGTTGATTGGTAACTAGTCTTGCTAGTCAATTAGTACACGGCTAGAAAATCTCGCCTGCTTCCATTCCCGCTCGACCATGTATCCGCTTACGAAAGTGGACATGACGAAATGTCCCTAAACCACAGTGGAGAGCCTCTCAAACTCCCGAATCGTCCAGTCGAACACATTATCATACTTGAAGCCTGATTTGCCAAAGAGTCGACCAAACAATCGTCCGAGGTACTTGTAGTCGGGCTTCTCCTGGTCCTCTAGTCCACGAATGTAGCTCATGTATGTCGCAAACTCGGTGGGGAGGCCATGGCATAGTTCCGCCACCGCAATCGCCTTTTTCCGTTCGTAGACAAGCCTATGCTTTTCCTTCCGGTTGGGTGCTTGCAGACCTTGCCAGGGAAGAGAGCCGTGAAGGAAATACAAGGCCATGTACCCTAGTGACTCAAGGTCATCACGCCACGCTGGAGCTGCACAAAGCGACTAGTATTAGCTTGTCGAACCCCGTACCGGAATGCTTCACCGCACTTACCGACATTCAAATGGCCATTGATGCTGGCGTAGTTGCACGTGCCTACCAAGACGATCTCGGGGTGACTTCCCGGCTTCTGACTGGTGATTTGGGAGGGCGAGTCACTTTGAGGGGTCGCAATTCCAAAGTCAGTCATGTATACTACGTTACCCTGATTGCCAGTGCCCAATAGGAAGTTTTCGGGCTTGATGTCGCGATGGAGGTATCCAACCGCATGGAGGCTTTCAATCCGCCGGATCAGTTGGTCCATCAGCATCAATGTTGTCTTGAGTGAGAATTTCTTGTCGCAGTATTGAAAGAGATCCTCTAGGTTAGGTCCCAGAAGGTCGAACACAATCGCCTGGAATTCACCGTGGGAGCCGTGCCAGAGTAACCGAGGGATGCCACGTTTTGCCCCCAGCTGCTTATAGATTTCAATCTCTTGCTTGAGAAGCGATGGATCGATCGAACAGTGCTCAAGTTTAATAGCCACCACATTGCCCTTGGGGACGTCGCACCCTGTGTGAATCAGTCATGATCAGATGTTTTATCGTGGCTCGGAGGACAATCGTACCCATGTATACCTTTCCAAACGAGCCTGATCCTATACGTCGACAAATCTGATACCTCCCACCGAGGTGTATCTCGAGAAAGTGTTGGATGAATGGGTCGGTATCCATCGGAGGGTGCTACCAGAAGAAATTATACTGTAAGGACACCGTGGGACATCAAAGGACATCAACAAGGGATGACTGGGTGGCTCGCTCGGCTAACATGCCCTCCTGCGGAGACGATACATATTTGGCCTCCCTTGGCCTCCCCGGTTACCAACGAAGCCTTGGAAGGACTGTTGTACATTCCACGGCTAACTTCAGAACTGAAGACAAACAAATCAATCTGGCCGTAGCTGCCTACCTTTCTTCACCAGCTTCCTCAACCGCTGCCCTTCAACACACCATGCTTGTCCCCAATGGAAGCCTTCCTGCAAAGAATCGGCGGCGAAATACTCTCAGATCTCCTCGAAAAGCTGAAGACTCCCCTTCCTCGCTGCGGCGAAAGAAACGCACATCAGAAGCCGAAGAATACCAGTGGCCTACTACGGGTTTCTGGAATCGGCTGTCCAAGGTCCATCTAAGTGGAGCAGCATTGAGAGAATTCGACTCCAGAAGGTTGAGGGCCGGAGTACCAGTGCTAACGCCCCAACTCAACGTTGACATTTCAAGGCCTAGGACCAAGAGCGTGGTGCGTTTTGCACTACGCGGCGGACCTGATTTAACCCATATCCGAGGAGTGAGTTCCGCTTGTCCATCTATTGCCAGTCCGATATTAACAGTGGCCTCGTGTAGTATGCAAGTCTAGCTGACCAGGACGACACAACGACCCGACGCAATACCAAGCGAAAGCGTCCGCACGCATCTACCGACAAAGGTACAACCTGCAAGCCGATGACTGTCCACGATTCCAATTTCGGACAGGCCCTGATCGACGCTGGTATCAACCAACCTAGTCGAACTATACAACCCAACAATGTGGGAGATATCAGAGCAGACATGGCCAAGCGCCGGCCTTCCTTGTCTCCTCAACGCTTCAGTGACAAGGATTTCGCAGACTTCCAAGATCTTTGTGACTTAGTGAGCGATGAAGCAACTACACGGGCTCAGGTTATGTCCATCATTGCCGGTAAACCGAGGAAAGACCATTATAACGCAGCGGAGCGCGTATTTAGCCACCTAGAGCCGCTCGCCGAAGAGCTACCCAGACCCAAGCCAGACCTGTATGACGGCGCCTTCCCCCGGCAAATCAATCTGAAGATCCGCCACGATCTCGGAGGACGCATTGTCCCATCCAACGATACATCACTACCCGCGGCACCGAACTTTTTCTTGGGGGTTAAAGGCGAGAGTGGTCGTGCCGATGTAGCAAGGCGGCAAGCCCGTCATGACGGGGCGGTCGGCGCCAGGGCGATGCACAGTCTTCAGAATTACCAATCGGACGAAATCAAATACGATGGCAACGCGTACAGCTACTCAGCCGTTTACCTTCAAGGAGGGGCCGTACTGAGACTATACAGTCACCATCTAACAGCGCCTAGAGCCCCTGGAGAACCCGTTGAGTATCATATGACACAACTTCGTGGGTACGAATTGTCCGACAGCATCGAGACTTTCAGAACAGGAGTCACTAGTTTCCGCAACCTCCGAGATCGGGCTAAAACAGTGCGAGATGAATTCATCGCTCACGCAAATCAGATAGCCCGAAGCGCACCTGTGGATAGTCCGTCAACCACCTTGGCAGACAGTTGTACGTCTCTGCAAAGTATCCAAGAAGATGAATTTGATGCTTCTGTCGATGAACCCGCCGCCAAGAGGGCGAAATGTGCTACTCCTGAGCATTCCAGTGCAGGTTCAGAGCAAGGACTAAAGGGTGGACAGAGTCGGAGGCAAACCAAGCCTACGCGGAAGGTCCTTCCTAACAAGCACACCGGAAGGTTGCGTCCGAGACAATGAGGTGGTCTACAAGTGCCTGGCATGATGGGTGAGTCAGGGAGCCTTGGCCTTCCACTTTTCGTCCTGGAAGCCATATGTAGACCTTATATAGGGGTCAAATTCAGGTTGACTGGCCCGATTTCCGTGAATATGTTCCTTCAGGCCCCAACACGTACCCGAAAAATTTCACCCCATACCCAGTCTAATAACTTGTCAAGTCCGTGGAGCGCTTCTCTCCATAACCACCTGTGCAACTTATAGATTCTGCTTTGTATCTACTGATAACTGAGTTACTCAGTGCAGTCTTGTTCGTGTAACCCATCACGTGCCAGTCGGGGGATTGGGGTTGTTCTCGGTCAACCTTCCACCTGAGTTAGCGCCAACGCTAGTCTTCTTTCGGCCCTACAGAGGTATGACACATTATGAACAATCTTCTTATCAATGGAGGAGGCAACTCGATAACACTCCCTTCTCTCTTCAACGTCGCTCTTGTTGCAAAGAGGGTTTTGTTGGGTGATACAACCCGACTCTGCCGATCCCTGTTGACTCAAGCACAGCGCGTTATTGCGGACTGCCGGTTGGAGCCACCCGGCTGATCTCGGAAGATTTTCTTTTCTCAGCCCCAAAAATCAAACAGAGTCAGCATTGAGAACCGCACGGGATTACAGCAATGTCTTCGAAGAAGAGATGCGGTATGAAGTACCATTACACTAGTCACTGCCAAAGACAGTGGACGACTAACACTTCCTAGGTGTCTTGGGGGCGACTGGAGCGGTGGGGACGCGGTTCATTCTCCTGCTCGCTCAACATCCGCTGCTAGAACTGGTAGCTGTAGGAGCTTCGGAGAAGTCGGCTGGTCAAAAATACTCTGATGCCGTGCGTTGGAAACAGTCGACCCCAATGCCCGCACACGTCGCCAGTATGACCGTCCGACGCTGCGTTCCTGCCGAATATCCAGATTGCGACATCATCTTCTCCGGCCTGAATGCTGATGTGGCTGGTGACGTTGAAATGGCCTTTCTCAAATCAAACTTCGCCGTCTTTTCAAATGCCAAAAACTTCCGATTGGCCCCTCAGGTTCCGCTGATTGTTCCGCTGGTCAACCCAGGACATATCGAGACGATCCCAACACAGCGTCGGCATTACCAACTAGACAAAGGCCTTCTTGTGTGCAATTCAAACTGTGCCGTCATCGGACTCGTTGTCCCCGCCGCGGCTCTCATTCAAAAGTTCGGACCTATCGACACAGTGAGCATGGTGACTATGCAGGCAGTCTCGGGAGCGGGATATCCTGGCGTTAGCAGTAAGTGGATCAATAAGCCTTGCCGCCCATGAATCGCACAAGGGCTGGTTATCTAGTTTCACTCATTCACAGCTGACCGCCTCAGGCATGGACATCATTGACAATATCGTTCCCTACATCCCAGGCGAGGAGCCCAAGGTTCCAGCTGAAGCTCGCAAGATTTTGGGCAGTTTGAGTGCGGACCTGTCGGCATTTGTCGACCAACCTCTCCGGGTTTCCGTCGCCTGCAACCGTGTCCCGGTGCTTAACGGCCATACAGTGTGTGTGTCGTTACGATTCGCAAACCGACCCCCTCCGTCCGTGAGCCAGGTCCGCGACGCAATGAAAGAGTACAGTTCGGAGGTGCAACTCCTCGGATGTCCCTCGGCCCCGAAACAGGCCATTGTCGTTTTGGATGAGGCCGATCGACCGCAACCTCGCCTTGACATTGAGACAGAAAGGGGATATGCGTGCAGCGTAGGCAGAATCAGGGAAGACGAAAGCGGCATCTTTGACATTCAGTTTGTCGCCCTGAGCCACAACACAATCCTGGGAGCTGCCGGATCCTCCATTTTGAATGCTGAGAGTGCAATTCTGAAAGGCTACATCTAAGTTTTCTACCTCGGAGTACTCACCAGGTTGTTGAGTCTTCGCCTTTGAATGTGGTGAGAGGAAACGAGAGAAGACAGCCTCATCTTGGACTTGTAGATGCAAGGAAAAGTATCTGTATGAAAAAGCCTTGGTCGAATGTGCCGCTAATGAAGTGATTCTCCGCTATGAGAGCCTCGTGATGGTTGCTTTCGACTCATTCCCTGCTAAAATTTGACGGATGGCATCCACCTTTTGCTTTTGGGTGCCTCTGTAGATCCAATGGTGTCCATTCTGCAAAGGCTGCAGAGCTTGTGAGAAGTTATGGGACGAGTCCATCACGTGATATGCCAAGAAACGCAGCGTCAAGGTGGCTCGATTTGCCGCACGTGCCGTTCCATTGTTGGCGGTGAATTTTCCCGCCAACCGGTTCTTGGTCCTTTTTTCTACCATCCTGTGGCCTTGCTTGTGACCTGCGGATAGGCAAGATGGCAATCAAGTGAGGTCCCGAGACTCTCACTCTGTGGGAGTACCAGGTATACTGACGCATGGTAGATATCTCATCCTGCTCTCCCGTCAGGGCAAAGTGGTACGGCCGACATCCATGCTCTGAGTAGTCACCCACCTAGGTTCGTTTCGCTGACTTCAATCCCGTCGACGCCTTTCAGAGACTGGCAAAATGGTTCACCACCCTCTCCCCGAAAGATAAGGCGAAAATTATCAAGGACGTCTCTCAGCTGGTTCTGGCTCGACGGACTCGAATGTGCAATTTCCTCGAGTACAAGGGTGCGGATTTCCCGTTCCTGAACCTGTCTGCTTCATTTTCCGTTCCCTTCCTCTCCTCGGTCTCAGGCTGACCACCATGCCCCGTCGTTGCAGACACAAAAATTGTCTATCGCCGCTATGCGTCCCTCTTCTTCATCGCCGGTTGTGACTCCACGGACAACGAGTTGATTACCCTCGAGATCGTTCACCGCTACGTCGAACAGATGGATAAATACTATGGAAACGTGTGTGAACTGGACATAATTTTCAACTTCCAAAAGGCCTACTTTATTCTGGACGAACTCCTCCTGGCTGGAGAGATGCAGGAAAGCAGCAAGAAAAATGTGCTGAGGTGCATCAGTCAGGAGGATAGTCTTGAAGATATGGAGGTGAGTCGCGTTGATATTTCCTCGAATATACCCCCTTGTGAGGAGTGCCACATACTGTGCGGGAGGACCTATCGCACGAGACCATCATTTTTTGCAGCAGCAACACCCTATCTGCGCCTTTCCGTCTGCGGCGCTACGCTCGCATCTCGGGTTCCTGTTGTAGTGGTTGAGGCTAATTCCCTGTGTCTTCTGTCGAATCAGGTCGAAGAGGAAGTCACAAAAATCATGTAGAACATGATGCCGACGGCCACTGTGCTGTTCGGTGGCATGTCTTCGGGTGCTGATCTCCTGTGAGGTGCGGACATTTGCACCTGACCCTTTTCCAAATCATCAGACCACGTCATGAAAGGACGCCATGATTGACGAGCTCGTTATTACACAGATCACCGAGGAGGCGCTGAAGAGAGGCGGAATGATTTGATCGGGAACTGTCGCGATGCCCTGGGTCTATCCCAGGGGTTATGAGTTGGCGTTCAGGGAGATACCCAGGGAAGGACACATGGACCTTGCAAACAAGGTCTCTGCTTCGACCGCACGGAGCGGCCGAAACATGTCATGTAAACTACACGACGAATCAGGCTATAAGACAATCGAAACATGCCCAGAGTTAAGCTACACCGTCCCTGCTCGGCTGGCTAACGCAGACAGTCAGCCCTGAGTCACCATGTTGTGGCGATTCGCGCGGTCCCTCTCAGCTCTTCCACCTCCAAGCCGCTCTTGACCTCATTGTCTTCGTCCAGTTCTTGATGTGATTGGGCTTGCCGTGGGTGCAAAGTCCGAAATCCATTGTCGTCGTCCGTTGCGGCGCATGTGCGAGGCGGGACCCGCCTATTGGCTCTTTTGCGGGGTGCACGTGACTGCACCGCCCCCGTTTCGTTTCTCCGCCCGGCTTCGCAACATCGTTCTATCTTACAACCTCATCCTGCTCAACCTCCCCGCCATCTCTTCATCCATCAACACACAGCACCGCATCATGGAATCTCGTCCCTATCTTGCGACCTGCTAGGCGTCCATCGTCTAGCTATCCGAATCGCCGAGAGCTGCCTCTGCAGCCAGCCCTGGTTATCTCTTTGTTCGCGATCGCATAGCCCGCTCAGGTCAACCATCCTCTTCAGACTTCATCCTTTGCGTCGGAGCTGCGAATCCAGCAATTGGCACGAAGCGCCCAGCGAGCACCGCGAACCGATTGCCCAGTGTTGCAACTGCGATATTCCCTGTTCTACGCACGCGGAGTGCGATGCGCCTAGTCTGACTCCACCCCCCATACACCAGCACAATGAAGGTAAGTAGACTCGTTTTTAGCCGTCCTCGGACTTTGACTGGTTCTAACGCATGAGTTCAGTTTATGCCGAATCGCGACCTTGACACGGTCACCTCCGCGCTCAACTTTACCACCCCCGATCTCCACGTCGTAGGCGGTTGTGACCTGTACACTACCAAGGCAGCAGGAGGAGACAAGAAACTTTACAAGAACATTGAAAATGGCCTCGAAGCACAATACAAGTCGAATCTCCAATTCTCCCAGTCGCTTTCCCCACCCCAGGCGCATGTGGCTGCGTCAAGCCTGAATCTGAGCCGAAGCAGCCCCTTTGGGAATCTAGGGATGATCAGCTCGCGGAGGACCTATGCGTACCTCATCGCCACACTGAATGCCAGTCACCCCCACTACGACTTCTCGCACGTCCTGCGCCCCACGGATTTCAAACGAGAGAAGAGTCTCCGGCACGTCATGAACACGGTCGACACGACCATGTATAATCTTCGTTCACGGCCCGTCAATTCCTACCTGAGAGACTCCGCCGGTCCTCCGTCCACTCAACCACAATGGGGTCCGGCAATGTGGAGGCTGATTGACCAACAGATGAGTCTGCGCGACTGCGCCGTGTACCGCTATGCCCCAGAGGATTTTGATCCCTTTGAGGATGATGATGAAGGTTCCATCTGGTCGATGAACTATTTCTTCTTCAACAAAGCGAGGAAGCGCGTTTGTTACCTATATTTGCGAGGCATCAGTGTGTTGGCAGTCCCGACCATCGATGCGTTGCGGACCCCCGTCAAGTCTAAGCGTTTCGCCGATGAGGAGGTGGATGGCTGGATTACTCCCGACCTCGGCGCACACAAACGAGCAAAATACTGGCTTGGTGATCGAGATGATGTCGAAATTGCTGAGCACGACGATCGAGTTGAAGAAGATGTGGACATGGCGGTGACGTCGGTTGAGAAGGACGATGGGCCCATAGCGGCTCCTGTCTCCGTGAGCAAACAGCCATTGAAGGACAATGATTCCCAATCCGACGATGATTACTTCCCGCCCCCAACGAGGCCGGTCGTCGACGAGCATGACAATTACCTGCTCAGCGATGAAGAGGTACGAAGTTTGAGAAGCCAGAGCAAAAGCACGGCGAGGGGGGTGAGTGAAGAGGTGGTGGGCCCTATGGAAGTGTGAAGGACCTTGTTTCCTTTGGGATCGCACGACCTCTTTTGCTCGGCAGCGTGAGACCACGACGATAGTTCCGATTGTTTGACGAAGGATGAAACTGCCGCTTTTTGATGGACGGGAAATTGAGGGGGAATACTTTGGTCTTGTTCGGGGCGTTATCTTTGGCTGTGTTGTACTAATAACGATACCTGATGAAGCATGGGCGTTTTCGGCAAGGCCGGTGGGAGCGGCCATTGACGGAAGCTTGCCTGAACCTCAATACTGGGATGGCTTGGTATGATTTCTTGTCTTTTTTTGGGAGTTACGGACATCTTGGGAAAGGAACAAGTATGGTTTGAAAGGTCTCAGACGTTGGAGTGTGTGTGACCGCTCTGCGGTCCTTGGGGAAGGCCAGCCATAGTACTCGAAATGTGGAATTTGATAGGGGAATATCTACTATAGCAGCGTTCGCAACAGCTCCAGGTGGGAAGGGACGTCCCTTTGATCTCCATTCGCATACGCGTTCCCGCGTTTGTGAGTGTAGTATCTGTAATATATTGTGCGTATACCCCGATCGGTACTTTACTTGCGGACTTCTCAAGGCGTTGTGTCGCTAATTCCGAGTGCCAAGTAAAACGGCAACAAAGCGCGAGCTGCGCAAGAGCGATTAGTGCTCGCCCCGACTCCGGCCTCGGGTACTACGGTGCATTATATGGACTCGTAAATGCAACCAACCCCCTACTTCCCCTTGCTTCCCGAGTACACTTTGCTAAACAGATCAAAGTTTGTTCACAGCTGTGTCAATTTGTAAAACACGCTGACATCCGAAGAGGCGCGTGAAGGTTTGGAACAACCCTTTGTACCCCTTGACCCCCTTTATCTCATTTCTCCGTATGTATAACAGGTATATATGTACGGATATACGATGCCCAGCTCTACCCCTCTGACCTCCATACAATCCCCCCAATGCTGCTCTCAGTTCAACAAAAGAGAAAGCTTTCGGCCTCTGTATCATTTACCCCCTCCAAGAGGCAGCTTTCGGCACATCACCACCCGCAGTCATGGGAAGAGGAATACTTTGCTGATACCGAGGCGATACTCGGGGGGCCAAGAAGGTGGACATGTGATATAGGGCAAACGCCATTGCAATTCCCAAGCACCACGCTGCTCTCTGTCCAACCCCTAGACCAGCCTCTACCCGGGGCACCCGCTCAAGTATGGCTCATTCAAGGACACTTTGGTAGTTGTGCCGCCAAATTAGTGAGTATTCTTTCAATACCGAGGGGTACCTTTCTCTTAACCATCTCTCCAGTTCAACCCTTATACGGATGGGGATGCAGTATCTCAATTAGCACGGCTTCCTCACCCCAAGCCGAGTCTCGAGAAAATCAAGCACGACTACAACCCTTTCCTCCAGGAGATGAAAGCGTATGAACAAATACGCAAATTCTGCCCAGAATCTCAACGACATTTCTTTTTAAATTATTACGGCATAATTGACATTCCTTGGGAATCTGGTCGCCGTCAAGGGGTTGTGACGGACCTTCTCCACCCTGGGATTCAAGACCGCCGGCTGCAATCGGCCAGTGTCCCTGAAGCATTTCGACCATACCTCGATGAACTACAGTTTGCGCTCGTGAATATGGACCTGTCGGACGTTGAAGGAAGTTGGTACCTCAGCGTATTGAATAGTCGGCTGAAAATGGTGACGGTGTTACATGCGCTCGGTATCTCCCACGGCGACATCAAAGGGGACAGCTTTGGACTCCCACAATCTCTACACGACATTGCTTTACATGACTTTAGTCGCTCCTATACTTTCACACCGGAGCGCCCATGCCGACTTCGAGCAGGCCCACTGAAGCAGGTCATGGATGTTGAGCGCCGCCAAGTCCAGGAGACGGTCTTGAATATGTAATTTCCCCCTCCGTTCCCAGAAGGCACGTCGACGGGCCAAATACTGACCATTGTTAGGGCAAGATCAGCTCGATTGTTGGACTTCTTCACGACACTCCTGAATACAACCGCGGAAACGGCACGCGCCTTGCTACGTACACGCGTCTCTCCTCATGTACTTTCTACGGAAATTTCACTTGTAAGACTATCCGTTATGCTCGAAAACGATGGTACGTGTCCCCATTCCACAACACATATTTATTTGAAAACTCATAACGTCCTCCTACAGAACCATTCTTTCCTTCACTCTCTTCTATCCTCCCATTCTTAGAGCCCGCGGTGTCGGGAAGACCGGCGGAATGGACCGTGACCATGGTAAAGCACCTTGACGACTTTGTGGGTGTGTTCTATTCCGAGCCAAAGGACTTGGCCATTCCGTCGAAGAGCTTCGTCCTGGCGTCTCTCGTGTCGTCAAGCGGTGTTGTCATTGAGCAACTCCGCCTACTTTGTCCCAACGGGAGCCCGCCCGGCAAGTCCACTTATGCGTTGGTACCCAGCGCTTGGCTCGGAACTCTGGACACCAGGCGACTTTTCTGGATTCTGCTCTACTCGCCGTCATTCTGTGGAACTGAGAGGACAGTAACCGTTCTAGATCGGCGGCAGCTCGACACGGAGATGAATGATATCCACCACGTGATATAAGATGGGGCAACTACTGGCTTTCACCTTTTTTTCGCGGTTTCTTCTTTGCTCTTCTCACCAGACGCTCGGGTCAGTTCAACTTGTCGCTTTTTCCCTATTTTTCGTCGACGAGGAGTTACATTTGCTCTAATGATGATCCCTTTTATCCCCTTTCCAACTCTCTTTTACCGTGGTTGTTACCGATACGTGAAATATGTTCTACTGTACAACTCTACTCAGCTTCATTGGCACGGTTTTCTTGCTCGCGAGAAACTGTTTTTGGTTTCCTCTTGCTGCTGAAACAGTTGGAGAAAATAGTCGATTTATTTAGACGAGTAGGGCAACTGTAAGTGAATATTCTTTCGGGTTTGCATGATTCATATGAGTTTGAACTCACAACCAGATTCGCCTTCTCGGCAGTTGGCGAGCTGGGGAGAGACGAAGTGGGCGCTGTTTGCTAGATGTTGGGGAAATGGTCATGATTTCAAGCCCAACGAAGCAACCGATAATTAGCCTGAGGCGCGCATGTGACAGTGCCATGCAAATTATTTGAGATCCTCCTGTGAAACTGACGACGTGATATAACGCCGTTGACTGTCATTATATCACGTGATGAATATAGGCTGTGTACTTGGTACTGTCCGTCATACTAGTGAGGCAGGTTTCCCGGGGAGCCTGCTATATCACGTGGTGCGAAGATGACCTCAGCTGTTGGAAATACGGATGCCGGTACATCAATATCCCGACTCCGGAGTCTGCAGATGCCAATAGGCGCAGCTGCGGGCTTCATCAGCCCCTTCAGACCACGTCTTCTCCTCCCCTATCCTTCTATTGTATTTCAGCCAACGCATTTCGACAGGCCCGCGGCTGCTGCTATATATGAGATACTGCTGGTCTTCACCCGACCTTCCTATTTGCCCACTCCGCCAGTCGGCCGTCCCGCATCCCACGAACATCCACACGAGCCTCGCTACAGAGTAGGCCGCAGTTGATACGCCCATCCACCATGGGTGAGAAAGAAGACAAGGAAAAGGCCGAGAAATTGGCAGCGGCGAAAAAGAGGGTAAGAAAGGGCTCTCGTTTTGAGCGGCTTTGTGGCGCGAATACCCAGAGCTGGCTCGCGTTTTGACTGCGTCCCCTCGGTCCTGAGATACTCGAAGACGTTGGCCATCATCCACTGACATCGCGTGACATGCACAGGTCGCCCAGCTGCAGAAGAAGAAGAAAGCCGCCGCCGGGAGCTCGGGAGAGAAATCGTCTGCAGCTTCCAAAGACGCGTCTAAAAAGGGGGATGAGCGGGTAGGGGATGGGCCTGATGGAGATGCTGATGCCGCCGATGCCGCCGACAGCCAGGAGAAGGCTACAACCAAAGGAGACGATGCCTCCGACGCCGAAGCAGCTCAGCCTGCTATTGAAGAAACACAGGGTGATAAAGTCGCTGGCAACACTGCAGACGTCGACCTCGATGCGGACGAAGCAGCCTTTAATGCTGCGATCCAGGCGGCAAGCGCCGATTCTCCCACGCCTGGAACGGTCCTCTCTCCAGCAACAGTCTCTCCTCCCTCTACCGATCTAGACCAACCCTCGCACGCCAAGGGAACCAGTCCTCGTCACGCTGCCCGCCAGCCGAGCATCAGCCTCCAAAGCAAAATCCGCAGCACCAGTTTTCGGGATAGTGGGCCATTAAGCCCAGCTGCCATGAGTGCGAATTCCGTCTTGAGGGTTGAAGAGCTGGAGAGGGAGAACAAAAGACTAGCCAAGGAGGCAGAGGTCCACGAGAGGAGATGGCGCAAGCTGGAAGAAGAGCTAGAGGAGGTCCGGGAGGAGAATGCTGAGAAACAAGCAAATGGGGAAGCTGAGGAGGAGATTCGGCGGCTGAGAGCCGAAATCGATGCGCTCAGAAGACGAGCCAGCTCAACGACCACTACAAGTCGGAGAGAAAGTGCTACCGGTGAGGATACGGCCATGTTAAAGGCCGAACTGGAGAGGAAAGACTCCACAATTGCGGACATGCAGCTCGAGATTTCGAGGCTCAGAGGTCAATTATCGAGTCAGACTCAAGGGTGCGAGGCTCACGGGGAGCAAATTGCTGGCCTGCAGTCGTTATTGTCGTCGACAGAAGCCAAGGTGAAGGCCCTGGAGAGTGATTTGACGGATGCGAAGAAGGCGCTGTCCAAGGCTAGTGAGAAAGCCGTGCTTGACTCGACGGAGCGCACAAGCAAGGAGATGAAGATTCGGACTCTGGAGAGAGAATTGCAAGAGACTGCCGCGCACAGGGATGAGGTCGTGAAGAAAGCCGAGCAGCTGGAGAAGAAAATCGAAGTGATGAACAAACTCCACCGGGAGGCTGAAGCACGCCACGCCACCAAGTTGGCCGCCACCGAGGCCACCGCCCGAGAAATCCCAGCCCTGCGCATGAAGATTGAGAAAGCCGAGCGTGAAAATAGCCAATTACGAGAAAAGCATAAGCGAGTGATGAGCGGCGATGGAGGAGGCGAGGTATTGGATGAGCTGGAAGATGAAGAGAGGCAGAAGCTCGAAAGAAGAATTCGGGAGCTGGAAGGGCAAGTCTTTGATCTTCAGCGCGGCGTGTGGAGAGACAAGCGGGTTCAGATGCAGCCTCGAGGCGATGACGTCGGATCGCGAACTTCTCTGGATCCAGGCGCCGAGGACTTTGATGAGGTGGATCTGTCAGGCCCCGGGAATGCGAGCAGTCGACGGCGGAGTTTTGCGAGCCAGCAGCAACAGCCTCGTCACTCCAACTTTGCACAAGTGTTGAATTCGGGCCTCGCAGCGTTCCGCGCAAACACCACCTCTCCCAGTAGCCAGCAGAATCGGCCCCGCAACGACTCTTTGCTACAGGAGTTCGACGACGATGACGACGACGCCTTTGACGAGCACGCTTTTGCGCGTGCACAAAAGGAGGAAGAGGCTAGGAAGATGGTGGAACATGTGAGAGAAGTCAAAAGAGGATTGAAGCAGTGGGTAGGTTGGCGACTGGATCTGGTCGAGGCGAGACGAGCAGGCGTCGGCGTTGGATATGGTGAGATTTTTGAACTATGAATTGAGAGCAGCACTCTGGATAAGGGAGAGAGGCAACCTTTACTGTGAGTCAGAGTACACGGGGATCTTCGAGAAATGTCTTTGATCCTGTTGCTGAGACAAAGTGGTGTGAAAGCATGTCGTTGTGACGACAGAGCAGACGGTGATTATGGCTACGACTGTGCGTTTACGCCGCCGTAGAGAATGCGCCACCGCATTTCTCTACGCGTCGCCGTAGCAATTCACAATGAAACTCCAAAGGTGATGGCTGCATGAACAACCGTGGGGTTTGGTTCTTCTCAACAACACCATCACAATGAATCCGTTTAATGCTGTTCCTGTGTTTATGGGGGACCACGGGGATCCTGCACATCCTCCGACGACGCCGCCTGATCAGACCATCGGCAGCATGGGAAGTTCTTCCTTCAAGTCATCGTCTTCGGATGAGTTGGTATCCTGGTCGCCAGACGTTGCGACTCATTCCCCAGCCACGACGCGTCAACTTGAACCATCCTCTGAAGAACAGCCTGTTGCGGACAGAATTCGCGCCTTACTCGATACCCTCTCGCCCGAGCTGCAAGCTGTCATCACCCACATGCCCCAGGCGTACCACAGGTCCTCATACTGGACCGAATTTCCGTTGTGCTCGGCCGACTTTGACTGTCTTACAATGGTGGACTTGGGCATGGGTGAAATGCTGAAGTGAGCTACCTCGCCGTTGACGAGTCTTTCAGAGAAATGCTGACTGGTTGTATCGATATGACTATGACGCCGCAAACAGGATCTTGATTTTTCGAACGCCCGTCTCAAACGCACACGGCTATGTGCAGTCGATGCTGCACCACAAGATCATGTCCCAACTTGAAGATATAGCGTCCTGCAGTGACAAGGTCGCCACATTCATTCGGGAACTCGATGCGTCCGCCCGGCGCCCAATCAGGTACGCGGGATCGGAGCGCCACCCGGATATCAGCTTTGGGCACACCTCTCAGAACAACCCGGCTGTGGTAGGGGAGCTCGCCTTCCCTCCAACCAACAAGGACCTCCACCAGCTTGCCGAGGAATACCATCGAAAGATGCGAGGCGTGGTCAACGTCGTGTTTGGTCTCATGGTTAGGTTTTGGTACGATGAGAATTCGACCATCAAGACATCGGCCACCTTGCGGGTTTGGAGACCCGACGTTGTCGACCAAGAGGCGAATATTGATACACAGCCCCGATACGAAGAAATCGTAAGTGGCCTGGTTATATGATGAAACACGGGACATGAGAGTTCGACAGCTAAGCTAACCCATCCCCCTTTTTGACTAGATTATTTACGACGAGTCTGGCGAGAGGATCATTGACAGCCAAGCCGGCCTGCGCCTGTCTCTGGAGGACTTTGCATGCCGTCATTCCGTGGACGAGGGCGAGTTCGGGCGTCTCGACCAGCACGAAATCTTCATCTCTCTCCCCACTCTCCAAGACATACTCGACACAGCCGCGGAGCGCCATACCGTCTTGCTCAACACGACCCAGCAGCAGAGCACTATATGATGTGATAAGGCCAGCAAAGCCTCTTGGACAATATCGCGCTTGACGGTGAATAAATGATGAACGAAAAAAAATATCCAAATCACGAATGAAGCAATGAACACGACACTCGGGCTTTTGCTTTTGACATACCTACCTACACGTACCTGTGTATACATGTACACATCGCCACGGTACCACACAATCGGACTGGGTGGGAACTAGGAACTGGGAACTGGACGGGAAGGAAAGACAAGCACTGAATGAACGAATGGCGTTGATTGATTACCTCCACGATACCCCACAAGTGGCGCAGGGATTGCATACAGGCATACATGAGGGTCTGTCGGCTCACAAATCGGAAGGGGGTTTTTTTTGGGCTGGGCCACGAGTTTCATTGAGAATGCAGAGACCATTCCAAAGGACCTGAGAAGCGAGAAACGGGAGCCAAGGAACTAGGAACGACTGAATTGAATTGAATAGCATTGGACTCGATTGAATTTGAGATGAATTGGTTTTTTTTTTTTTTTTTGAGCTTTTTCTCCACACACACACACACACACACAGACAGAGAGAGAGAGAGAGAGAGAGAGAACCCCTACAAACGAGGACGAGGACGAGTACCTACCCACCCAGGTACCCAGCCAAAACGTCTTGTGTCTTCATATCCGATGCCGTACCGCGTTGTGGCTTGCCATTGTAGTGCCGTGCAGTGTAGTATAGTACTGCGGTATCTATCCGATCGGTGCTTTCTCGGGTCTACTTACTTGCTACAATACAAGGAGGTACCGTAGGATGGGATGAGCCCGAGCTCTCCATCCACATCCACAGTTTATTTCCACTCCTCAAAACATGGGAAACAAGCAAATTCCATCCATCCATCCATTCATGCCGGTATCAGGCCATCGGGAAATCGGGTGGTCGTGCGAGGGTGTACCGTCATATTCGTAGTTCGATCGACATTTCCCGCCTCCCGGCATTCATTCATGCCTTGTCCTTTCATTGCGCTTGGATGATCTCTCGAGTCGAGCCGAGACGAGCTATTTCGATTTCAACGACAGCGAGTGCGTGTCATCATTGTCGTGTATTGTATAGTGTGGTCAAGCAATTAATATCACTTTCGTACTCCTGAACCCCTCCAGAAACTTGAACACAACGGATAGGATCTACGATTCAAGGTTTGGGCGAGAAGAGGGGATACATTGCTCTCAGAGTATGTATATATGTATGTATGTATAGTGAGTAGTCTCGGATTAGCCCGGGTAACGAAGCCCGTTACAACCCCAGGGCACGGTAGAATGCGAAGAACGGGTGAAAAGGAAACGTGCTGGCGGTGCATATTCTCACGGATGTCTGAGACTGGCGCGACGACCGTCAAGTCACTCGTATTCACTTCACCATTGGGCCCCACTTTTACCATTTCGTCAATATCGACATGTATATATTAAACTCACAGAAATCCTTGCACAATTCCTCGCCAGGACTGGTTAAACTAGCACACGGCTTGCAGGCGTTCTGGCGACGAATTGTCGACAATCCTCCTCCTCCGAACGATCGAATGACAGGTACAAGGGGCATACAGTCAGTATTACTTACTGACCTCCCTACCTCGTCCTCCTCTCCTCCTCCTCCCTCCGCCGAACCGAAAAAGAGAAAAAAAAACCCTGCGAACCCGGGTTTTCGCTCACCACATCCTCCAGTTGAACTGGAGGATGTGGCAGAGTTTTTGTTTTCGTCGACAATGCTGATCTGAACGATGTGCCCGATTTTTATATCAGGCCTTGGCGGGCCACTGGTCCAGACGATGTGGGTGGACTGGCTGGCTGGCTGGCTGGCTAACTTTCCTTTTCTTTTCTTCAGACAGCAAGTTGCTCCGGCGGGTAGTCTTTATCGGTAAGCTATGACATATTGTCGTGCTCTCTGTTAGTCACGCATGCATGTTGGATTTCTCACGGCGTCGTCGCGGTCATGAACCCTACCTCTGCTCTGCATCTTTTCTCTGATGCCCCAGTCCTAACTGCATATTTTGGACCGCTTTTCGAAGCACGACAAACAAGCTGCTGGAATTCACGAGGGGTCCTAGCCCCTTCGTCCTACAAGTCCGACCGGTCCACCTCGTTGATTTGTGAGCTCGCGACAAACGAGGGCGTCAACACCGACAGATTCAGAGTCCGGGATGACAGGAGAACGGAGCCTGTCTATCATTGCAGCCACGAGACGGACAAAGGTCTGACAGATTTCCAGAGGGAAACGACGAGAATCACACACCGAGGCTGGATCGCCGATCCGAAATTCCTTAATTCTCCTGCGTTGACAGGTTGTATACTGTCCATTGAAGCCCGGGTGATACACGTGAATACGAAACACTTCGGTCGTTGTGCGCAATGGGGAAAAATGCCAAAAGCTCTTCTGTGCAATATCGGCTCTACGGTTCAGTTTTCAGAAAGAGGTCGACGAATTGCTCAAAGAAAGGGGCAATAGTCCTGACTGTGCACGTTGGGCATATCTGCCAACTCCAGGCTCCTCTTCACGACAGCTCAACTAACTCGTTAGGACAGGGGGATAGATGTCTTCTCTTGGAAACGAAACATGAGACGCTCGCGCAGACACATCGAATACACGCCCGACCTTTCCATCTGAATCCATCGAAGGGACCCAAAGTGGCGTGGTAAAGGCGTTGGTCTGATCTCTGGTGTGCGTGCTATACCCCAAATGGTGCGGATAATGTGATCTCGATCGTTCTGGAGTATGGTACGGATGCCACATACTACTACCCACAGCACGTACAATGTCTGACCGGCTACAGTGGGAGCCAATACCAACCTCCCAGTACCGTCTGTCTACGCGTGGGGTTCCGATGCTTCGAATCCTGTGAGTGTGGGGTATATCATGAAGGGAAAGGCTCACGGTGTTCAGCTCTTCAAGGTGTGGGATCAGGCTTAACAAACCTCCAAGCTCGTCATCATCAAGAAGTGCGACCAGTGCCGTTACGCGCTTGCCTCATCGAAACCCTCAACTCGTGGAAAGATCTGGATTTCCCAGGTGAATGTCTCTAATATTTCGCGAAGACGACATTCAAAAAAAGCACGAATAACAATTTGGAGAGTATGAGGAAAAAGACACCACGCGCGAACGAGGCTTTGCCAAAATCTTTTCTCAATACCGATTGCGACGGCTGGATCATCTCGCCCGACATGGACTTTGCCCAAAAAAGCAGGAACAAAACAGGGTCTTCATTCAACTTGTTCACAGGGAGTATGGCTGGTCAGAAGTCACGGGGCGATATGAGGAGAATGTGGCCGTTCTCGGAAGGGGAAGTGAGCCTGGAGAAAGACAATCTATCAAAAACACAGAGAGATGAGATTCTGTAGAGGTAAATAAAGGCTGCAGTCAAACTATTACCCTCTAAGGCCGTGACACAATTTCACATTTTGAAGGCCTCGGGAGTCCGGAGGTAAGGATTTACGGATCAACTCTCCCTGGAATGTGGTTCAACGATTTAAATAGCACTCAGCAGTGTGTTCCATATATGGTGGTAGGAAGCGCGTAGGTTCCTAGTCTCCCATTCCCACGATACTGTCATCTCTGAAAAAGATATTCAGCCTGCACAGATCTCTGCTCCTGAAGACGACAGAGTCGCACTAGATGATTCTTCTCCGGCGGGACTCGAAGACACGTTATTAACTGACCCGCTCTGCTATTTCCAGCGTCCAGTCTCTTTCAACTTTTTTTGCTCATGGGGGCTCCCAAAGCCACTGTTTCATCTTCGAAAGTTTATGCTCGAGAAGGGTAGGAGTGGGGTGACGGAGTAGAGGTGAAGTCTGGGTATCCAACACCGTCTACTGCGGCAGCCATATAGAATCATGGAATTCGCCGTGGCGGCTATTTGGAATAGATGCTGGACATGGATTGAAGTTTGCAGTCGCTCTGAGAGGTTGTGGTTGAACCCGATCTGCTGAACTTTCTTTCGACTGTGGTGTGGCACACCATTGGGAGGCGGTATTGGGAGCGGTACTGCCTCAACAGCCTCGCGAATTTCTTTCCAGGAAATCTCCTTTTCCCTTGCCCAATGACCTGAGAATTTGAGCGTGATGGTGCGTGTCTTTCCGTGGTAGTTGTTACCATTGATGTCTCGGACAGGTCTGGTATGATGATTCACATGCCCAGTCCGTGAAGACAAAGGCAAAGGAAGGTGTGACTGACTCCCAGCAGCAATTATCTTTGTGGTTGACCCTAGAACAGACGCTTCATCATATAGTGATCGACCGAACAGTTTTATTTCCCTTGTACAAGTTGTTTATATTTTGTCATTGTTTGATAAAAGACACATCTGCTTCCGCCAACTTCATTACTGACGCTTCCTCCAATCTTTTGTTATGTCTACGCCAAAGTGTCGCGATAGGGGGGATGTCATGTCTGCGTCGCACCCCCACGATCCTCTCTCCTTCTCCGGGAGCCAGGATGAAAACCAAACCGCAGATTCCTCCCCAACGCTCCTCTCTACAAAGAACGTCACCTACTTCTTCGATCCACCCCGATCTTCCAGTGAGTGCGGCCAAAAGCAGTCTAGCTGTGCGGTCTCTCTGGTCACGGATTTTCTCACCAGCTCCTCCTCTTCTCCAACATACAGTTGGCTACACCTCAAATTGAGCCTTGCTGAGCGCGACGAGCTGAACAAGTGTGTACCAGCCGAGAAGTTTGAGGGGTTTCGGTGAGATTGACATATACCCGGAAGAACTGAAAGCGAAAACAACGAGGGCTAACCCACGATCATGCAGCCGTGACTACTTCGTCGCAACCCAGACCTTTTCCGTCGGCATGGAGACCAAAACACATGCAGTGGTCAACGCCGCTCTATCCTTCGCCATCTTGTCTCGAATCAAAAGTCTTGCGAACAAACATCCAGACACAGCAATCGGTCAGTTCGCGGCCAAGATCATGGCGCAAGGCTCTGGGGACATTGATCTCGAAGAACTTGGAACCAAGAATTCTCACAATCTGGATGGTTCGTTCGTATACAAGGGCGCCAAATACCCCGGCATCGTCATTGAGGTCGCTCACTCGCAGCCAAAAGATGCCCTTCAACATCTTGCGGAGGAATATGTTCTCGGTTCGGACGGAAATGTTCACTATGTTTGTGGCATCAAGGCTGCATACCGCTCCGGCAAAGAAGCGTGGCTGTCGGCTTGGAAAGCTAAGAGAACTGTCTTGGCCGACGGCACAGTGGAATTGAGCGTTGAGCAGACTGTCAAGGATCAGGTGAGTTTCCCAGAACGCAGGACACACATGCACGCCCAGTCATCGACTAATTTTAATGGCTAGATGTTTCGAACCGCTGAAGGCTTACCCGATCCAAATTGTCGTGGACTGTGCCTTCCCCTCGTACACCTGGCTCCGACTTCCAGCATCGCCCTCGACATCGCCAGTGTTCCTGACCACCTTGGCCAGATACGGATCACTGCTGAAGAGCTCTGCCAAATTCTTGACGAAGCGCGAGAGTCGGAGGAAGATGCTATCAAGGGTCTAGTTTAGGACAACGGAGCTGGTAAGCTGGTTAAAGTCCATTCAGACAAGCCAGCCTCGGAAGAAGTTTCTGGCGGTCGTCCAAGAGAGTTTGAAGATGCCGAGGAGAGAGTCGAACTGCGCAGTGAGAGAGAAGACCCCGACTATGTCGAATAGCTTGCCGTCCACTCCGTCGACCCTGGCACGAACACGATTACCCCTGGATAGATAGATAGACGCGACTGTCTCTGCTGCTGAAGGACAAGGTGAACTCAACCCACAGCACCCTCGGCATTCGAACTCGAGAGTCGATTCCTCGACAGCCCCAATCTGTATTGAGAGAAGACAAGAAATGAAAAAAAAAAGAAAGAATTCTTCTTCACCTTGACACATGGTTACGCACACCACCCATCACCCCGACTGCCTATGTTTTTTTTTTTTTTTAAAATTTTTTTTTATAACTGTCACTTCTAATCTTGGTGTATTGCCAGGCCACTAGGTGCAAATCTGCCAACAAAGAAGACTTGCATAATCCTGTCAGAATCACCACCATCTTCTCTTTAAATCTAGCTGAGGCCTCAAGGGGGGCAGGGTGCAGGACATGGCGCTGGTCGCTGCTCGGCGCAGAGCTCGTCACTCACACAGCCAGCAAACGCGGGCACTGTAGAAAAGAACGCACGTGAAAACCCCCGAGTTCCGAACGACTTCACGTGTGATATGGCAGGCGATATGGCAGAAGTTTTATAATATATTGTTGGGACGTTCTGAACGGCGGTTACAATGTCAAACCGCCATCTCGATTTAGTGCGCAGGTATCGTGCTCATTCTTTGAAACATCAATTTAGGACATAGGAAAGCTTTCACAGTGCTAGTTGATCTCCCATGCTCAGAGACATCGAGCCGTGAGTTCGATGATGTTAACACGCTTCGTTGCTATGTATCACACGAAACTCGTCTCAGAACCGAACAAGCCAAACCAACTCACAGGGAAATATGCTGCCTGCCTCTCTCTTCGATGAATACTTGATACCGCGCTATTTACCAACATTTGCCATGGCGTCCCTGTCGGCAGCCAGCATCTTCTGTATAGCCGGCCTATCCATGCAGCGCTTCCACCAAGCACTCACAGCCTCGCGACTGAAGATGACATCCCCATACCCGCTCGCAAAAAGCCGTTGGACCAGTGGTATGTAATAGATATCCGCGAGAGTAAAGGCATTTCCGGCCATGAACTCTCTGTCCCGCAAGAGCCGATCTGCAACATCGAAGAACATCTCGACCGACTGCAGCGCATCCGAAACAATGGTCTCATCGGGAGGCAGGCCCATGAACCGCTTCGCAAATTTCTCAAAGGCGATCTTCCCTGCCGGTTCTGCGAAGTAGAGTATTTCTGCAGACTCGGCCTGGTCGAAAAGCGCCGTGGCTTCGACATCCGAGGCCGATGGGAGTAGTGGAAAGGAGTACTTCCGTGTCAGGTATTTGCAGATCGCACGACTCTCGTACAGAGTGAACCCGCTGGGGAAAACGACGACGGGGATTTTACCCCACGGGTGACGTTTCATGTTCTCTTCTGACTGGATGCACAGCCGTTAGCAATGTGCTCTCTGCAGCGAGGAGCCACGTCGTCTTCAGTGGGAAACGGGTGCACAGACAGACACACCTTCTGCTCTCTCTTCTGGAGGTTGACAAGAACGAAGTCGTAGTCGGTGAAGCCTCCTTCGGCGAGGGTGAGACGGACACGATCGGTGTTGGTCGAGCCGCGCGCGCCATATAGGGTGAAGGCTGGCATCTTGAGGCGAAGCGGCAGTTTTGATACGAGTCCAGGTGTCTTGGGGATGGCCTTCAACATGTGCAATACCCATTCTGAGGAGAAAGCGAAACCATGGTGCCTGCCACTCAATATATAGTCGGTCTGGACAGCAATGGGGCGCTGACACTCACTTCCGCTGTAGGAATGGAAAGCGCGCCATCCAATCAGACCCAAGTCGACAGTCCGCATCACAACTGTCGCACGAGTATGGGTCATGCAGGAAGAATACTCAAGGACTAAGATCATCTGCGACGTATGGCTCCGCCTTTCAGGCCGCAGTTGACTGAGCGATATACCAGGCTGTAGAGACCCACTTTAATGCCTCGCCTGGTTGGTGAGTTCGCTCTCCATACCAAATGAGGCTAGCGTCGGAGTTTCGGCGTTCGGCCTTTGAAAGTTGATTTGGACCGAGGCGAAGCTAGACGGCGTCGCCTCTTCTGATGCTCTGTGGTAATGCTTTTCATTCATCTGTTCGGAATTTTTACTTGTTACGATCAATACCCATCGTCTGCACGGTGCTGTAAAACGGAGCGACACATCTCCCGTTCCCTACCTAGCGATGGCCAAAAGCGTCGTGGCTCATCGACGCCACATCCAATCTAAACCCAAGGTGAAAACCGGTTGTGCCACTTGCAGGTCAGTGCCGCTCTCGTCCCTGGCCAGCTATCCAAGGCGGGGGCTCGCATGGAAAGCCCGCCTGGTAGTGACTGCGCTGACTCAGAGTTAGAATACGGAAGGTGAAATGTGACGAAAATAAGCCCTCGTGCCACAAATGTGTCCATACGGGCCGTGTCTGCGACGGGTATGCGTCTCCATTTAGAATTTGTACCAGTAAATCTACCAAAAACGCCCGTGGAGACGGCGGCATCAAGTCAGGTGTTAGTGTATCAGCCACCGAGCACACGGGAATGGAAGTCTCGCTTCACGACATCGACCTTCTCAATCGGTACTTTTCGACCAAGACCATGTTCGATGTCAAGCTGGACTGTGACGAAGAAGCCAAGCAGGTCCTGCAGGCTAGCTTGACTGATCCGTCTATACGGCACGCAGTGTCATCTCTGAGAGCTCTTCGCGAAGACCGCGAGACTACCGGAGATGTTCCGGCGTCTGCCGCGCAGCAGACCCCGAGCCATGACTACGGCCTTCAGCAATATTGCATGGCTCTGGGGGGTGTCGCATCTACCATGTCTCTAGGCACCAACGGCTTAAAGTCGGCACTGCTTTGCTGTCAGATCTTCATCAGCATCGAACAAGTGCGGGAGAATTACGCGGTGATGGCCCAGCACCTCGTCCGAGGACTCGGGATCATGCGCGAGCATCGAGCACGACCGACATTTGATGCCGCGAATGAGCTGACACCAGCACACCATGACCAACTCCCTTTTCTGGACGTCTTCATCATCAAGTTGTTCGCTGCACCGTGCAGGTTTGCAGAACCTCCAGCACCAGCTGACACGGGTGTGATTACGGTATCCGAGTCTTCGGTCTCGCCTCCTGAACAGCGCGCTGCATCTCGCAAGCTTCGCACGATCGCACCGGACATGCGAACAGAGCTTGCGAGAATCGCTTCATCAACGCTCGATTTCCTCGGAAAAGTATCACGGGTCGACTCGACGGGAGCAGCTCTTCGACTTCGGTCGCAGAAAGCGACGCTGCTGGACTCGTTGGCATCGTGGCTCGCGGCTCTTGACCCCGTCCAGGCGGAGACCACACCTCCAAGGCCGGAGCTTCTTTCAGTGTCCTTCCTGCGCCTCTTCCACTTGATCCTGAAAATCGTCCTCTTGGGATCCCTCGACTCCTCGCCCGAAGCTTGTGCCGCGCTGCAGACCGAGAATGAGAGATTACAGTGTGTTGCCAGCCGGGTGGATGGGAGGGTCAAGGCGTACAGATCGTCGGGTGGGACTAGAGGTCGATAGGGTATTAGAGGAGTGTGCTGCTGATATTGAACGGCAAAGTGGGCACACTTCTGCCAGTGCTTCCGTGAGCCTGTATGCGTACAATACCATATCCAGAAATGACCTCACCGAGTAAATCTTGGTTCCGGTTCTGAACCCGATCATTTTCTCTACTACCTTAGCCATGGTCTGAGCACCCTCCGTGCCCTTGAGTCGAAATGCAGACCCTTCTGGCCAGAGGCAAGGACCTTAAATGTCAAATATGACGTAAAAGTACGGTGTAAGTACAGATAAACACCGTCGAGGCATACAAGTCGAGTGACATTCAAAATCAAAGGGACCTATACATATACAGTCACAAGATACACGCGAAGGGCCTCAGAGAATAGGCTTCTTGATAAAGATCTACCCAGGTACAGATCTGTTGCCCTGGCCCTTTTGGGAAGGTTAACCGAATAACTTCCACCGCGGCACACGATAAAAGATAGATTTCATCACCGATCAAGTTATCGCACTCACAGGATCGAAGAGTGCATGCGACTGGTGGCGTAACAACTGCATCGACTTGTCCCATTGGGACTCGGTAGAGGAGTCTCTGGAGGGCACTTGGGGAGCATTTGAAGTGCATGGTTGAGGGAGGGAGGCGTCTGATATACAACAGACCCCTCAGGCGTCCCCTTGGGGAGAGAACCCGGATTATCATGGACTCCTGCCTTGTGGTCATGAGGCACGCCGGCCGATCAACGGTCAAGGCCATCATGGATAACTTGTACATGCGGGTGGAGCAGATGATCGAGTGGTACCTACAGAGCCAGTACCTACAGAGGGCAGCCAGCCAGCTGCAAGGCTCCGGGGACGGGCCATCCACACCACACACGCATAGCATTACAATGCCCACGACCCGCTCTCAATCGCATCGCGTCGCCTGATGAAACCCTGTCTACAAGGCATACGTGGGAAGAAAAAGAGCTCCGTGCGGCTTCCATCTACTGTTCGAGCATACAGACCGAACCGACCAATCAGGGTGCGTTGTACCTCGGGGCCGAGGGGGCTCAGCAGCCATTCATCCACGGGGCTATCAGACTCGAAGGGATCCGTGACTCCGTCATCCAAAAGCCTTTATAAGAAAGCCTCTTTGTCTCCTCTTGCCTTGGTATCCCAGAACATGAACCCCAATCCGCCTCACTTTTGAAAAAAAAAAAAAAAAGCCATGCATTTCCTCCTCCTCGGCGCCACCGGACGAACCGGCCAGCACGTCGTGTCCGAATTACTCTCCCAAGGCCACACTGCTGTGGCCCTCGTGCGTCCCTCTGCATCTACCAACCTCACTGCCCGTCCGGGCCTCACCATCGCTGTTGGTTCGCCGCTGTCAAAGGCCGACGTAGAAAACGCCCTCCACGCGGCCCCGTCGCTGACACCCTCGGCGGCCATCATCACCTTGAACACGGTCCGCAAGTCCGACAGCCCCTTCGCGCCGCAGCTCTCGCCTCCTCGATTCCTAGCAGACTCGTGCGCCAATGTCTGCGATGTGTTGCAAGCCGCGGGCATTTCTCGCGTCGTCGTCATGTCCACGGCCGGTGTGGGCGATTCGTGGGCCCAGCTCCCCTGGCTGACCAAGGCGTTCATGCGGTGGACCAACGTCAAGTACGCGCTCGAGGATCATGGGCTTGTCGACGAGGAGATCCGAAGGACCGAGATGGATTGGACCCTGGTGAGGGCTGTGAGGTTGCAATTCGACGATCCGCTGCCCCCGACCCAGAAGTTGATCGACACAGCCAGAGACGTGCAGACGCTGGGTAATAGGGGTGTGGGGATGAGCATGGCTGACAGCGTCAGGGTGGCAAATGTGGCGAGATTCCTGGTCAAGGTGACGGTCGAAGGACTCTTTGTCAGACAGGCAGTGGTTGTGAGGGATTGACTGAACGCGGTCGACCAGTCCTTGGCGTTAATGACCAACAGCGATCGATACAGAAGGAGACATTCTATCATGTGATCTAGTCGATTGAGGCTGTAACGTATGAATTACAGCTTCAATATTTAGCTAACAATACAGTACGGTGGTGTAATGGGAAGGAGGTCTACAGGCTGAAACGTGATTGGTGGAACTTGCCTGTCCAATGAGCAGGATGGCACTCCTGGTCACTGATTGGTTGGACCTCTGACACCAAGGTCTGAGATTCCTTTTTCCTTGATTCCTTCAACAGGATCGACCAATCAACAACGAACAACTCAATCAACAAGTTGAGGACAGTCATCTATCAAGTTATGGAATCAATCTGATTATGACCCTCTGTGCTGTTTTGTTATTGCTGTGCGATAGCCCTTACCCCTACCACCATGCCCACCGCCGTATGAGCTGATGCCTCTGGCTAAGAGCCCAGTTCAGTATATTACTATATAGGTTCGTGGAAAAAACTAGGTCGAAAAGTGCTACTTTTAGTGTAAAATGGGGGTTTTGGACGGATACTTTTGCTACCATGCTGTACTACTCAATTTTACGGATTATTCAGGACTATAGCCCTGGATCAGCCCGGTCGACCAAATCGTAGAACATTTGTCGTTTCTTGGAATATCGTGGTGACTGACACGGGGTTCTTCATTGATAGAAGCGTCGTTGTGTAGCAGAACCTTCGAGGGTTTGAAGCTCCTGTGATTTGGACACAGCCGTCTCGGTACCTGGTGTTTCAATGAATAGTCTATTGACGTAACGATTGCCAATGCCTGTTGCAAGAAATGCCCCCTGTCACTGGCGAAACTATTCTATTTCAGGCACCCCGTCCGTCTGCCACCCCCGTCCGGTGCTTTGCTCTTATTCTCACACGAATGATCTTGACTCCTAGCCGATAAACCAGTGAAATCACACAGAACTGGAGAGATAAAGCGAAATACGCAGCCAGTGTCAAAGGTCCAAATGTTGGCCTCCTGGTCGTGTATGCGCTGTTTTGGCTCCAGGCTGGTGGCTGGTGAGAAAAACCAAACGATTCGTCTCTTGAACGGTCATTCTGGCCAGCAAGACTCCCTGGGTAGATTCGACGACGAAAACAGCGTCTCCACTCAAACCGCGACAGTGCCAGCCTCAACGCGGGCAAAGATTTCGACGAGTCTAGATCTCGTAATATTTCCAAATTTTATCAGCCAAGCACGGACAAGGAAGAGAAAAAAATGCAAGACTCCACACTTCTGCATTGTAGGCTTCTGAAAAGGGACTTTTCGACGTGGATGTGGCTGGCCCGGCCCTTCCGTCATGGCCGTCCTGGAACGGCATTTCCCGTAACCCAGCAGATTTCTCCCTCAAAAAAACTTGGTACGGTTCAGCTGACGGTCTTTCTGCACCGAATAAGGCCGATCAGTAGGCAGTGCCCAATGTTGGGGTCATGGTACCCTGGCTCCAGAGAGGAGAGATGTCCATTCCCGCGCAGAAAATGACATGGCCAAATGTTCTTTTTCCGCGGGCAGTCAGGGCGACGAATGGCAATGCACGACAGAAAGACAAGAAGACGACAGGGAAAGATACGAGGGTGTCAATAAAGGACGAAAACGGTGATGCCACGGTGATCCCTTCACCGCTGATTCACTTTGCCTGGCAAGGCGCAGTTGGATGCGATGCCCAACGTTGCTCAACGTTGTTTATGGACAGGGGTACAAGAAGTGAGTGCAGTCTCCTGACTAGAGGGAACTTTGGGTAGATAGCCAAAGATCCTCGCAGACTACCACATCCACCATCAACTGTTGCTCGAGGTGATGCCCAACGGTTTTGCCATGATGCCGGACAGTGGCCCGGTCAGAGGCATTGATTGGCAGCTTCATCACTTGCAGGAGGCTTGGAGTGAAACAACCATGTGCCGCGGGAATCAAACTAATGTAATGCTGTGCAACATCTCACATCATGATTGATCGCTCATTCGATATTTGGATAAATGACAGGTTCCTTTTCCAACATCCCGCTGGCTAGCGCCTCTCTCTGCTTGGCCGACGAATCATAAGTTCCCCTTTTTTCCTGCACCGGAGCTTTTAACCCAGAATGGAACTCGTTCGCTTACTGCTCGCTTCAGGCCTCCCTATTCACTCTTCGCAATACATTGATTGGCATACACATAGCTGTCAAGTATACTATATAACCTCCGAAATCGATTCACCTCGACTGAAAATTCTTTACTCTCATACCAACCCAAATCTCCCAAATCGATTCACACCTCAATTGAAAAGTCTTTACTCTCATACCAACCCAAATCGTCCAGATAACCTGAACACAATGTCGAACTCAGTTGACAATCACGCACCCCCGGTGCTCGGTGAAGAAGACGCGTCACTAGTATCCGACGAGATTCTGCTGCGTCTGTGGAATCAAGTTCAACAGGACCCCCAGACTGACAACGTCGCACTCAACAACTTCTGGCTGCACCTATACGCGAAACACCTGTTCCCAGGCAAGCAGTGGATCGTCGGGGTTGAGAACGGTACCTTCGACATCGAGCCTCCCAAGAAAGATCTGACTGTCCAATTTCTGGGACACACGGGCCCCCAGGCCCTATTTTTTCACATGCACAAAGGCAAAGAAGCTACAAGGGATGACCTGATCGAGGTGGAAACCCAGGCATTGGTTGCCTGCCTGGCATATCTGACGGCGAATCCGGGCATCACAAAGGTGTACGCCGTAACCAGTTTCGGCGCCAGAGCGAGGATCTGGTGCTGCGGTCCGAAATCGATGTCCTTGGAGCCGCTGTTTGGGTCCTACGATTTGGCTGACGCGTCGGCGTACGTCGAGGCCCACTCCAGTGAGGCGATCACCCTTCGAAGGGGGTTTGCGGATATGAAGAGATTCGCGCCTGTTGCTCGTCGAGGCATCAACCACGGGTCGGGATCTCCTGCATCATCTCGCCGCAACTAACCTCGACTTCGGAGAGGCTTCAGGTACATCGAGAAGGGTTGAAGTTAGTGGAGAACCACAAATGAGATAGCGCGTATGAAAGTTCATTGCAGGCATTGAAGACAGTTATCGACCTTTGTACCTAAAGCTCATTGTCATACTTGCGGCATCAATCACGATCTAACATCCACGTGCAACTGGCTACCAAGGGTGCCAAGGCAATGTAATGACGGTCGTTCTAAGACCCTCGATAATATGTACCTCGTATAGTTAGCCAGTTCCCCCCTGAGCCCGAGTTGAACTTGTCATGTCCCTCCATCGAGCCACGTACCGCCTAGGCATCCCACCCGACCACATTCATTTTCTACCTTGTAGGACAAACCTGGTTGGAGGGACCCGTCCCGCTCAGGGACCTTTTGGTCCAGATTTACGAAAAGTGGGACGTGGTTGCGAAGCGCAGGGGTACAGACGTGCACTGTCCAATCTCGTTCACGGACGACCAGATCCGTGAGACGGGGCGGCAGGCGGAGGAATGGGCAGAAGCATTCAACGAGTTCAACGACCTGCGGAGCGAGATTATGGGAAGGACGGATGGGTGGCACACGAGGAATACGACGAAGCAATGGCACGGTTCCACGCCAGTAGACCGACGTTAGAAAGGCTTTGAGAGAGGCTGGACCGATCAAGCGGAGCAAGGACGGAGGGCATGCTATGACGACTCTCAGAGAGCACGAACTGCCACAAAATTTGGTTCTGTGTCTCCTGAATCCTATCATATTCGTTCATCCTCGTTCCTCGATGGGAAGACCGCGCCAAACCGCATTGTAAACCTGTGAGCATTACATGTAGACCGGGGGATTCTCCTCGTTTTGGGCGTGAATAAAATTCGTATGTGTCCGTGTCACCGTCACAGATGTGGATGGGTACTCTACACCCCTCCCTCCCTCCCTCCCATTCAAGTGATTTCACGTGGTCACATGCCCCCCCTTGGAAAATTCACCACATAAATATTATCAATCCCGAAATCCCTCCACAAATCGCAAAGACCCCTACTCAGGAAAGAGACTGTCAGAGTCAACAATAACAAAAAAGAAAATTGAGAAAGAGACTTGTCGAAGTCAACAAGGTGGAATACATTTGGTTCTAGTAGGCGATCCTCCTCCTCCTCCTCCTCCTCCCTCCTCTACCGAGCGAGAAAGATATATCAGGAACCTGGCACCGAGCCAAAAAGGAGTCAAAATATCTAACAACAATAACAACAACAAACGGAAAAAAACCTGCTACGGCGGGTTTTAACTTCCCACCACCCCATTCGAAAGGGGCTGGTGGAAAAAGTTTTTTTGTTTCTTGAAGAGGGACGAAGGCGAGGGATTTTCGAACAGTGAATTAAATATGTGTGTGTGTGTGTGTGTGTGTGTGTGTGTGTGTGTGTGTGTGTGTGTGTGTGGTTATTGTGCTAGATGGTTGTTTGTCTTGGGCAGTCGCCCTGATAAAAGTGTCTCAGGTCTCACATCAAATAGACCTTTTCGACAATGACGCACAAGGCTGAACAGCGCCTGTAAGAAACATCTACCAAATCTAACAGTCGACAACCATACACCTGCCTTTTACGTGGGTACATAGAGATAGTATATCACTGCAGCGGAACAGAGACAA